GTCTGGCCGCCATCCGCGTAGACGATCCTGCACAAATGCGAATTTGGATATTTGTCCTTCCCATTCGGTGTAGTTTCCAAAGGCGGCAACTTCTCCATACTGTAGAGCTCAGTCAGTCATCCTTCAATATCGAAAGAAAGGGAATGCTTACCTGATCAAATTCACTATCCCGACATGAAGGACCAAGGGATGTGGTTGTCAAGCCGGATCCGTCATCATCCCAGAACCGAGGATACTCCCAGGGACATTCACTCTCAACTTCATTTCCAGGCTGAAAGTCCCAGTATCGACGGTTGGTCTTCCATACATAGTCGTACTCACTGGGATTAATCGGCGCGGACTGGTTCAAGAAACCCTGGAAACCGATAAGGTCGCCCATTCTATTCACAATCAGCAGATGACACCGGAGGTTGCGCAGATGGATACATACGTTGCAAAGGTATTATCAAACAGAACATACATCCCCCGTCGATGCGCCTCGGATATCATTGTGCGCCATTCCTCGATCATACCAAAATGATGGTCCAGAAGAGTCAGGTCAAGCGGGGAGTATCCATCTGCGGCCCAGGGGAAGTTGATATAGGGTGTTCCAGCGAGATAAACGCCCTAGATATGATCAATATATTTCCCACAACCAGTCTTTCTGAAGCAAACAAACGCACCTTGATCCCCATTCCCTGAAGATAATCAAACGTATCAACCAAACCAAGAACGTCGCCGCCATGGCGAAACTCGTTGGAGGTCAAGATGTGTTCCCACTGTGTCTCATTTGCATTATCGTTACTCGGGTCGCCATTTACAAATCTGTCGAGGAATATCGTGTAAAAGGGGAATCGCCAATTTTCTGGCGAAGGGTTGTATATGTGGTCATCCCACTGACCGGAGTAGTCGAGAGGGTGTGTTGCTGTCTGATTTTGGTTGAGATTCCAGTTTGCTTCCTCTGGAAGATATGGCAGGGATTGGGCAGTGCGTATAGATAGTGCAACAATGGCAAGGTAACGAGTGATGGAAGTGAGGAACACCATTCCGCACAGTGAATGCCACTAAAATGACATTCACAGAACACGCTGTTCGAGCCTCAACTACAAAAGAACAATCACAGAGTGCATACCAGGAAGAAAGTGATAACTCATAGAAACAGATATATTGAACCATTCATAGGGCTCAGATGCACAAGGGAACCATGTGGAAGATAATGAATACTTTGGAGCCGCCTAGACCTATGCAATGGTTGAATCTGAGTGCGAGAATACCAATCACCGTTTTGTAAATCAGCATAGATGGAGCCATCAGGCGAACCGCTGGAGATCCGAGCCAGCCTTTACAGCCTCACTCTACATAAAAGTATCTCTATACTCACGCTAAGCGATTGAGCCGTCCTAATTTTGGACGATGGATCCCAAGCTGACATGCATCGGTATACTCCGTACGAACTTCGTGGTCTACAGGATGCCCGAATATACGAAGTGGATCATTGTTCGATAGCGTTGCATGAATGGAGCATAGTTCATACGTGTTTGATGCAAAGTTATACGAGGTTTCAAGACAAGTCGGAAGTAAATCACTCATAAAGTGTTGAAATTATGCCAGATCGGGTATCCCGCTTAATAGTAGATAGGACACGTCATTCCTGATACAGCCCTAGCAATTGACCTATGAGAAGACGATGATAAGGGGTGTGGCCCGTTCCTGTCTCGTTCCTGTCTGGCTGTTTTTTGTTTTTTTTGTTTCACGGCGACTCCGTTCCCTCGGCATCTGTGCCCTCGATTGAGATGAGGCTGTTGGAGTCGGGAGATTGAGTCGAAGCCCGATCGGGCCGATAAAATACACAAATCAATAATACATATGTAAATGTATTACATATACGGTATGGTATACATATACCTCACCGTATATTGTAGATCATTTTCATATATGACAATTGTCAATTAACTTTAAGTAACCTTTTCGTCTCTGATTCCTCTTCTTTGACCTATGCAAACGCCACCGACAATGTGGTGGAAGATTTTGGCGGTTGCTGCCATTGGGACAGTACACGCGGCTTCCCGAGACCAATGGCTCAGTCGGTCAGTCTACCAAGTGGTCACCGATCGCTTCGCTCGATCCGATAACTCAACCACCACTTCTTGTGATGCAGCACTGGGAAAGTATTGTGGTGGGAGTTTTCAGGGCATCATCAATAAGCTAGATTATATTCAGGAACTCGGGTTCGATGCAGTTTGGATCTCTCCAGTGCAAAGCCAGGAGTCAACTCGCACGGTGGACCTCTTAGGTATGGCCATCGTGACTGTCAACAGATATAGAGAACTAAAGATTGGTGTTAGCATACCATGGATATTGGCCAAACGACCTGTATTCCATCAACTCCCATTTTGGCACTTCCAATGACCTCAAAGCGTTATCCGCAGCGTTGCACGCGCGTGACATGGTGAGTCGCCAGCCGCCATATCTACTCACGAAAAGCTGACCTGAAAAATAGTACTTGATGCTGGACGTTGTCGTTGGTGACATGGCCTGGGCTGGAAATGCCTCCACTATCGACTACAGCACGTTCAATCCATTCAATGATCAGAAGTATTTCCACGACTACAAGCTACTTTCTGAGGATCCCACAAACAAGACCTGTGTTCTGGATGTAAGTCTGTCATCGCGTGTTATGGGATCATTGCTAAGCCTTCATTAGTGCTGGATGGGAGACAACACAATGTCGCTTCCAGATTTGCGAAACGAGGATCAGGAAGTCCAGCAGCTTCTGGGCACCTGGATTTCACAGTTGGTTTCGAACTACTCCAGTATGTGGATATGTTTCCTATCTCTCCAACACATTGAATAACAGTTATCCTTTGTAGTTGATGGCTTGAGAATCGACAGTGTCTTGAACATCCCCCCCGTCTTCTTCTCCAATTTCAGCAAGGCAGCGGGCGTTTTCACTATGGGTGAAGGTGCCACAAGAGACGCATCTGGTTACTGTTCTCTACAGCCCAGTCTAAGCGGACTTCTGAATTTTCCGTTGTGAGTAGCTCATCAAGATGAACGGAGGGCGTGTTGACCCTTTTTAGGTATTATATCCTCTCAGAAGCCTTCAACACAACCAACGGAGACTTGAACAGGATTGTACAGTCCATCGATCACATCAGGACACAGTGCGACGACGTACTACCCCTGGGAACTTTCACATCGAATCAGGATGTCCCTCGCTTTGGCTCATATACTTCAGACATATCGGTAAGTTGAGTGCATCCAGTATTTTGTCAGCATCTATTCACATTTCACTCCTGATTAGCTGGCTCGCAACATTCTCACAATCAACATGCTCGCTGACGGTATCCCCATCCGTATGTTGCGCCCGCACGAATAGAAAAAGCCAAAAAAACTGATAAAACACAATCCAGTCTACTACGGGGAAGAACAGCACCTGTCAGGTGGATTCAACCCTGTCAATCGGGAGGCCCTATGGCTTACCAAATACTCGATGAACTCGACCTCCCTACCTTTGCTAGTCCAAGCGTTGAATCGCATTCGATCATATGCGAGCGGCGACGGAGAAAAGTTCACGGTCGCCCCAAAATCAGGGGGCGACTATCTATCATACCTCTCATTACCAATTTACAACTCAACAAACATTTTGGCCATGCGCAAGGGATTTACCGGTAACCAGATTGTGAGTGTCGTCTCCAACTTGGGAGCCAAGCCAGCCACCAAAGCCACCACGAAAATCACGCTTGGCTCCGACGGCACGGGATTTTCATCCGGACAAAATGTGACCGAACTCTTGTCCTGCAAAACATTTGTGACTGATGCAAGCGGGAACCTTCATGTGGACCTCAGCTCGGATGGAGGACCTCGGGTGTACTATCCTACTAAAAGCTTGAACCGAAGCCCCAATATTTGTAGAGATGACACCCAGACATCGACAACCTCAGCAAGTCCAAAGACTTCCACCAGCACTGGGATTGCTTTATTCGGCTTGTCGTGGGAGATTCGGACATTGATAGTCACGGCTGCATTGACTACGTCCTACGTTTCCATCTAATTCTCTAGACCGCCATTCTGTTTTGAGCATATTTCCTCCGTATTAGTTTTCGATTTTGTTGACGTTCTTTTGGATGGTTTCTGCAATGATTTTAATATAGACGAGATGCTCCATACATTTAATTCTATTGTTTTCATATTACATGTGAATTAGCATGGAAAATAGGAGATATGTCGAGTAACAACAACATAGAAACTTCGTACTTAAGTCAGGATTTCAAGCTTTTGACTATTGCGCCTAACACAGTAAGACGGCATCTAGACCTACTAGTGCATGCCGTCTTACATGCCGCCTTACATGACCGGTATTAATTCACGGTTGTAAGTAACGATACAGTACGAAAATAGAGTTGCAATTATAACCTCCAGATGTCGATTTCCAGCCCTCCGTATTTACTGCACTTCTTAACTCTAACCTAGCGCTGACGTGATAGTAGCCCTTGGATGTTTGAAATGTTTCAATTCTTTATTAGCAAGGACAACAGATCACAATGCGGTTTGGAGACCCGATTGGGAAGATAAGGTGCAATGCTCACTTTGATGGACCCAATGGCTGATGCAGAGCGTGATCCTAGCAAGGACAACAGGTCACAATCACTTGATTGGAAAGATAAGGTGCAATACCCACCGTGATGGGCCCAACACAATAAGGCGGCTGATTCTAGCTGTGCCCGTTTGTTGTTACCCTACGTGGGCACCAGAACGACCCCTGGATTTTTTTCAGTCGCTCCACAAGAGGCTCAGCTCAGGTTGGAGATCATATGTGCAAGGCCTGGACTATCTCGTATTCTCAATGCGCTCAGCATCAGCTGAAAGTTACTGATCTCTGTACGGAGTACATACTGGTTCTTTTCATAATCTGTTTCCGAGTCTATCGACCAAAGACATATATAGACCTTTGCAGGGAAATAATTGAACATTCCCTAAAGCCTCACTCTCCAGTAATTCCATACTTCCATTCGATCAAAATGCGCTACTCATTCACCATCACTGCCCTGAGCCTCCTCTCGTCGGCCTTTGCCATCACCATAACCACTCCGTCATCAGACACGGTGTGGGATTTCTCCACTCCCAAAACTATCAAATTCACTAGCGATCCTAGTGATCCTGAAGTAATTAGCATCATCCTTCGAAGTCAGGATGGCTCCTTCCAGACCAAATTGGCGGATAACGTCCAGACCTCTGACGGCGAATACACCACCCAGCCTAACCCCAGCATTTCCAACGGGTATGTAGAAGAGTAGGTGAATAGAAAAAAACAACACTAATGCCGTTCTGTCATGTCTCAGAGATGACTACGAGATCCAGATAATTGATTCTGCGGGCCAGCTCGCCGTCAGTGACATTTTCACTGCCAAGAAGGGCGCTTCGGATGATGGTACCAAATCTTCGTCTTCTTCTACCTCTTCTTCCACATCTGCTTCTACGTCTTTGCCCACCACCGTCACCACCTCCACTTCTTCTTACACGACGTCCAATGTAACCACATCTACATCCGTCGCGGCCACCCTTACATCGTCCGCGTCTTCAACAGCCACGTCGTCGACTAGTTTTTTGTCTTCCTCAGGCATGATGCAACTCCGCATTGTTACAAGGTGATCATACTAATCCACTTTTATTACAGGCTCCACCACCTCCTCATTTTCTACCTCTTCTTCCAAGACCACTTCTTCCACCTCTTCCGACACTTCATCCACCAGTGCCTCTGCCTCCGCCTCCGCTTCGCCCTCGACTGGTGCTGCGCTGTCTCAGTTCAGTGCTCCCAAAGGAGCCATGGCTGTACTCGGTGGTGCTTTCGCGCTCTTCTATGCCTAGATCATATCCAACAGATAGTATTGTGCCTCAAGCGTCCATAGATTGCATAGCAGAGACTTCTCCTTATTCGCCTCGCCTTCGTAGCCCCACACATGTTTTCCCAGAAGACTCTATGGACGAGGTAAAACTGGTTCGTAACGATAAGTCAGAAATATGCGAAGTTACTGAGCATGAAGAGTTTGTGGTTTGATGCAGAGAAAATAATATTGTCCTTACAGTTCTTGAATGCCTGTTTCAAAATCAAGTTAGCCAAAGATCTTACATATCCCCATCACATCGACTTTGACGATAATTTTATTTTTGGAAGTCATTATTATATAAATGCCTGGTGTACAGCCATCATATCTGACAGAGTGAGGTTCACTAAGTGGCCAGGATCGCGGCATACATCATAACAGACAATCAATTAATGTATAGATTTCTGACCCCCAAAATATAAAAACAGATAACCGCGACACTTAACGATTTTTTTTTCTCATGATGTTTTCTTGGAAAATATATATAGTTCAACTTGCCGCAATCGCAGAACTCAAGCAAATTCGCTATCCATAATGCCCAATTTAGATATTTATTGCTTTATACGTTTAATTTGAAGTACTATTAGATATTGGGAGGTAGAAATTGACCCCTATTCTAATTATTCACATATATACTCTCGGTTCTTCTGTGTTGTATTCTGATATTTATAGATCGCCCAATTTACCTTCTCTTTTGGGTGTATCCACTTTCGCCTTATGACGTATGAAGAAGAGGCTTGGCGTTTTCCCTTTTCCCCCAAAGTTGTTCTTTTCTTGATAACTGTGTTGGCACAAAGCCTTCATTAAATGTGTGAGGGGCTCCCTCGAAACCCTTGAATTGTTTCTTATATCATGATGGTAAACAAAGTTCTTATTCCACGTCTGAGACGCGAAATATCCGAAAATGAGGGACGAAGGCGAACTGCGCGGGCCTGCGACACGTGCCGACAGCGGAAACTGAAGTGTGACGGCAAAAAGCCTACATGCGCCCAGTGCGATGCTCACGGTCTAACGGCATGCGATTATTCCGAGGCAAAAAGTGTTAGAGAGCGGAAGCAGCTAGAGTTGGCTCAGTTGAAAATTGGAGTCTACGAGGACTTGCTTCGGAATATCTCCAATACAGTCGACGAGTCGACTGCCAAACAAGTTCAACGCGCCCTTAAAGTACGTTTAGGTCTGTCACTGCGTGATCTCCCCGCTAAACGACAAATGAGTATAGGACCCATATGGAACATGGAGTGAACGGCGAAGCAGTTCTTCTAATGCTTCATTTTCATCGATTGGCTCTCTGGACAATATTGATACGGTGGGTGAAGATCTCAATCGAAGCAAGGAAAGCAGAGCTACAGGATACATGGGTAAAGATTCTGAAATTGCGTGGATGCAACGGTTGGAGTCGAATGCTCCGAGCCAGAGCAGCAACTCGGATTCTTTAGGGAATCCTTCAAAAGACCGGCTTCTCGTCAGTGGCTCCATCAGCCCAATGAACTATCATCTTGACTACCATCATCTGTCCGAACCTGAAGTGAGGAATGCTTTCGTCCTACCGCCGAAAGCGCTGGCAGACCATCTACTCCATATTTTTCGCACTAACGTCGACACGTCCTTTCCAATCCTCCGATGGGGCCTATTCATGGATCAGTATCGCCGACTTTACTCAGAAAGCTCGATAAACCCCGGAAGGAGGTGGTTGGCTGTCTTCAATATGGTCCTTGCTATTGGTCGGAACTTTTGCCGAGCCTCCCAGCAAGATCTGCAGGATAACGCTGATGAAGACGTGTTCTTTGCTCGAGCGAAGTCCCTGAACATATCGGATACTGTTCTCTTTGGCTATGAGGATCTGCAACAAGTGCAGGTCGAGACTCTGATGGCGTTATATTTTCTGACAGTTTCTCGGGTTAATAGGTATGGTCCCCAAACATCTGTTATAAGGGGATTCGTTCCTGTGGATGCTTTTTTGTGTTATGTATTTCTAACGAACTCATATGTCCTGGAAAATGGTCGGAATTGCCGCACGCTCAGGCATCGCATTAGGACTTAATATTCGAAGAACGAATAATACGTTTGATACGGAATCCAACGAAGCGCGGAAGCGGCTGTGGTGGTCGATATTCTACCTGGAACACCTGCTCTCTGTCATGACTGGCCGAGCCTCTTGTCTTGGAGATGGTTCCTGCTCTGCACCTCCACCGCTGCTCTTTGGAGACTCAGAGTATGGGTTGTCTATTGTTGACTCGATGGAGTCTGTCCAGGCCTACGACCTGCAATGGACGGTCTTTCAACGCGACGAACAGACCGAATCCCAACATACGTTCTTGAAATCTATGGAGCCCAGCGCGTCTCTCTACTTCTTTTATCTAGTAGACTTGGCTTTGATCACGCATGCCATCACCAATCGCGAGCATAGTACGAGCATCTTTCGAGACGGTTGGATTCAGATCGAAAGTCGCATTGGGATTTACAATCACAAGTTAGATCAATGGGTATCTGGCTTACATCCTTCCTTGGCCTTTGAAGACAAGCATGGTAATCAACTCCTCAGGAGTAGATCAAATTATCAAGTCTCGTTAGCATTGCACTATTACAGCGCTCGGGTTGTCCTCAATCGGCATTGTCTTACACGCCCAGAAATTGTCGAAAATAGCGGCATCAGGTTTCCACGATCCCGGTTCTACAACAAAACCTCTTCAGCATTCCTACGTGCTTCTTTGGCGCTCATCGCTGTCCTACCAGATCAACCAGATATGGATTGGGCCTACAATGTCGCCCCATGGTGGGGTTTCCTGCATTTTCTGATGCAAGCCACTATAGCTTCCCTTATACATTTGTCGGTTCTCTCAGTATCAGCGAGGTCCGAGGCTGACGAGGGCGCTACTGGGTCGGTGGAAACGCTTGAAGTTGTTTTTGCCGCGACTAAGAAAGCACTCCACTGGCTTCATTGCCTAGGGAAATCTGATGAGGCCGCTCGTCGAGCTTTTCTGCTTTGCGACAGCCGCATTCGCCGTATAGCCCCTAGCAAGGGCCTGGATTTGAGTGACATACCCCCCACGAGTGATTTATCCCAGACGCCTAGCGCTGTCCACCATCCGCAGCAGGGGGGTATACCAAGAGAGACAAGCAACTGGAAGATGCAACGAGATCATGGCACCGATAACCCCCAATCGCCAAAATCAACGGCCTCGCGGGGTTTTGGAAACAATGAAGGAAGCGAGGATGTACAGTTTCAAGAGTTCGAAGAGGCACAAATATCTCGAGACAACCTACGGGGTCTTTGTGCGGTGCTTGACACTGATATTGCTCTGTCAGAGTGGATTTTGGATCCGACCGACGCAAATTTTGAAGACTTATTATTATTGATGATGGGGCCCGGTGTATAGTTTTCTCACATACCACGGCTACACGGCTACAATGGGTACGATAAACTTGGCCGCAATTCAACTGGTTTTGGAGAAAAATAATCGTCCCAACCGTTTTGCGATTTATTGCCCTGCACGGTAAATTCCATACACAGGAATAATTAATTGTCTAGGTCCGAACGAATTAAAAATGTGAAAAAAACAAAAAACATACAACAGTGAGGATTCGCTGGTGGTCACCCACCCAACTACTAACTCACCGGCGTGTGGCTTAAGTACGGCTGAGCGGACGGGAAGCCCTGTTTTCCACACCCTATGGTCGTATGTGATTTGTATAGCACATGAGAGGACCATAGAGTGTAAATTGTCGGCGCATGAGGTAGCTGGGACTCAAATTCTCCGAACGACTATTCCACGCGCCATAAGCTCTTTCTTACTACTTGCCTGCCTTGCTTATTAGGATTAATGTACCAAGAGAGAGTTTAAACCTCCGGAGAGCCAGTATGTAGAGAGACAACTGTCTATACTCATGTGTATTTAATAGAATGAACGTGTTAGGCTCCAGAGGGAGAGAGGGAGAGAGGGAGAAATATCTACGGTTCAATCGATGGAAGCGAAGGGTATGTATACCCTGCTGTGTAGCAAACAATCTTCAAATAATGGGACCTCATTCTGTAGCAAACAATCAAGCGCCAATGAGATGGTTCAACGGGACCGAAAAGAAAGAGGGTAGTTGACGAGAGAAAGCGGCAAACTGTTTACATCTATCTAAAGATCTTATTAAACATGGTGGTCTGGGGCCACCGACAAACAAAAGACAGTGGTGGAAGAAAAGAAAAGAAAAGAAAAGGAAAGAAAGAGAGAGCGGATCAGGATGATCCTGCACAAGGGAAGAACTGAAAGGACAAAAGCATCAAGGCAAATAAGAAACTCTTCTATCCAAGCTGCAGAGCGAAGATACTCAGTGTTAAGGACCAGAGGGTGCATTGACAGCCCCCCTAGGTACTACCCGATGTCTTCTTCCCCTTGGGGACACGAACAAGCCAGTAGATAAGTAACGCGCCAAAGATATTGGCTATGATGTATACCCACATCAGACCAAAGTTCCGCCAAGCATCAGCGAAATCGCTGGAGATTGCTAAGAGGTACGTGTTTGTTTTACTGACCGTGCAGAACGAGCAGTCAGTGGTAGCCAGGGGATCTTTGAGATACCCGGACCCAGTCGTTTTGATGAAAGGGCCCATATAGTCCTGGCAAGTTTGGTTGGCTGGGAGGTTGAACTTGAGGTACTCGACTGCCTCGCAGGCTGCATCAGCACCCGAAACACCCGTCGAAAGCATGGCTGAGACCAAGTAGGTAAACGGCGACACTCGGTACATGAAGATCCAAAACCCAGGTAGGGCCTCCTTGGTTGAGAGAACGCCACAGAAGATCAAGCAGAGAGAGAATAACAATGTTGCGATATTGCCACCAGTCTCGGCCAGTTCAATCCCTGCGATGACCATGTGTGCGAATGTTGAAGTGAATAACAAGAATGTCCAGATCAGGAGGAACATGAGGGCGCCTCGTTCGCTCACTGCGTCGTCCGGCTCTGCATTCCTATACAAGCCAATTGGATAATACCAGCAGAAGAATATAAATACCGACATAAGTGTGTTCCACGGTAATTCCACCAGAATATTCGAGATCATAAACGCCTTCCAGCTGTACGCCTTGGATGGACGCTCTCGCACCTCGTAAAGAGAACGTTGGGTAACAAAGTTTGGCATGATCTGCTGCACCAAATTTCCGAAAATTGTCATCAGCATGAAAACACTGAACATCTGGTTCTGGAGGCCTTGGATGGAATTTTTGGCGTGGAAAAATGAGAATCCAATATAAAGCGAAGTGAGGATGCAAAGGGCAGCTTTCGACCAGATATAAGTGGGGGTACGATAGTATTGTGCAAATACACGTAGGAGACACTCCCACAGTTGGACGTAGAAAGGCGCAGCAAATTCCCGAAATGCGTCAGGCGAAGAATCATCTTGTGATTTGGAAGATAGGGTGGATTTTAGCTCCGAGAGGTGTGCCTTGACCTTCTCATACTCTGGACTCTCCCGCCAGACCTTTGGCCATTCGATTTCGCTGTGCGTACCAGGAGCTGCACCGATAACATCCAACATCCATTCTGCGGGGTTTTCTCCAGGAGTGAGATGATGGGCACCGTTCCGTTGGAAATAGTTCGACAAAGTGGACGAGTTTTCACCAATCTCACCGAAGTAAATCGTTTTACCCCCTTTGGCCAAGAAAAGGAGACGGTCGAATCGCTGGAACAACATAGCCGAAGGTTGATGGATAGTGCAGAGAATTGCTTGTCCGTGCTTAGTGAGCGTGTCGATCAGGTCAAGAATAGACCAAGAAGTTTGACTATCCAGGCCACTCGTAGGTTCATCAAGGAATAGCAGGAGCTGGGGCTTCGCGGCAAGTTCCACGCCTATCGTCAATCTCTTCCGCTGCTCAACGTTCAATCCCTCACCCGGGACACCAACGATAGCATCAGCGTACGCTTCCATACCAAGGAGCTTGATGACCTCGTCGGCATACTCTATCTTCTCCTGTCGACTGACGGTGGCAGGTTGACGTAGCAAGGCACTGAACACCAAGGCTTCCCGAACTGTCGACGTAGACAAGTGCAAGTCCTGCTGTTGAACATATCCAGTTTTTCGCTGGAACGATTGATCTGTTGGGTGTCCGTCGACGAGCATTTCACCAGTGACAACACCCATTGTAACTCGGGTTGCGAGCACGTCAAGCAAAGTTGTTTTTCCAGCCCCAGAGACACCCATCAATGCGGTACAGGTGCCGGGCTTGACCCAGCCGTCAACATGGTCCAAAATCCTTCTGGGTTCCCCTTTGATTTTGATATCATAGCACACATCCTGCCACTGGAATATCGCAGTTTGTCGCTGGATTGCGGCCGCTTGAGGAGGAGAATCGTTTGTCTTGGCGACTGCAGAAGGTTGGGAAGATACCTCCAAATCACTCTCTCCGGCAAGTTTCGGCTGATTACCACGGCGGAATAGAAGGACCTCGCCTTTGGACTTTTTCTCGGAGATATACTCAGTGGCGAGAAGATAGGTGGACATGAAGAATATCAAGAAGCCAATGAGAATTCCAAAGTTTCTCCACAGATGTCCTTTCAAATACCCGAAGCTCTGGCTGAGATACAGTGATCCAGACACATTGGTGGAGCCTGACTGAGCACCGACAGTCGAGCAGATGCGATGTTCCATGGATACTTTGTCGTATTCACCACCAGAGGGAACAACAGCAGCACATTCGAAATAACGACCATGGAATTCATTGACCATGAAACTTTCAAATGCGTAGGCAACAGGATTGATGTAGTTCATCCAGCGAGACCACCCAAGCATATTGCGTGTGGGAATGACGAACCCAGTATAGATGACCATGCCCAAGATCAAAATGGCGGCTGGGACCAAGGCTTGTGAGAGGGATCGGGAAGATCCCGCTATGGTTCTGAATATCATTGACATTGTGAACGTGGTGATGACCGAAAATAGCCAAAAGGTAAAGAATGCTCCAGCTTCGCGACGCAGGTCAGTCATAAAGTACAATGGTATGTTGAAGGTAAAGGAATTTATCAGTTTATATGGCGTATCGCAGAGCATAGATGCAAGTGCCTCTGCGAAAGGGTGGTAGAAGGCGTATCGGGCTTGCTTTTCAACAATTGGTCGTTGGGCGTATAGGGTCAGGATTTCCAATGCGCTGGAGAATGCATTCAGGAGGACGGCAAAAAACAAAAGAGCTCCCCGAGAATAGAAGCTGGAGGTATCCTTCGGCAGGTTCACAAATACCGATCCAATGATCAAAGCCATGACGAAGTTGCCAACCAAAGCTGTTGCTGTCAAGCTATAATCTCCACGAAGGCGCTGGAAGCCACGGGTCACACAGAGCGAAATCTGCTTCCGTACCGAGATGGTGTATGGTGAGTTAACCCTCTGGTGCTTGCCCTGGATAGCCTTACGGGCATCGACAAATGCATCGTAGGAGCTACCTTTGATGGGATAGTTTGTCTCATACTCCTTGATTTCGATGATAAGCTTGGCACGGGTTTCGCTTCCCTTCCATGCTGCCGCAAATTCATCAGGGGTGCGAGGAACGCGGTCTTCAAATCCACTCCGAACCACGCGTTCCCCGGGGCTGGTGATCGACGTCAAGAAGTCTGCCGTGGTTTGACGCTCTGGGCACTCATAGCCCATATCTTCAAAGTATTTCCTGGCCTCGGTGGTTCGCCCGAAGTAGATCTGCCTTCCTTCATAAAGCAATGTTACCTTGTCAAAGACATCGTAGGCATTCTGAGAAGCTTGGTAGATGGCAACACAAGCTGTTGTTCCCGAGTATTTGCTCATAAGGGCGAGATTCCGGCAAAATTCGAGTGCATTGGCGCTGTCAAGGCCTCTTGTGCTATTGTCCCAGCACTGCAAGGGGCTCTGACTGAGAGTAGCCTCCGCAATACTGACGCGTTTCCTCTCGCCTCCACTAACTCCGCGAATGAAGTCATTTCCAACCCGGGTGTTTATCGTATGAGAAAGGCCAAGCATCGCCATAACCACATCTCTCATATGTTCGGCATATTGCTTGTTTGAAACTCCATCGAGGCGATTTCGGGGGCCCTGGCTAGCGCCGCGAACATGAGGGTGTCGCCGACGGAGAGTTGGGGGAAGTGGACGTCGGTCTCTGCTGCGTAGATTGCTTCGCCTTTGAAGGAATGTTGCATGTCGTGTGCAGAGATACCTAAAGTTTTGGATATGTATCAAAATCTGTCCAAAAAGTGAAGCCATACAGCATGATGTAGCAAGACACTTACCCTGATAGTTGAGAACCGACTCCTCCGACATCTCAATGCCATTCATTTCGCCGGCAATGGTTTTGAGTAGAGTTGAACACCCACTACCTGGCTTTCCCAAGACCACTAATGTTTCTCCACTTCGTACGAGACCGTCGAAGTCACGCAGGATCTGAATCTTCTGAAGTTTCAGGCCAGCCAGTCGGCGGACCATAGTCCCAAGCTCCAGCAGCGAGTTCAGGACATCTTTCTGATAGTCGGTGGGAGAACCAAATCCATGGACGCTCAGATTTTGGAATGCAATACCAGCGGTCCGATCTGGGTATTTGTCGGGGTTGCGAGACCGGATGGCCAGCAACATCTTCATCCAGTCCCGTGCCTTGAAGTTGGGACTGTTGGGATTCAGTGAGGATTCAGAATCTTCATTGGTGAACGGATTGTCCAATGCACCATTTACAGAGAATCGAGTAGATTGCCGGGTCAGCTGTCGTGCTAGCCGACCAACCAGTGCCTCTCTATTTTCCTCCTCTTGTATAGTATCTTCATCCCCATCCTTTTCTAGGTCACTGATCATGTTGAGATCGTGTTCGCCTGGGGGATGCACTGTATTGTGGCTAACCACGGACTGAGATCGAGAAGGATTTGGGTTGAGCGTCCCAAGGAGCGACATCTTGGTTCCGATGTCAACCTTTTAAGTACTGGAATAGACTTGGGCAGGATTGCCGTATCGCCGGGTGCTCGTGTTGGAGCAAACAGGATGGCCCAAAAAAACAAATCAGAAAAATGCAATGCAATATAATAAGAAAGAAAAAGTTTAGATTGATGGGAGTCCGAGAAAGAATGTATCGACAACAGTAAACCACAAACAATCTGGGAGCTCGACATATATAAGTTTATCTCTAAATCCACAGACAAATGTCACTAACAAAAACAAATTTATTAGCCCGGCAGATCCGGCCAGGTTAGGCATAATCATGCGTGAATAGCGACATAAGAACCTCCGGAGTGCCGAAATAGATCGGGCCTTGGATAATGATGTGAATTCGGCAAGGAATGTGTCCTGGTTATTAGAGTACTTCCGGATCCCGAAACGGGGCTATGCCCCAGGTTTCTCCGAAGACCCTACGGAGTACTCCATACATATGTTGTTATGTACATATATGTTGTAGGTAAATGGAGAGCCTATGGAGAGTCTAGAAGTCAAAACTTGAAAGGGGCTCGGGTTGGGGCAGGTCTTGGCATATACCATTACGTGGTATTTACCAACTAAAGAACATCCGGCCTCCGATAGACTATTGAGCTCATGCCAAGCTATACCAAATAAGGCTAGAAAATAACCATTCGTCAGATTCTAACCGTATGTAAAAATACATATTACATAAAGACCTGATATACCGGGCTATCGGAGCCAAGCTATTCCGAATCTACTGAGCTCAACTTATATGGGAGATCTCCCACAATTTGCCATCTTATGATGCCGTTATCCCACTGTTCGCTGTTTTTTTCTCCTGATGCTTCAGGTGTCTTCCTGCAGACATACTGTGGATCTTTTTTTTGTTTTGCTTTGTTTATTTTCTAAATTCACCAGAGTTCCAGCGCTCTTAGCAGTCTCGTCCTATATCTACATGTGTAATTTTTACGACTCATGAATGTCCAAAATGAATAGGGTGCTCAATAATCACCCCCGCGGCGACTCTACATTGCGCCAACATTTATCCCAGTTCTCAGGGACAGAAAACGGACACCGAAGGCAGAGACGGCGGGAGAAAAAGGTTGGACTCCACAAAGGCCTATCAAGGCATATACTAATAATATCACTAGGCATGTGAGACCTGTCGACACAGGAAAATAAAATGCGAAGTTACCACCAAATCCAAATGCTCGTACTGCAGCAAAGCCAACATTCCTTGCTCTCTGACTGAGTATAGGCGGCAAAGGCATCTAAAGAAGTACAACACCATAGCTGATGTCATAATTTGACAATAATGAATAACAATTTAACAGTCAGGATATGATCGATCGCTTGGAGGCAAATATCCAGCGCATCGAGGCTCATTTTCGGAAGATAGGGTTTGACCTGGGTCAGGATGTGGACGGGTCATCCTTTATCGAGGGGTTTGACCAGTCGGATGGATCCTCATCATCGAGTCCAGCTGGAAATACAGATCTACGAAGAGACATGGGTATTTGGGATTCAGGACCAATGCACATGGACGCTGAACAAAACCGCTCTGTCGCTACGCGGAATGTATATCATACGCTGGCTGACCCCTCCGATGGAGTCTACACAAGAATACCCGACGATTTGACCTGCTTCTCCTTTCCAAGGTGTTTTACAGATACACCAGACCCCGGTGAGAACTATAGCCGATTTCATGGTTGATTAAAGCTGATTGATATAGGCTTCTCACTCCTATCCCCCAAGGGAAAGGAATGGATGGCTCATAGAATGGAAGGGGGAAGGCTTAATAATTTAGAATATTTCCTGTCATCGGGGGTCCCTCAAAAAACTGATCGAGGACTCCTTGGGGGTTTATTTCCTGACAAGCATTTCTGCCCATTGCCTCCAAAAGATGAGATCACATCATTGGTCAATGACTATTTGCAGCAGTTCAACCCTTTATGTCCTATATTTCAGCCGTCGTCGCTATTGTCACTTTGCGACGACAAGAACTTACAGGACATATTCAATTTTCCCGGTCGTTGGGCGAGCCTCAATGTTGTTTTAGCGATAGGGCTTATGCTGCGCGTAAAGAACAGCTCTGTCGTACAGGCTGAGCATCAGAAGAGCTGGTTGTTCATGAAGAACGCCTTGGGGGTCTTGAATGAGCTTTGCTTGGGGCCACCAGATCTATGGACTGTGCAGGCACTTTTAGGGATGGTAAGACACCCAACTGCCTTGAGAGAAAATATGACTAACAACCCTTCTTCTATAGATTGTCTTTCTCTTGGGGACATTGAGCAGCCAGCCATGCGGGTATTTGATTTCCTCCGTTGTGCAAATATGTCATCAAATCCGACTCGAACGAAGTGAGGATGGGTCCGGATTGGTCCCTGAAGAACTAGAACAACGCAGGCGGATCTTTTGGATCACATACTGCCTTGACAAAGAGTAGGAGACTCTATTATACTGACATCTCAGTATGATGCTGACATGTCCTAGAATATCTTTTCGGGATGGTATTCCATTAGCGCAACGCGACGATGATATGGATGTCTTATTGCCAATGGAAGCTCCACTGGATAACATAGGAACCATGGCAACAACAGACCAACAAGGAACCTTCAACGCATTCAGATCAGCATGTGAACTAGCCTTAATCAAGAGCCAGGTACACCAACACCTCTATTCGTTAGCAGCAGCAGATCGCCCGCCTGTTGAGGTGGCCGCCGCCGTTGCGATGTTGAACCAAAAGCTCCAACAGTGGAAGGATAGTATTCCCATCGAGTTCCGACCAGAACTACGAAGACCTTGCGCTTTTCCACAGTCCCCAACAGCCGCGATTCTTCTTTTGCTGCATTTCTCATACTTCAACTGTCTGATCGCTATTCATCGAGTTACCGCGGCCCGAGGGTCAAGGCTGGGTGTGGATTTAGTCGAAAGCAACAGTTTCCACATTGCACCCAACCCAGTGGTATTCGCGTCGGAATCACTATGCACAAAATCTGCAATAGCGTCGATTAACTTGATCAAATATATGCCAAAGTCTGATATCATCCTTATCGGGTACGTGGTGACTAAGATTAAAACACGTCCTTTTTCTTCCTTGTTCTGTGGCTAATCTACACAAGGATCATGATCTACTTTCCTGTTGTCGCATCCAAAACACTGTCCTCGACCATCGTCCAGAATCCGCAAGACACGTCACGTATATATCACACCGGGCTTATCATGCAAGTGGAGGCATTTGTGTCAACATTGGTCCTCGGTACACCCAATAAAGGGATAGAAGGACTTTTGAAGGACTTGCAAGCTAACAGAGAACCGGAGAAGGAAAGAGAAGCATTCGCTTCACGAAAAAAACAGAAGGATCTAGTTTGATGAATCAGGGACCAACAAATAGGTGCCATCAACTGCGCCAAGTATTGATCTCTGGCGGGTGCTGCAGTTAGGGAGGCTACATGAATGTGTCCGGTTTAATGTGTAAACTATCTATTTCTCTTAACAATACAGTGGAGGATAATATAATAAAGATAAAGATTAGAGCTACGCAGGCGCCAACAATATTCAAAAATGAAATAAAAAAACATACAACAGTGAGGATTCGCTGGTGGTCACCCACCCAACTACTAACTCACCGGCGTGTGGCTTAAGTACGGCTGAGCGGACGGGAAGCCCTGTTTTCCACACCCTATGGTCGTATGTATAGGACAGCACATTGGAGAGAGTTATAGAACGTCAATTGCTGGGTGAACATGTGGTTGAGAGCGAGAAATGGGTGAGAGCCGCGTTAGCGTAGCGCGACGGTCCATCACGTGCTCTCTCTCTCTAAACCCCATTATCCCATCAAAAACTGACTGGCGTCCTTAACCTTCGTTCTAATGATCTATTCCTATCCAAGTGGCAAACAACAGTCTAGTATGTTCCAGATCAACCTTTTTTTCCCAGGATTACCTCGAAGGGCGACGAAGTATGCCATCCGGGGCACAACTCTCCCATCGGATAATATTGCCTAGTATTTTATTGAAAATCTTTTCCAGGCCGCTACTTTAACACTTTTACCTGCAACCATGAGAATAAGTCACATTGTCCATCATGTGGAGGCTTCTTACTGCGTACTTCTTGCATGCTTGGCCGACATTCAACAAAGTTTACAGTGCATCTTCTGGCGACCCCGAATCACCTACGGAGTATACTGTCATGTAACGTACAAAAATTATTTCATGCTACGATTCAGTACTATACGAGTACTTCCGAGTATTAAGTCATTCTCAGGTTTAATTATACTAGGAACAACGCATTTTGACATGGGGTTTATCAGACAAGGTGAGAATTTTCAGGAAAACCGATTTCCTAAGCTAGTTACTGCACGTGGAAAGACTTAGTGTCTTTTAATACAATAAGTTTTTCGAAAAGTTGGGCTGTCTGACAAAATAGGTCATTCTAATGTTTCTTGACAGAGCTTCAATTGTTCATCCGTCCAGATAGGCTCGTCGCCCTTGAAAAAGAGCTTTTCCCCAGAAAGGTCATTGAGGCGGGGGAGCTTCAGCTCGATCCAAACAGCGTCTAGTGCCCTGACCAACTCCTTTTGTAGGTCCCTGGTGTGTCCGGGGGTAGGTGTGATCCGTAGTCTCTCCATCCCACGCGCGACCGTGGGATAGTTGATAGATTGAACATAGATGTCGTGCTTCCGTAGCAGGAGATCTGAAGCTGCTTTCGATTTCTCCGCATCACCAACAAAGAGAGGTATGATATGAGAGGGATTTGGAATGACTGGGAATCCCTGAGCGACAAGCTCAGCCTTCAGTGCGCGTGTATGTATTTGCTGGAGGACACGATCAGCGGCACACGTTTGCTGATACTCAATCGCTGCATGAGCGCCCGCCATCACGGAGGGAGGGAGAGAGGTAGTAAAAATGAAGCCCGGCGCAAGACTCCGAATGAAATCTACTACACTGCTGGACGCGGCAATGTAGCCTCCCGCCACTCCAAATGCCTTTCCAAGGGTGCCACTAATGATATCGACTCGAAACATCACATCTGTTCGAGATTTCATGGGTACCCGGGACTGTTGACGGGCGTGATGGAACTCGAAGTTGAGATGTTCTGCGACGCCAGCCCCCGATGGTCCGTACATCCCAACCGCATGAACTTCATCCAAAAATGTGATCGCACCGTATTTTTCTGCCAAAGTACAAATACCCTCAATCGGTGCAATAGACCCGGACATGCTGTAGACAGATTCAAACGCGATGAGTTTGGGTCGTTGAGGTGCAACAGAAGCGAGTTTGGACTCCAAATCTTTTAGATCATTGTGCTTGAAAATAATTTTCTGGGCTCGTGAGTTTCGAATTCCCTGAATCATGGAAGCATGATTCATACTATCGCTAAAGATCACACAGTTAGGCAGCTTGCTCCCAAGTGTAGCAAGTGTTGCATCGTTTGCCACATAGCAGGAAGAGAAAACCAGCGCGCTCGGCTTATTGTGCAAGTTGGCAAGAGATTTTTCCAGCAAAATGGCATGCTGATTGTGGCCGGATATATTCCGTGTACCCCCAGCCCCTGCCCCATACATTTCCAACGCTTCGCGCATGGCAGAAAGGACACTAGGATTTCTACTCATGCCCAAATAGTCATTTGAACACCAAACAGTAACCTGGTCATCTTTGTTGGATAGATGAGCCCGAGGAAATTGACCAGCCAAACGATTGATATTGTTGAAGTGTCGATAGGATTTGTCGCGGTGTTTCTTCTCAAGTTCATCCATACAGAACTGTTCCAAATCTTGCTTCTCGAATTTGTCGGTTTTCGATAGTGCTTGCTCTTCGACGGTGCCAGACCGGTGGAAAGATAAAGCAGCCGTTTTCCAAATGGGCCGACATGGAAGTGCTCTCAGTGGCTTTGATTTCAGATGTCTAAACTGTCTAATGGTCAATTTGGCTCCGTTCAAGCTTTCCATCATGGTGGGCGTGATATGCTTAATGACTTGATGAAGTAATTCAAGCTCTGTTAAACGATTAATGCCCTCTATCGCGGGCAATCTTCTCTAAGTAGTCGTCTTCACCGAAAACCTTCGTAGCTTTTCAGGTGTATTACACCTCCCAAGTCGAAAAGTGGGTAAGATCTACTAGGGAGTGGGCGCCTTGCATGGTCCAATGATTTTGTGTTGTATACACACCTGGGCGACCATTAAATACCTGTTACAATGAACATGAGCGTAGTCATGACAATAGAGACCGCGCTATTTTGCCCTTATAAGGTTCTTCCCGGCAAAATCAGCAGTGGTCTAGAGTGAGCGTTCTAGCCTGAGAATCTCCAAAAAGAGGTGTTTTTGTAATATTAAGACACAACGTAATACCCAAGTAGATATGAAAGTCTAACACGCAAATTTCGCAACCCTCTCAAAACCCCCATCTGTAGTCCAATGAGAAAGCAGGGTTTATACGATATGCTGAAGCACAATATGTGAAGGGAAAATGGATGTGTAACGGATGCGCGATGCCAGATCTGAAAAGCACATCAGGCGACATGCGACAGCTCACCCTTCACCGCTGGTACCGCTGCATCTGCGGACTTTATATACGGGTCGCTGATGATTTTGCAGCGAATTGTTTTTGAACTCAATTAAATATATAGTTTTGTCCTGTTCACATGACAAAGTTTTCTAGTCATAGCCTCACCCAGACGACGGTCGTTGTATGCACACCAGTATTTGAAGACCCCAGGGGATTGTCCAAAGGCGAAGAAAAGGTTGTGTTTGATTGACGGATTTGGAACGCATTTGATAGGTTCATTTGAGCTTGAAAGTGAGAGCCAAAGATTGGGCTGTGCTAAATTGCCGGGGTGCCACGTACATGTACAGACAGCCATGTTTCACCTCGAGAATCACAATTCTGCTTCCAGCATAAGATCACCTGGCTCAATCGTTTTGATCTGCCCCTGTGAATATACAATTAGCACTAGTGATACAGTAGGAATGCCGGGTGTTCATCTGTAAGACGGAATTTTCCACACTCGAGAATTATAATTTCCATTACATACGTCTCGTAGGGTGAATCCATTAAGAACGTATCTAAATTATTGGGTTCTCATTTTGATCGAAGATATTGGCCGGAAGTAAAGCGAGATCGGTACGGAGTGACAGTCCAGATGATATAAAGTGGCGGCCTGTCTTCCCAACTTGCATTTACATAAAGCACCTACTACTTAGCAATCACATCATGTCAGCGTCAGAACCTCTGCCGGTAACCCAGGTTACATTTCCCACTGCTAGTAACAACCAGTGGACTCAGGATGGGACAGCCCATATCTCTAGCCAGCTCAAAAGCGGCTACAACCACACCGTGTCCGCCATGTGGCAAGCCGAACGGCAACTACACAAGGTGAACACACCAGATTTTACATTTTTGACAGCGGCATGTGCTAAAAAAGATTCGCAGTCCATGTTTATCTATCCTGTTTTCTTGTCAACCGATCCAGACAGGGAAGAGCCTATTCCGAGTCTCCCTGGCCAGTACATACGGGGACTAAACAAGTTGCTCCCTTTTCTATCCAATCTAGTTGCGAAGGGCCTCCACTCAGTTATTCTGTTCGGCACATTGCTCAGTAGCCACACAAAAGACAATATCGGCTCCATGGCAGACAGCGTTGATGGTCCCATCAGACCCGCAATTCCGCTTATCCGCCAGAGCTTTCCCAACCTATATGTCATCGCCGATGTCAGTCTCTGCGAGTACACGGACCACGGACATAGTTCCGTCCTTTTCGAGGACGGCACGGTTGACAACGAGGCAACTGTCACGCGTGTCTCCGATATGGCACTGTCTTTCGCTGCTGCCGGCGCTAACTGCGTCGCTCCATCGGATATGAGCGACGGTCGTATCCGCGCGATAAAGCTCAAGCTCCTCGAAGCCCGGCTGGAAAGTAAAGTCGCTATCATGTCATATTCCGCAAAATACGCCAGCTGTCTCTACGGACCTTTCCGCGAGGCTGTCTCGTCCAAACTTGTCACCGACGAGCACAAGCGCTATCTATTGCCGCCTCCCGCACGAAAACTCGCCCAAAAGGTCATGCTCCGCGACATGCACGAGGGCGCCGATATGATTATTGTAAAGCCGGCTTATGCAGATATCATCAGCGACGCCAAGAGCATCGCTAACGTGCCGGTCGTTGCCATGCAGGTGTCTGGCGAATTCGCCATGCTCCACGCAGCTGCCCGTGCTGGTGTATTTGACCTGAAGACCATTGCTTTTGAAACGACAGAGGTCATCGTCCGCTCTGGTGCCGATGCCATCCTTAGCTATTTCACTCCAGAGTTTCTCGATTGGTTGAGCTGAATTTATACCTTTCTTTCGATGCGAGGTGGAAAGATATACAGTCTCACTAGAGATAAATTCCGCTTTTCGGTTCTCTTGGTCTAGTCATCTCTTTGGACAGTCAAAGGAGACGAAGTAACACATTTTTCGTGATTGAGCACAAATAAATTATTTTTTCTCTATAGTTGATTATCTCATTAGAATATAGTTGACTCTCCCATTCAACCTAGCTTCTTTGGAAATAAGTACTGATGGTTGAAGTGGAACACTACTATTATAGGCATGGACTATCAAGTGGCTTCTGGGCAACAACTCTCATCACTTTCAACGGTGGGGTATTTCCATCCGCACAAAGACGACAATGCTGCTCGATTAACTCCCCAGCTCGTTTCGATGCCGCCTCTTCATCAGCAACCTGCCCAGACCGCAACAAAAGACTTGCATACAAGGTTTCAATAATGGTAGTGAGCCTTTCCTCGGTGTCAAGGCGGAGGTCACTATTCCAGTCTGAGCGATAATCCAGCCGCACAACATCCAGCAAACCGGCTGCTATGCACTCCTCGTAGACCTTGGCTGATGCTGTGAAACATTTCTTCTCGGCTTTCAACGCAAGGTCAAAACACCGTCGAATCTCCCAAATGACCGGGTTATCGGCTGATATGTATGATTCTTCGTCGACTTCCTCCCATTGAATAAAGCCGCCGGGCTCTTTATGGGTAAACAAACGCGGTCAGTTTTGGCCTGAGGAAGGGTTTAGACACATTGGGAGATACATACTCAAGATGGTAGAAAGATTGGACACTGCAGTTTTGTACTCGGATTCTTCGAGAGCACCAATTAGTAGTCTCACATGGACTATGTCATACCGGTTCCAATGTTCTTTGGGAAACGGTAATGTTATATCTTGGACAGAAAATTGGATGTTTCCTGGCTTTTCAGGAAACTGGTCCGCTGAGATGTCAAATCCATGATAGTAACACTGATTGTGTGTTTTATCCAGTATTTGCGAAACATCCTTCAGCCAGATACTTGTCAACAATAATTAATCAGTCCTCCGAACTCTTAAGAAATTGACAACAGACATACCCAGTTCCAGTACCTATATCTGCAACAGAAAGCACGCCTTCTTTGGGAATTGATGAATGGATCAGGTTGTTCTTGGTCACTTTCGATAGCAGGTTGTGCTGTGCATTAAGTCTAGAGGGTTGAGTCACACATTTCATTAGATATCTCGCCACTACGTTTGTTCGAAGTATGTTTCCCGCCTACCGTTCTGATTCCTTCTGGTCTCTACCAAAAACATATTTATCCTGAGTATTGATCATTGTGATTTGTGCTGGGCTTTCTTGTTGAATGGCAAGATCAAAGAAAGTTTCTCAAGAGGAAATGAATAGAAACTCAATTGTTCGTATCTGCTGCTCCAATCGAGGGAAAACGAGGGCACTTTATCCTGCTTTCCAGGCCTATGCATGGGGCCAAAGCAAGGCTTGCTTGCCATTGACCCTCGTCCAGAGTGCCTCAAAGTTTCTTTGGACCTCTCTGATGTTCCATTGGGAACTAGCCACAATGCCCGAATTTCGGCCAAAGAAACGAACCAGGGCCAAAGCAGGGCAAATACTGCCGAGGATACTAAATCAGGAAAAAGAACAAGCAGTCGAGCTGGACGTGCGGCTTGGCTGAAAAATGCACAAAAAGCAAGTTTAACTAATCATGCAAGCACAATCATGCAGTGAGATCTGCATGCTAGAAATTATAGTTCAGTTCACTCCGCATTTCCATAAGGCGTTCACGGGTGGTAATCTGGACCCCCGTAGATAACAACCAGGTAATTACTGCCGACGTGTTTTCCCTTCGTTTTCCGTACCTCACTTTCATATCCTTCTTTCATCTGTTAGGCTTCCTCGACTATCTTACGGAATCATATACCGTACATCCTTCCCATGACTATAACATTGGAAACGAAATCTAAGCCTAATGTTTCACTACTCTTACAGCGAGAATGGTGAATAATAATGATCCCAAAAAGCCTAAAGCTCAACCCAGCCTAACCCCCAAATAGGCCGGGTTTGGGGCCCAGTCCTCGGGCCCACGATACCAAACAGTGCAAACATACCAATATCTCGTGCTTGCATAAATAATGCAGATTTTTCCGGTATTTTTGAGTATTCCAATTATAGTCCACGTTTCAAGGTCTCAGAAGATTTGACTGATTTGACTGATTGATTGATTAAATATCAAGTTGATTAGATCTCAAGTGATAGTTGATCTATTATATACGAAGGCAGCAACAATGCTATTAACGAACTAGCATAGTATAAACGACCCTGTGGCTAATCCTTTCTAGGTAATATATGATCCAGTGAAAGATGGTGATCCTTTAGGGCGCACCAACACCAGTGGGTACTGTCTTACTGGATTCGACAAGGGAGTCGCTCAGGCATGCCCTAACTCAAACCCCGGCATCACCCTGAACACCCGCGCCACTGACTCGTGCATTGAATTTGAGCTTCTCGAGGTCCCTTGTGATATTCGTTCAGATGAGAATAACTGTATCTGGAAGAACAGCAAGAATCAATGTTGCAACGGCGGCATTGACTGCAGCTCCACATCCGAGCAGACTCTCCCTGCCGCCGCCGACCACGCCGACCACGACCACCACGATGACGACGACGAGGAGGAGGATATCTACGACGAGCTTTAGAACAACCCACATCCTAAGCAGTCAAAAGAATGTTCATTCCCTAATTCCAAATGATTTTGCTGGATATCCGACCAATTCGACGCGATGGGAGCAGACAAAGGGGTTGTGACATTTCTTCAACCTTCTTTTTGCTTCGAGAGATTATTTACATTCACCAACTTTCTCAAACATCCTGCCTTCTCCAGGTTGATGCTTGAGTATACACACTCGTTCAAGTCTTTCCGCTTTTTTTCTCTTTGAAAATATGTTCTATGCATGTAATTGAACCGCAATATGTTTGAGTGCTGGAAAGAGGCTTTCAATTCGATTTTATCTTTTTCTGTCCCTCTTGTGTTATCAATACAATATATTCTTTGAGTATAAAAAATGGCCTCCCACTCAAGATTCAAGAGCTATATAAGTGTATATTCTATTTCTAAACAAAATCTGACTAGTGGTTGTCTAAAAAAGGTTAATATATAGTTTGATATCAGATATATATTTAGGATCCATAGAGGAGTACCACCACTTTCTAAGTGAATCTCCATACTTTTGGATAACGCGTTTTTTCCTGTGTTTAACCGTAATACATAAATTCAGCTAATTATTAATAACGTATTAATCAAAATAATAAAATATTGCCCTTATCTAAGGGCTAAAAACGGGATCTAAATAAAAGATAATTCAAAAAGTCACGTTTCTTAGAATGTTTGTATTGTTTAGTGCTTATTATGGGCTTTGGGCCCCTATTATGGGCCTGGTGGGCTTTCACCCCGGGCCCATAGCCCACCGGTGGGCCCGAAGATAGGACCTAAAGCCTAGCCTATTAGTGGGTTGGGTCATTAGCTCAATTCAACCTATGACTCCTTTCCACCCTTGTCTTTTTCTCTACATATGATGGTAAAAATCAGACCGTCCACTTGCAATTTACATATACAATTCCCATTGAAGCCAGATCGTGTGCATAGTGCGCTAGTCTTAGATATACAGAGAAGGATGAGATAGGAGAAGAGAATGAATGAAACATTGTTACTGGAAAGGTTCGTCCATCACCGGTCGAGAGCTTGCGCTTGACACTATAATAATGTTAGTTATAAGAATTAAAGTGGCTCAGGGGGAAAAATCACCATCAACCAATAAACCCCTTTTCTGCGCAACAATTCATGATGCGTTCCGGACTCAAGAATTCTCGATCCCTGTCCCGGGGCACCTTCTCCGAAGACAAAAATCGCATCGGCTTTCTGAATGGTTGCTAGTCTGTGCGCGACCGCAATAATAGTCATGTCGCGCTTGCTTGCTAATCTCTCCATAGCACCTTGTACAAGACTTTCCGACTGAGAGTCCAAACTGGATGTAGCCTCGTCAAGAAGCAGAAGTTGCGGTTTTCGGATTAAAGCTCGCGCAATACAAATACGCTGTTTTTGTCCACCACTCATCGAGGTCTGAGCGTTGACGCCAAGTTCCGTCAAGAACCCATCAGGCAGGGACACTATGAAGTCATAAATTTCAGCGTCCTTGCATGCTTGGATCATTTGGTCCTCGGTGTTCGGGTTATTGGGGGCGTCCAGACCGAGGAGGAGATTCTCGCGGATGGTGCCTTCGAAGAGTTTCGGCTCCTGGGAGACAAGGGACAAGGCATTTCTGTAAGAGGACATCTCAATGGAACAGATGTCTCGGCCACCAAATAGGATGGATCCCTGGGTGCAGTCATAGAAGCGCTCGAGTAGCGAGACGAGCGTAGATTTTCCGCAGCCTGAAGGTCCGACAAATGCTACAAATTGACCACTCTCAATGGAGAGATTCAGATTGACAAATGTTGGTACCTCGCGAGAAGAATATTGAAAAGAGACATTTTTAAGTTCAACAGAGGAACTGGGTTTGTCCTCCGAAGAGAGAGGCCCTGTCGCAACATGCTGAATCTGTCCTGTGGCAGGTAGCCGTGCAGCCAATATGCGATTGGCAGAAGCCTTGGTCTGGGCAATATTTGGACCGAAACTGAAGAACTGCCCAGCAGATTGGCCGCCTTGGATAATGGCAATGTATACCACGAAAAATGCAACTGGGTCATATTCGTGTGACGCGAGGAGCTGCCCGCCGTACCAGAAGGCGAGCGCCATGGCGCATAGCTCAACACTATCGGAAAACGCAAATACCAAAGTTGCGTACCACGCCTTCCGGATGGCCTTTTGACGCTGATCTTTCAGCAGCTTTGAATATCTTTCCAAAATTGTATCTTCCATGGTCAGAGCAGTGACCGTTCTGAAGGCCCCGACCGCCTCCGTTGCGAATTTGGAGCTATCGGCATAAACTGCAGCATTTAGGCTCTCAAATTTGATCTCATATCGAATGCGCATGAAGGCTGAGAAAAAGATGAATGGCATGGCGGCAAAAAATGTGACAGCCGCCAGCTTCCATCCAAAGGCGAAGGAGATTGAAACACATCCCAGGATGTTAAAGATCGAGATGAGAGGAAAAACACCAGTAGGACCAAACGTCTCCTGCAACTGTTTTGAATCAGTGGACAGTCTGGAAACCAGACTACCCGAGGAATTCTCCTCGCGATCATAGTACGACACCGGTTTGGACAAGAGGCTGTGAAAATAATCTATCCGAGAAGTGGATACGACGAACTGAACATTTAGCCTTGTTTGAACTCTGCGGGTGTTTGTAGACTTACCATTGATATCGAATTCGACGAAAAGCCTAGCATAAAATAAAAGGTCGCCATGGCAAGGGCGAGGATGAAAAACATCAATGCCCAGAAGTTTGCAGCGTCCACAAGCTTCTGGCCAGTGAACTGGAAAACCTGCACCAGTTTGGCAAAAAGCCAACTTTGTAAGGAAAATCCGGCTGTTCGACCATGTAAGCTTATATCTGGACATTTGCGGGAGAGTATGGTGCATTCTTACAACCTGCCCCTACAGCCCCGATCAGCGTCAGTGCATAGAGGACCCAATGGCTACGATTTTCATAAATGAGCACCCCAAAGCTGTGGAAAAAGCCAAAGTCTTTGACAGGTTCGGAGCTATCCTGGCAATCTTGATCGCTGCCTTCTTTGTTGGTGTAAGCTTCATACCTGACTTCTTCTTTCTCCGAAGAAATCGAACCCGGTACGTCGTCTTCCATCATATCTGTCAGTGGCTCTAGCCGTTGCGCATGAACTAAGCCATGGTACATCCCTTCCTTGAGTATGAGCTCTTGGTGGGAACCTTCTTCAATATCTTTGCCGTCTTTCATGACGATGATCTTGTCCGCGCGGCGGACGGTGGACAAGCGATGAGCGATCATAATTGTAGTGCGATCCTTGGATACACGGTCGAGGGCTGCTTGAACAATCTTTTCTCCTTGGACATCGATTGAGCTGGTCGCTTCATCAAGAATGAGAATCTGTGGTTGGCTGACGATGCTTCGCGCGATGGCAATTCTTTGGCGCTGTCCGCCACTCAATGTGATTCCACCTTCCCCGACAGTGGTAAAGTAACCCTAGAAAAGGGATAATCAGATGAATATAGATAATCAAGAGTGCAGCGGAAAAGGTGTAACAATACCTTGGGAAGGCGGTCGATAAATTCATCTGCAAAGGCTTGCTTGCAAGCTTCGGTGATGAGTTCCATCTTCACAGAATCTGTATCATTCTCCCACTGCGATCCGATCAGACCAAAAGCAACGTTATTGTATATTGAATCATTGAACAAGAATGGCTCTTGCTGAACAAGTCCAATCTGCGATCGCCACCACTTCACATCCAAGTCATTGATGTTGTGAGGTCCCACACGGATTTGACCTGGCGTGGAACTTTCTTCTTCCTCAGACTGACTTTGCTCGGACTGAACTTGCTCGGATTGAACTTGCTCGGATTGAACTTGCTCGGATTGAACTTGCTCGGACTGAACTAGCTCAGATTGAATTTTCTCAGACTGAATTTGATACCATCGCTCAATCAAACCGACAATAGTGCTTTTCCCCGAACCGGAGGAGCCAACCAGAGCGGTGGTTTTATTCCGCTCAAATCGTGCATTAAATCCCTTAAGCACAGTCATTTCCTTTCGTGTGGGATAGGAAAATGTCACGTTCTCAAACACGATATCAGCATGTGACAACTCCGGGTCTCGAATTCCAGGTACAGTATCCTGCTTTGAATCAATAACACCGAAGAAGGCACCTGATGCACCTATGGCCTTCGTGATAGCCATTATTGGCCCCGCAATACCTCCCAGAATAGTGACCACGAGGAGCACCGAAAAGAACACCCTGAATGATTGTCAGAACACGGTACCGCAAATAATTCAAAGATTTGATAATCATACGTGATCACAGTGTTAATATTAGCAATGTGGCCTTCACGATACAGCTTCAACCCAAACCAGAAGGCTAGAGAGAAGCTGACATACATGGCAAAGAAGAGCATTCCAAGGTGAATCCCGCTGACCAAAGACATACCCAGGCCACGTTTTCGCGATTCTTCGACCCACCGAGTATACTTTTTGGAGAGTGGTTGCTCAGCACCCAAGGAAAGCACTGTCCGGATAGAGCCAAATATTTCTGAGGCGAGTGCTGCGTGCTTCTCGTCTGCTTGGTCCACACTCTGATGTGTCTTCACCAAAAATGGTGTTGTCAGGCTAAAGCCAATGATCACAAATAAAATAGCCGCACTGACAACAAGCGTCAGTGCCCAGGAATACCTGAAGGCAATTGCGTAAGCCGCAATTAACAAGGCGATTGACTGGAACAGAATGGCGAGTCGATCAGAAACACTTTGCTGGATCGTATTTGACAGCGCCGTAATTGCATGTGTGACAGTTCCGACTGACATCTCGTCTAGCTTGCTCACAGGAAGTGAAAAGAGAGCCTGGGTGTACTCCAGGCGCAAGGCCCCTGAAGCGCGGAGGCTGGTCAATCGAAAACAAATCTGCCTCGTATCAGTACTGGAGCTATAAAGGTGGGAAATCTCAGTTACCATGGATATATACGTCAGACAAAATTTGCCGATAAACAAATACACAATATACAAGCTAGGAGGAGACGGTAAGATATTTGCTGTCATAAGCAATACAGTGCGGTGCTTACCTGTCTTGGTTGACCGAGGACTTGAATGATTGCTCTGTAATACCCGATCCCGGTATAAAGTACTCATTGAAGTTTCCCACCAGTTGACCAAAGACAATATTCATCAACGGAAGAGCCTATAATTCCATTAGTTGATTCTGAGTACAGATCAAAATTTGCTGTAACTTACAATTCCCGAAGCCATGGCACAAACCAGCCCCAATATCATAATATAGATCCCCCCTGAGCGGCTCCATATGATAGAATTCTCTGGAGGAAGTGTGAGCGATTTGAGATAAAGCTAGGTGGAGTAATATATAAAAACTCACCGCATAGCTACCGAGACTTGCTGGTTTGGGTTTGTCTTCCTTTGACTTCGCTGAACGAGCGACCATATCTGGACTGGTGATGGAGTTACTCTCTTGTGATTTCGGTATGTGCCTTGCGACAAGATGCCGGAATTTCGGCAGAGATCAGCGTTTTGACAGAGAATCCTTTGTCGACCAAGGTGGACTTCTGCATCAGTCTAGATTCGTGTGTCACTAAGAAATTGAATCTCTTTCAAACGGAATAAGCCGAAGGTTTAGCGCTCGGATAGCAACACGTGACGCGAAACTTTTATGAAAGGCGCAGTCTCTCATTCATCAAAACCTATTCGTTACATCTCAAAGTCCTTGAATCTTCGAACTAAAGATGGGACTATTGAGTGGGTCCTGTGGGTCAATATGGTTCAGATGTAACCTTATAACTTAAAATTCTTGTTTCGCAGACTGACATTCGCGCAATCGTGTAGATACCCAATCATAGAATTCAGATAATGCTTGATTGGTAAGATGCTGTCAAAAAAAACTTGGTCATAACCTAGTCGATGATGAATTTATATGGAAGGTTTGGCAGAACGCAATTAGGAAAAAGCGGAAAACGCCGGAAAGGGAGAAAGAACTTATACAAGAAGCCTATTGTCACCGATAGAGTTTACCGCGTGCGTCAAGAAAAAGTATTATGATACATGGACATGTGTGTAGAACACGGTTGATGCGAAATTCTTTCGGATCAGGGCTTATAATGTTTATCCGGGTCATGGCCTTAGGTACTATCACTGATATCCTGGTATAAACTTCATTGCAAGTTATATATTGCCTATTATCATACCAGATGACAATGCCGGCGAGATTGGTCGTGCGTTAAATCACATTGAAACGATACAATCATCTACCATTGAGTGACATAGGTCTGTTAATATGAACCCCCAAATCAGAGGTATATTCTCTAACCAAATGGAGAGCAAAGAAATTGGGAATATGGTGCCAAAGCATCCCAGATTTAGTATGAGGCCATCGATCAAGGTCCCTGCTACAGGGGCCATCACCCCACCGGAAGATCCAATGGAGTCGGGAGGCTCATTGGAGGAAACCTTGAGCTCGTTCAATAAAGAACCCCCCAGTCCGTCGACCGAGAGCGAGAATTCAATGGATGAAATTTGGCAACAAGTGGCCGATCAATGCCATTGCTCTCTGGACGATATTGAAGATGTATATGCCTGCACCGCCCTCCAAGAAGCAATGATAGCCCTCACATTCAAAGACCCAAGGGCATACACCATCGAACACGAATACCGTCTGCCACAAGGGATTGACCACCATAAGCTGAAGGAGGCATGGATAAGCACAGCTCAAGCCAACCCGATATTGAGGACGCGTATGATTCCAACGAGTCAACGCGGCTGTGTGCAGGCAGTGGTGGGAGGATCAGTTCCATGGCAGGTTCAGGAGACCGACGACGGCATAAATTGTGAGAGCACATGCCCTTCCTGGCGACCAGGCGGTCCTCTTGCGTATTTCTTCTTCAATGTCACCGAGCATAAGCTGAAGGTGACAATCCATCATTCCATCTGCGACCACTGGTCGATGGCATTGTTGTTGCGCCAAGCTGCCGCTGCCTACAGAGGCGAGGAGCTGTCTTTCCACCCCTTTCGACCTCTTGTGGATTATGTACAGCGGACCCAAGACAAATCCAATGCTTTTTGGCAATTGAAGTTCGGTGATGCACACGAGGCCACGATGATGGCATTTCCCCAACTACCCACAGTGGGTCATTCCGCAAGACCAACCGAGCGACTAGAGAGGTCCTTTAGCATCCAAGATGGCAAAAGTTCCTCAAGCACCGTCGGGACTAAGATTCGGCTGGCCTGGTCGATTCTGCAATCGGTCTATACTGGCTCTGACGACACATTATTTGGAGCAGTCAACGCGGGTCGCGCAGTGTCCGTTGCCGGCGTACAGGACTTGAGCGGACCTGCACTTGCTAGCGTACCGGTGCGTATCAAGCTGTGCCGGCAGAATACCGTTGCAGAGGCCTTGATTGCAGTACAGGACGAATGGGCAACTTCTATGGAGTTCGAACACGTGGGATTGCAAAATCTGCTCCGCCTTGGACCTGGTCCAGCGGCAGCATGTCATTTCCAAACCTTGCTCTCAGTAGAGCCTCGAGACGGCCATCAACTTCCCGACTTATTCTCTCAGAGTCGATCGACTCAAATGACATATGATATGTATCCTTTGATCCTACGATGTCGCCCCTCAACCACGACGATGTCGATTGAGGCTTCTTTTGACCCAGCAGCTACCGAGCCCAGTCAAATGGAGCGCATTATCTCCCAATTTATTCACATTTACGAGCAGATCGACACAAAACCAAGCCTCACACTTCTCGATATCAGTGTTGTGAGCCCCGAAGATTTGAGCCATCTCCGCCGCCAGAACATCTCGACAAATCCTCCTGCAGTCACGTCGTGCGTTCATACCTTAATTGAAAGACGGACGCAACAACAACCCCGTGCCCTGGCCCTCGACAGCTGGGATGGCAAATATTCCTATCTAGCCCTCGATACCTTGTCTTCGGCATTGGCTAACCATCTCTCCTCGCATCATGTTGGCTGCGGGTCATTTGTACCTCTTCTCTTGGGAAAGACTAAGTGGATGGCTGTCGCCATGCTTGCTGTGATGAAATCTGGTGCTGCTTTTGTGTTGCTAGAACCATCACACCCGTTGTCCCGATTGCGGACTATGTGTGAAGCTGTTGCAGCTCCCCTGGTATTGACTTGCGGCTTGCATATTGAACTGGCGGCCCAGCTTGGGGTCCCACTGCTACTCAACGTGGATACTTTTGACTTGGAGCAGCTACGTTGCAATAGCTCTTCCAAGAAGTCCTCGGTCGGCCCACAGGATCCCGTTTATCTGACATTTACCTCTGGTTCCACAGGAACCCCCAAAGGCGTAATTGTCCATCACGAAGGCTTTGCTTCAAGTTCTGTGGCTCATGGAAAGCCATACCATTTCACACCGGAGTCCCGTGTGCTACAATTTGCCTCTCCAGCATTTGATTCTTGCATTATTGAGCATATCAGTACTCTGATTCAGGGAGGCTGTGTCTGCATTCCTTCAGCGGACGACTGTCATAGTCGCCTTGTTGAATCGATGAACCAATTTTCAGTGACCGTTGCGTGCCTGACGCCCAGTGTTACTCGGATCATTAGTCCTGACAGTGTTAGGTCCTTAAAGGTTTTAGTATTTGTCGGAGAGGCAGTTCTGGCTAGCGACGTTGTTCGCTGGGAACCTTTCGTACACGTTGGAAATGCGTATGGCCCAGCTGAGTGCTCAGCAGTGTTCAGCGTACAACCGAATCTCAAGAGCAACGATCCAGCGAACATAGGATTTAGCACGGGAGGATTTGGATGGGTTGTTCATCCGGACAACCATCAGGTTCTCATGCCACATGGATGTGCTGGAGAACTATTCATTGAAGGACCGATTGTTGGCAAGGGTTATCTATCGATGCCTGAGCAAACGGCTCGCGCCTTCGTTGAACCACCTCCCTGGCGCTTACAATTTGGGTCCGTTCCATCCGGAAAATTCTACAAAAGCGGAGACTTGGTGCAAGCTACCGGGGGTGGAAGTTTCCGATACCATGGTCGGAAGGATACTCAGGTCAAACTACACGGGCAGCGTTTAGAACTGGCGGACATTGAGTACCATCTTCACGAAGCATTTCCAAAAGCCCGCCAAACCCTTGCAGAAGTTCTCCGGTCATCTTCCCAGAATGGTATCAATAATCATCGACCAGAGGCTTTGCTTATAGCATTTATATGTCTCCCTTCGTCTCCTTCAAATGACGGCAATCATCAAGCCGAGTTCCTTCCTCCAACCGACGAGTTTCGTGAAGCTTGTGCTGCAGCAGAGGCTAGCATGTCGGATGTTCTACCCTCTTTCATGATTCCACGGTTTTTCCTGCCTCTATCCCATGTACCTCTGACGCCATCTGGGAAGACCAATCGACGTTACATCCAAGAGCAGGCGAATAAGCTGTCCTTGGAGGAGATGAAGGCTTATCGATCTGTGAAAATCCAACCCGAGGCGCCATCAAGTTCTCGCGAGGAAAAACTTCAAGAGATCTGGGCCAAGACACTAAATCGAACTGTTGAAGAAATCGGTACAACAGAAAGCTTCTTTCGTCTGGGAGGTGATTCAGTCAGCGCGATGCAAGTCGCTGCAGGTTGTCGTATCATTGGCCTCAAAGTAGCTGTTGCTGATATTTTTCGGTTTCCAACCATCAGGCAACTAACGGAACGGATTCAAGATTCCGGCTCTGTCTCTTTTGCTCCAGCCGGGGAGGACGATCAAACAGAGGTATGGTTTGAGCTTTCCCCGGTCCAGAAGCTCTTCTTTGAGCGAGTACCGAATGGTCACAACAAGTTTACTCTCGAGTTCATTCTTCGACTTGGAAAGCCCCTTCCACCTCCTGAAATCAAACGAGCGATTGAGAAGATTGTTACCACTCATTCAATGCTCCGCGCCCGTTTTGAACAACAAGATAGCCATTGGAGGCAGATTATCAGTCCTGATGTGTCTAGAAGCCTTCGTTTTAGACAGCATCGGATTTCATCTATGGATGACCGTAAAGCCCTACAGAAGATTTTGTCAACCAGTCAAAACACGCTTGATATCGCCGAAGGAGTGATGATTGTTGTTGACGTTTTCATCACGGATTCCGGGGAGCAGTTTTTGGGGTTGATGGCGCATCATCTTGTGATTGACCTAGTATCATGGCGCATCATTCTGCAAGACCTGGAAGATATTCTCAGCACGGGACGCACCATACAACCTCTCTCCTTATCATTTCAACAATGGTGTCGGCTGCAACAAAGCTATGCCGGTGCCTCGCTGGATCCCAGTGAAACACTGAAAACAGAAATTCCACGTCCTTCGATGGACTACTGGGGCTTAGAGGCTACCCTGAGTGCGAATACTTGGGCGGATGCAACACGACGAACCATCACCGTATCAAAGGAGACAACAGAGGCAATAATTGGTGCTGCAAATGGCGCATTCCATACCCAGCCAGTGGAAATCATCCAGGCCGCCGTACTTTACGCCTTTGTTCAAGCGTTTGACAATCGATCAGCACCCACCTTGTTCAGCGAAGGGCATGGGAGAGAGCCATGGGACGCAGATATTGATATATCCCGCACAGTTGGATGGTTCACCACTATTGCACCTTTGTTTTTGGATGTTAAGAAAGAGGACAGCGTCAGGAGAATCTTGCAGTTGACAAAAGCCGGTCGCCGCGGCATATCCACCAATGGATGGGCGTACTTTGCGTCGCGATTCCTCCACCCTGACGGACCAAAAAAGTTCGAGAGTCATTCTCCAATGGAGATTCTTTTCAACTACACCGGTCTTTTCCAACAATTTGAACGAACAGGCGCCCTCCTTCAAATGACATCAGTCCAAGATGATTCGCTTCTCCCCATGGCACCTGATTTGCCGCGCATGGCTCTCATTGATGTGAACGCAACCGTCATGAATGGCTCTCTCAGCTTGTCATTTATATATAATCAACGATTGCGGCACCAGGACCGATTAGATCAATGGATCAGTAATTGCCTACAAACCCTTGAGGAACTCCCCATGGAGCTTCAGCAAGAACAGCGACTCTCCGCTATCGATTTCCCCTTGCTATCCCTTGCAAGCGAGGAGCAACTTCACAGCCTACTCCATCAGGTCTCAGGTCGATTCGATGTGTCTCCGTCTGGAATTCAGAATATGTTCCCTTGCTCGCCCGTGCAACTCGGCATGTGGTTGAGCCAGTTACGAAACCCCCAAGTATACTGGTCGCATATCAGGTGGTCTCTATACCCAACCTCCGCCCAACCAATTGATATCACTGAGGTCAAGCAAGCATGGCAGCAAGTCGTTGACCGCCAACCCATCTTGCGCACTGTCTTCACCGATGGCGTCACAGGGCACGGTCATCCTGTCCAAGTAGTTCTGAGAACTTGCGAGGGAAACATCAAGACGTTGTCAGGATCGGAATTAAGCGAAGAAGACCGAGTTCCTGCTCTTTCTGATGAGTTCCTATTGAACCCAAAATCCTCAAACACCAAGGGTCGCCCGCCTCATCAGCTTACCGTCGCAATCGAGCCTGATGGTGGAGCTTACTGCCAGCTGACTATCCACCACATTCTTGTTGATGGTATCACAGAGCAAAGATTATTGTCAGAATTGCACCAAGCATGCAATGGAAAGCTAGACGCCAAGTCTGCGGGCTGCTATAGCAGGTACCTGGGCTATCTGCAAACTCGAGACAACAAGGTTTCGGAATCCCACTGGAAGGAATACTTGACTGATGTCCACCCATGTGTCTTTCCATCTATTGGATTGAAAGCGCGTGGGACCGCCTCAAGCTCTCTGAAATTATTACCATTCTCCATGAAGATCGGAAAGGAACTCAGCTGCTTCTGCCGGAATAATGATATCACCATTTCCAGTTTGCTACAAGTTGCTTGGGGTATTGTTCTCCGTGCATATACAGGAAACGAGTCTGTATGCTTTGGGTATCTGAATGCTTGTCGTGATATTCCAGTTCAAGATGCACAAGATATCTCTGGGCCTTTAATCAATCTTTTGATTTGCCGCCTGAATCTAAGTGATGAATTATCAGTTCTCTCAACGCTTGCCGAAAACCATTCGGCCTACGCTCAAAGCCTTGATCACCAACATTGCGCTTTGGCAGAAGTCATGCATTCTTTAGATCTCTCCGGTCAACCTTTGTTCAACACCGCTATGTCATTGCAGAAGGATCCCGGGAGTCTGTTTTCAGAACAGTGCGAAAGGATCAAGTTGCAGCCAGAAGATGGGGTTGACTCAACTGAGGTATGTATAGAATAGTGTCTGGTGCGTTTTCAGAGTTGTATGACTTACCAAAATACAGTATGACCTGACTATCAATATCACTTCGCGTGAGGAGACCATTGATGGTGATCTGACATACTGGACGCACACTGTGGATGAAGCTCAAGCCGAATTGGTTGCCGACACCTTTCATCACATCATCCTGCAGCTTATTGATCCCTCAGTCACCAATCTAAGCGACATCAATCTTTCAATGGGGAAGAATGCGAGTCAGATGCTTCGTTTCAATTCCAAGCTACCGCAAACTGTACGGTCTTGTATTCACAATGACATACAGCGAATCATGACGGCACAACCCACATCTCCGGCGGTCGATGCCTGGGATGGCCAGTTCTCATATGAGACTCTCGATGTTCTCTCATCGCTACTAGCGAAAGACCTGACCCGGCTTGGTGTAGGTCCCGAGGTATTTGTTCCGGTATGCCGTGAAAGGTCCCGATGGACAGTAGTCGCCATACTCGCCATTCTGAAGGCAGGTGGAGCATTCATCTTGCTTGACCCATCACACCCACGGGAGAGACTGCAAGAAATGATACAAGTGAACTTTCAGTGTCCAGTTATAATTACCTCATCGAGGTACCTTGAGCTTGCCGCCACTCTAGCGCCCAATCCCATCATCGTGGAAGACCGAGGCCATATATCGCAACCTGACATTTCCACATCAATTATCCCATCATTGGCGAGTCCTAGTTCTTCTGCATATGTCGTTTTTACATCTGGATCGACCGGTAGGCCAAAGGCAAGCGTCATCGAGCACCAATCTTTCCTGTCAGCATCAGCTGCACATGCCCAGATACTTCATCTTGATAAACATGCCCGGGTTCTCCAATTTGCCTCCTATGCTTTTGATGCTAGCATTGTGGAAATGATCGACACCCTCTTAGTCGGTGGCTGTATTTGCATTCCCTCCGACAGGAACCGAAATCAAAGACTGGCACATGCAATCCGCGAGATGCAAGTGAACTGGACACTGCTGACCCCTTCGGTGGCACGCATCCTAAATTCGCAGGATGCTTCGACCTTGGAAACACTTGTGCTTGGTGGAGAGGGTATGACTAGGGATGATGTCCGTCGCTGGTCACCCCATGTGTGCTTAATGAATGCCTACGGCCCGTCAGAATGCTCTGTCATTGCGACTGCCCAGCCATCAGCGCAACAGCTCGCACAAGATGAATCAAATATTGGATACCCTGTTGGTTGTGTCGCATGGGTGGCGCATCCAAAAAACCCAGAGAAGCTCGTACCTGTTGGTGCTGTCGGGGAATTGCTCATCGAGGGTCCCATCATCGGTCGCGGTTACGTCAATCGTCCGGAGGCCATGGCAGCGGCATTCGTACCATATCCCATTTGGCTATGCAAGCTCCGTGGTTCCTCACAGGGCGTTTTGTATCGAACAGGTGACCTTGTGAGGCGCCTTGCGGATGGCTCTGTACAATACCTTGGGCGGAAAGACCGTCAAGTCAAGTTGCGTGGACAGCGTATCGAACTTGCTGAGGTTGAGCACCATGTTCAGCAATGCTTTCCTATAAACGAGCCTGAAGTCTTTGCAGATTTAATCTCACCAAATGATTCAAAAGATCCACAGTTGGTAGCCTCCATTGTTCAACCTGAAGACAGTGACGACACTCCGGCCTTCGAAACGGCCGTGGAGCAAATGAAATCACATCTTCAGGCGGATGTTCCAGCTTTTCTTGTTCCCTCTGCATTTATTCCTGTCTATCAGGTACCACGATTGGTAAACGGGAAGATTGACCGCGAAAGGGTGCGGGATGCAGCATGCCATGGGCTAGGAGTACAGATCTCTCAAGGCGCGACCAAACACCTCCTACGAGAGTCAAGGGAAATGACAGAGAGTGAACGCACATTACAAGATTGTTGGGCTGAGGTCCTGGCTCGCCCTGCGGAGACAATCGGACCTGATGACAACTTCTTCCGCTTGGGCGGAGACTCGATCGCAGCAATGAGGCTAGCTGCCACGGCTAGCGAGCAAGGCATTGAACTTGGTGTCTCGGATATCTTCCTGCATCCCAAGCTTAGCGATCTAGCACTGAATTTCTCAATGCCAGGGTCGACTGAATCACCAAGCTCCAAACCAAAAAAATTGGCCGATTCTGTGCCCCCGTTCTCAATGCTCCCGTCAAATCACAGGGAAGAATTGAAATTACAGGCAATGGAACAATGCAATCTCCCGATAGAGCAAATGGCGGACATATACCCCTGCACCGCATTGCAGGCCGGTATGGTAGCTTTGACAGCGGAGCGTCCTGGGTCATACATCGGATACCATCGTTTCCGCCTAGGGACAGATACTGATCTGTCTTTATTGAAAACTGCTTGGGAGATGGTAGCAAAATACAACGGAATTCTGCACACTCGTTTCATTCAAACAGAGTCTGGCTTCATGCAGGTCCTGGTACAGAACAGCGAGCTTCACTGGATCTCGCCGGGTATGAAGGAAGACAAAAGGTTAGAGTGGAACGTTCTTCTAGGCCAGCCACTGGTGCAGTTCGAAGTCATCCCAGTATTAAGCGAGGGTTCCAATATCTCTCAGCAGCTTGACCTGGTTATCACCATTCATCATGCTCTGTACGACTCTTGGTCACTCCCTCTGCTTGTTCACCGTGCACGGCAGGCTTACCAGGGCCAGATACCGGTACCCTCCGAGATGACTCCATTCAAAGAATTCATCAAATATTCCATGTCCCAACAAAAGGACGCGCTCGAACACTGGCGTCGTGAATTCCATGAACTTGCCGCCGAGCCATTTCCCACACTTCCTTCCACGTCATATCGGCCTCAGGCTTCAACGCAAACGGTACGAACGATTGAGACAGGTCCAGTGATGGACGAATGTGTCAGTCGAACCACCGCCATTCGCTTTGCATGGGCACTTGTTCAGTCTCATTACCAGAGTAATGATGATGTGGTATTTGGAATTGTGTCCCCTGGCCGAACAGCATCGGTCGATGGCATTGAGGGCATGGCTGGTCCAACAATTGCCACCCTTCCATTGCGCGTGAAAATCAATGATAATGCGACCGTCTCACAGGCCCTCAGAAATCTGCAAGAGCGAACAGTACAGCTCATGCCATTCGAACAAGTTGGGCTACCTGATATTGCTGCCATAGGGCCGGAGGCCAAGCAGGCCTGTTCGTTCCAAACCCTACTCGTTGAGGGTAGAGGAGAGGTTGAAGACTTGGGCACCGGCAATTATCATCCTATGGAACCCATAGGAACTTCATCAGGAGATGCTGCGTCAAACACTTACGCCATTCAACTAGCCGTTATGCTCAAGCCAAATATGGTCACTGTTGCAGTTTCCAATGATGAGTTTGTCATTCCAACATGGCAAGTGGAGCATATGCTGGACCAATTCAGCCATATCTTGCAGCAGGTGCACCATCATCCCGAAAGACCAGTGCACGAAATTGCTACATTGAATGAAAAGGATATCCAGCAGCTGCAAGCTTGGAACACTGGATTCCCGGAACGACTTTCGGAGTCGATCACTGATGTGATTTCTCGGCATTGTGAGAGGCAACCATCGAGTCTCGCCGTCTCGTCTTCTAGCTTCGGCCTCTCGTATAAAGAACTAGACATTCTTTCCACCAACGTTGCTAGCCTTCTGCGTTTGCATGGTGCCACATCAGAGGTATTCGTCCCAATATACCTGGATCGATCATGCTGGACTGTGGTAGCGGTGTTGGCCGTGGTCAAGGCCGGGGCAGCCTTCGTCATTTTAGACACCTCGCATCCACAAGAGCGGCTTCGGAATATGTGCGAAGAATTAAACCCTCTTTTCATACTTACGTTGCCCGAGCATCGTGATAAAGCCGAGGCGTTGTTCCGCAATGTTGTTATCATGCCTCAGACGATTGACCCTGAGTGTGCATCGGTGCCAGTTCACAAGACGACCCGTCTGGGCACAGATCGTGCTCTTTACGCAGTATTCACGTCTGGTTCAACTGGTAAACCCAAGGGCGTTGTGATTGAGGATGGTTCCTTTACAACAATGACCAAACAAGTTTCTCATATTATGGGTATTTGCCCAGGTAGTCGCATGCTGCACTTCTCTTCCTATGCTTTCGATCTCAGCATTATGGAAATACTCGGTTCATTGCTTGCAGGTGCCTGTGTCTGTGTTTTGACTGAGTCTGAGCGCAGAGGCCGACTTACTGAGTCATTGCAAGTGCTAAGACCATCTCATGCCTATTTAACACCTAGTGTGTTGCGCGCAATGGTGCCAAGCGAGTTGGGATCTCTCCGAACGCTCATGCCCGGTGGAGAACCCCTTCGGTCAAGCGACATTAAACAGTGGCTGCCACATGCACGGATCGTACCCGCTTACGGTCCAGCAGAATGCACGGTCGCATTTACTGTGCAGTCCCCAATCGACCTTAACTCGCAAGGTGGGAATATCGGAAAGCCAATTGCAGGCGCCTGCTGGGTGACCGATCCACGAAACCCTCAACGAATCACTTCTATCGGTGCTGTAGGCGAGCTTCTTCTTCAGGGTCCTCAAGTAGGTCGCGGATATTTGAACAACCCGGAACAAACAGCTACAAGCTTTATCTCATGTCCAGAATGGATGCGACATTTTGGCTTTGCTGATGGTGCGAAGGAAGGCAGGGTGTATCGAACAGGTGACCTCGTCCGTTATGATAATGATGGATCTCTATTGTTTGTAGGACGAAAGGACCTCCAGGTCAAACTACGAGGTCAGCGTTTTGAGCTTGCAGAAGTTGAGAAGCGACTACAGGAGGTCTGGCCCGAGGATGTGACGGACGTCGTGGCTGAGATTGTCACTCCGATGGGTTCGATGAATTCGAAATGTTTGGTTGTCTTTGTCGCTTCAAAAGCGGCTGAGAAGGCTTCACTGGTATCCAGTTCAGCAATCCCTTCCCTGGAAATTGCTGCCCCGGCAAACTTTGCGGCCCAGATATCAAGTGTCAAACGCCAAGTCAGTGATATCCTTCCGGACTATATGATACCGTCTGCCTTCATCCCGCTTCGACAGATACCTCACACACCTAGTGGCAAAGTTGACCGAAGGCGGTTGAGAGACTCGGCGGCGAGCGCAACACGAGTGCAGCTGGAGTCATTATTTGCTGAAGCTCCTTCAGATAAGCGAGTGCCCACCACGGGGCTGGAGCGGGATTTGCAGCACATCTGGGCGCAAGTACTCAATATTGCAATCGACGAGATTGGTGCTGAAGATAGCTTCTTCCAACTGGGAGGTGATTCTATCTCGGCTCTCAAAGTCGCATCGAGGGCTCGGGCGGCTGGAATTGCGCATTCAGTGGAGAGTTTATTCCAGTGGAAAACACTAATGCGTGTTGCCAGACATGCTACCATTGTGGACTCCACAGATATCATGGATGGGATACAGACTGCAGATTCTTCCTTGTGGTCCCACTCACCCTACTCCTTGGTTACAGACCATGAGCGTGCAGATGTTTTTGCTTCGCACTTCCCACAGGGACATTCGGTGGTCAAAGAGAATGTGGAAGATATCATCCCGGCGCTCCCATTCCAAGTCTTCTACATAACCCATGCATCGCCAGTCTCGATGGCACAAATATTTCCAGTAGCTCTGGACATTGACAGACTCAAAATTGCGTGCAGGAAGGTTGTGGCTCACCACAGCATCTTACGCACAGTCTTTGTGGAGACCAGTGGCCGGTTCCTCCAGGTGATCCTCCGGGAAGTTGACCCTGTACTGGATCTTGTTCAATGTGATGATCCAGAGGCATATGTCGCTCGGGAGTCCGAACAAAAGGTTCCAGCTTCTACAACCCAGGGTACAATGCCGGTTGGCTTCACTCTCGTCACCAGCCCTATCAAGCAATGCTCTGCGTTGATTCTTCGCATATCCCATGCGCAGTATGATGGGGCCTCCATCCCCCTGCTATGGAAGGCAATTACGAAGGCCTACCACAATGAGTCTCTCCCACAGGCTGTGCAATTCAAGGATGTCGCCTATAAGCGAATGGGCGATCTGCACAAAGCTGAGATTTCATTCTGGCGACGATATCTTCAAGGTGCTCCGTCCGCTGCTCTCGATCCCCTCCGTCAGATTGGAAAGGCACGAATTTCGGACAATGATATAGCGGAAAAGGGCTACACGGCAATGCCGTCTCTCCCACCGGACATAACCATGTCAACGCTCGTGAAAGCAGCTTTCTCATGGATACTATTTGGGACAACCTCGCAATCTGATATCATCTTAGGTCAGGTTGTTCACGGACGTGGAAGTTCCTTTTTGGACGCGAACACAGCCATTGGTCCCTGCTTGAATCACCTGCCCGTTCGAATCAGGATCGAACCTGACTGGACGGTGGAGGATTTCTTGGATCATGTCCAGGTACAGCAGCTAGAAATCACTGCTCATGACGAGGCATCGTTTGACGCTATCGCAGAATCTTGCACAAAGTGGCAACCGGGCTCAAAAATGGCTTGCCTTGTTCACCATCAGAGCGAAGAAGCCCCGGAGCCCTTCGAAATGGGTGGTGTTCGCTCGTCATCTGGTTGCGATTGGGCCAGCTCCAAGTTGGCGCACGGTCAGCTGGGTATCATTTCTGTGGAACGCGGATCTCAGCTTGAGCTCATGATCACAGCTACAGAGGAGACGATGGATCAACGTAGCGTTGAGTTCCTATTGGATAAGCTGATTTCCACCATTCAGTTGTTCTCGAAGTTTTCCCAGTGCCGGCTGGCAAGGATGCCTAGCAGGATCCAAATATGACCTTGTCTTAAATCAGACGAGCGATATGTGAATTCTTATATGGAAGGATGTGGAAAGAGGTGAAAGTGATGGGTCAAAGCTCAAATAGGAAAGTGGTACTGCCTCGAGCAGAATTATTATGTTAACATGTTTTTTGTGAGATAGTGGCGAGTTAGAAGTGTCTTTTATATTACCAGTTTGTTACATATGTTTTTTTGGAGTCACGTCGAAGTTTGAAGCTTACACGCGTTATTTATCGGTATCCGGAACTACCCTAATATATATATGGTCACTCTGTAAACAACTACTGCTTACTAGGAGTCGAGCCATATGTAATATGTTTTGTTTAATTTCTGCGTAAAATAAGTGATCAGAAAATACTGCAAGGTTCCAGGGAATGTTCTCCGTGGGGACATAAAACAGGTGTGGGAGGAGATCTGACGATATGAGCTGACCTACACCCGCCATCCTGGCCTATCTCGTTCTTTTTGGTTCACAGTGACATCTTTCCATTGTTTTCCTTTGGGTCCCCGTCGGCTTTACCGGTCTCGAGCTATTTCACCATGGATTTATGTCCGTTCCCTGCCACTCACGATCGGCGTCCGTCCACTATTGTCCTTCACACCCGGGTCAACGCTAGTTCCGAGGAGCCGTTTCATAACGGCTTCATGTCAGTGCAGTCAACCATGGCGGCGCCATCCCACTATTATCTTCTCTGTCCGGATCGACCTTGCCGGGTCTCGAGAAGCTGTCTAACAACGGCCTCATTCCCGTGCTCTGCCCAATATAGCAGCGTATGTAAATAATCATTATTCCCTTTAAGCGAATTATGGTATCATCAATTGGGCGCGTAACTCAGTTGGTAGAGTGTTCGCTTTGCATGCGAAAAGTCCAGCGTTCGAATCGCTGCCCGTCCATTTCATTTTTATTTTTTTGCCGGCAATGTGGAGTAATGGTAGAACGTCCCCTGGGCCGCTAAGAGAAAGGAAGAATAGTGGGGGCTAGCTAGTATCTGGAAATCTCAGTGGACACCGGTTCGATTGATTCCTGGGGCCCGCTCAAACAATTTACCAAGGACTTCCTTCCCTAAGTCCTGGGCTAACGATGCGTGAATCATTGTACCTGGGGTCTTATATTTATTTGGCCCTTTTCAGACCAAACGACTTTTCCGGCTAATATGTACAACGTACCTATCAAGCCCCCTGTGCATAACAAGCCACAGGTCGGGATAACAAGCAGTCGGCCAAATACTCATTTATGCACGAGTAGCTTCTATGGTCGGGCTCTTTTGTACGTAATTGCCTAGCTCAGCCCATTTATATATCCCTCGGGTTTTTGAATTTGCAAAGGCCGCTCAGCAATGCATTTCTATTCGACGGGCTCTTTGCAGGCATTTTCTAGTTTCGACATCTATATATGTGTACATGCTGATCTCTGAAATATTGGCAGTAGACACAGCTCAATATATTACGGATTATTTTGGAATAAATCTTATGCATTTGTGGATATATGTACCTAGCGAGGATAAATGGACGGTCAGAATTATTGATATGCATACACCTATGTTGTAGGCATATGTGTCGAGCCACGTGGAGATCAGAGGTTCCAAGGTTGCACTCAGCCTCACGTTTGACTTGTTGGCATAAAAGCTTTAAGTTGTACGGCTCCTGTAATATACTATATCGGTAATCTTATAGGAATTCCGATTGGGTATACAGGGTAAATGTATGTACTTCGGAGGTACGTAACACAATACAACATGCAGTGAGGGTGCGCTGGTCAACTAACTCGCCGTGTAGTGTATGGCTATTCTTTACATCTCCTTGACACACTTTTAAAAGTCACTTCTCTAAGGGGTGATATGATAAATACAGCTGGAGCGCAATAGGGTAAGAGACAGGGTGAGAGCGGCCCCCGCAAAATGACCCCCTCAATTGTTCCTTGATATCCTCCCTCTAATACCATTTACCTTTCAACCCTTGGTATTCAGTGCATATTGAAGAAAATCACGGTATATTAATTATTATCCAGGTTCGACTATCAAATTACATCGAATATGGCTGAAATACTGGGAGTCGCAGCCAGCGCTCTCAGCTTTCTCTCGTTGTTGGAACAGGTCGTTCAGAGCATTGACAGGTTGAAAGCTTTACGTGCATTTGTCAAAACTGCATCCACGGAATTTCAAAATCTTATTGATGAAATTGGAATGATACAGGTTATTTTGACAAGCCTGACGCCGGAGATGCTGGGGTCTCTCAATAATCCATCCACGGAGCGACGTTTACGGGCCTTTCAAAAGACGCTGGAATCGGTAGAATCCATGATACAGAAGTATGAGCATCAAATCACAAAGGGGAAGCTGGGGACCATAAAGCTTGCCTTGAAAAAAGAATTACTCAAAGCCCACAGACAGGACTTGGAGAGTATCAAGGGCACGCTACTGCTTCTTCAACAAGCATCCTTTAGGTGAGTATCTGTCGTTTGCCTTTGCTTTCATGATCTAGAATGACATAGTGGCTTTTTCTTAAGTCAGAATATTCTACTTTGAGAGTCAAAAATTGGCATGTATAGAACTAATACCCTGCACCATGCGAATAGTACTTCTTTACGCGAACTTACACTTAAGATTGATTCTTCGACCCCATCAAAAACTCCCACTATACATGAGCTATACATAGATCAAGAAAAATGGTAAGCGTGATCACCATCAAAATTCTATCACTATTGCGTCGCAAATTCTAATCGTCAAAAAAGTCTACAACGAACAAAATACCAGCAATCATCACGACAACGTGATATCAATAGAAGAAAACTTCGTTTTCGAACCCCCCTGGGTTTCGTAGACAAATTGTGGACTATTGATATATCTTGTGGTTTTTCAAACTTCGCTTTCAGTATTCAAGCAAATAATGTCTTACCGTCAACATCGCCAATATTTCGTCATTGTCGACTTGGTGAAGTTGAAGAGATCCAAAAGTTGTTTGCAAATCGTCTTGCATCTCCTTTCGACTGCAATTCCTATGGTAGAAGTTTGTTGCACGTAAGTATAAGCTGACTAGCGACCTAACATTTTTCTTCCAAGATTATGTGCTGATAATGCTCAGATCGCGGCTTGGTATAATCAACTGGAGCTGTGTCAAATGTTATTGGACAATGGTGCCAATCCAGGCCAAAGGGACAATTGGGGGATGTGAGTTTCCTAGATTATAATGGTGCCCTTGTCCAAGAATGGTAGCTGATGCACCATAGGTCCCCTATCGGTCTAGTGAATACGACTGCAGGAGATTGGATCAATCGCCCTGAGAAAATTTCCCTCATCGTTGAACTATACCGATTGTTTGCTCAAGATTTCGGAGATGATCTTTTCGAAGACTTTGATAGAAGTACCGGAGGGAGGTCTGGCTTCCGGGGTCCCCCTCAAGCTCTCTCTTTAATACAAGAGTACTCGTTTAGGTCTTATTCAGATCTACCTCTTGATGTTCGGTTCAGACGAGCAATGAGCCTTGATAATTGGTGTGTGGCATGTGCATCACCAACTACGCTCCGAATTGCGATGGGCGGTGATATCATCGACCCTGCTGCATATCTTCTCAAAAATATTCACCAAGAGACTCTCCTTTATCAAATTGTAAGGGGTATGGCGCTTGACCTTTCTGCTAAAAGAACCAAAAATCTTCATCAATGGCGTCATCTTCTTTCCGATGCAATTGCAGCCTCTGCAGATCCCTGTCAGTTAACGTTCAGGCACGGCAGACCTGATACGCCCTTTTCACACTTTCTGGACTATTTCACAAAAGACTGGGGTGAAATTAAGCGAGCTGGATATGATTTCAATCCCATTGTTCGAGTATGGGCGTCAGAGCTCAAATTGGCAGGTGTTAACCTCGCACATTACGGGGCGAGGGAGAAAGCCCTATACACATCCGGTGTCGTGAATCCAGATCAGTGGGTATATGTTGGCCTTGGAAAATCCGCCCCGTCGTATGTTCTTGGCGAGGGTAGTTTTCTCAGGTTTCATTTCCTCTCTCTCGAATATGGCTCCAATCCTGAAGATTGGAAGTTATGGGTATCCAATCCAGTAGATGAACTGGTGGGGGAATTTTGGGAAATGACAGAGAAGAGAGAGGAATTCATGCCTGGTACATGGATAGATTAGTCTTGTGAAGACTATGTCCACTTGCTCGCAGTCACCGCCATCAACCATCGCTCATCTAGGCACTGTATGCCTGACCTTGAGCACAGGGCAGTCATTCCAGAGATTTGCCACTGAGAAATCTTCGGACATCGTTGGTCTTCCAGGGTCAATTGACTTCCGATCATCACGGCACAATTACTCCGTAAGCTGGACGCCCGGTCCATGCATTGCTCAATCAATGCTTTTTGCCGGACCTAGACACTGTCCCGACACATTTTGCCCTAGTCAGTCTTTTTCCCGCACTAGAGAGAGTATACCGATTGATATTGGCAATTTTCAATTTCGGCAAGCCTCACTCCCGATCGTAGCATTAAATTCTATGGGGTTTACACTGTATACATATTTCAAATAGATTAATCCCTATCAAAAAAGGATCTTGTGGGTTATGGCGAAATACGCGAGGCAACTTCCGATGGGAATGAATTAATTAAGATGTATAAAAACGCAGAAATGAACAAACATACAACAGTGAGTATTCGCTGGTGGTCACCCACCCAATTACTAACTCAGCAGCATGTGGCATCCAGACGGCTGATCGCTTTATGGGCCCTATCATCGTAGGATTCAGTGTGACCACCTGTAAACAATGGCATTGTGAATATAAGGAACAGTGTCGTATATTTACTGTATCACATTTCTTTATACTATCTTAAAAATTTGCTATATGTCACCAAAGGAAAGCGCCAAGTCTGCAGTCACATGTAAAGCTATTATCCCATCATATCGAATACGCAAAACTCAAGCCAGCTTCTTTCGCAAACGCAGACTGGGGCCCTGCACGAGCTCGAGCCCATCATCAAGGTTCCCCTTCGTCGCGAAGCGAATATCCTTACCATAGTGATCACGCGGCTGCCAAGGACCCCGATCCGCTGCGCGAGGGAACACACGGGGCCCGTCGATAATGTACGTCGATTTGAGTTGCACCATCGGGCGCTCCTGGAGGAGCGAAGCCTCCTGGTCCTTCACACTTGGGATGGCAGCAACAAACTTGCGCGACTCGAGCATCTTGATAAGGCGAGTGATGCATTTTGCGGTGGCTTCAGCACCCAGTGTCCACGAAGCGTTGGTGTATCCGATCACGAAGGCCGCGTTGGGGAGATCCTGCAGCATGACTCCGTTCCACATATACTTGGAGCTAATGTCGAACTTCTGCCCGTCCACTGTTAGCGCGACGCCACCGGCGATCTGTAGCTTGAGTCCGGTTGCTGTGATGATGATGTCCGCGTCGAGCGTCTCACCCGAGTTGAGGGTGATTCCCTTCTTAGTGACGGTTTTTATGGTGTCGGTGCAGATGTTAGCCTTGCCACTGCGTAGGCTGTCGAAGAAGTCGCCATCCGGGCAGACGCATAGTCGCTGGTCCCAAGGGTCGTATCGGGGCTTAAAGTGCGGGTCGAAGTCGATGTGGCTAGGGAGATGCCATTTGACGCCCAACTTTAGGTACCAGGCCGAGAGGGAGGGAAAGCACTGACAGAAGAGGAAGAAGATACGCTGTCTTTGGATCCAGATGACGCGTTGTAGTCTGTGGTAAAGACTTGTTGGCAGCAGGTAGGATAACCTACGGTTAGTGGTTCCGTTAGGAATCGACTGAATCCAGGTCGGACTGCGCTGTAGCATTGTCACATTCGCCGCCTCCTTCGCCATATTTGGTAGGAGTGTGATCGCAGTGGCACCACTACCGATGATGACGACCTTCTTGTTCTTGTAGTCAAGGTCCTCGGGCCAGAATTGCGGATGAACAATTTGGCCCTGAAAGTTATCCAGACCGGGGATATCGGCCTTGAGGGGCTCTTTGTAGTCGTAATAGCCGGTGCCGAAGATTATGAAGCGCGCGGTTATGGTCTTGAGCGTACCGTCCGCATCGATGGTCAGTGACCAGGTGTTGTCAGCCTTGGACCAATTGGCAGACGATAGATGGTGGCGGAGCAGGATGTGCTCGTCGATACCATACTTCTGGGCAGTTTCGCGCATGTATTGCTTGATCGCGGGGCCGTCTGCGATAGGGTTACTGTGGTTCCAGGGATTGAAGGCGAAGCCGAAGGTGAATAGATCCGAATCTGAGCGAATGCCGGGGTAGCGGAACAAGTCCCAAGTACCACCTAGGTCCTCGCGAGCTTCGAGAATCGCATAGCTGAAGCCAGGCAGCTGGTCTTGGATGTGATAGGCGGAGTTGATGCCGGATATTCCTGCACCAACGATAATCACATCGAAGTGCGACTTTGACTCCGTAGTGACGTGGCTGTTCATGATGAACTAAGATGGAGAGAAGTGAGGATGAATATCAGAGTCGGGGCACAACGTGATTTAAAAGGAACTTATGTGCCTCGGTTTCAACGCGAGCGGTAAAGATTTGCCATGCATACTGTATAGTACCATGTTCGTGTGTCTGCCATGTGGAGAAGGGGGAGCTAGATTCGTCCCAGTTTGAGATGCCGAAAATATTCCTTCAGTCCATTTGACTCTCTACAGATACAGCCGAGGGCGTCTCCACATCCCCAGATCATTTCGGCCCCAACCAAGAAACAAAAGGACCAATGGTTTCCCTTTCACTCTTTATGAATAGAGTAAGTAACACTGTGGACCAGGGTCTTAGGCCCGGGCCCGGTGCTGTTCGGCTGTCGTCGGCTGTTAATACTAGATTCCAGAAGTCATCAATTGTCATTCCTACAACAAGGGGAGTTTGTGGTTAGTGCCCTTTTCACCACTGTCTCTCATGATTACAATCATCCATCGTCACCACCGCCTAGAATCAGGTATGTTTAGAAGGACAAGTATATTGGTAATGGCACTTTGTTAAACTTGAAAGTGACTTCCATCATGTCGAAAGAAGATTTTTGAAGGTTGGTTTTTGTTTGGTATCTGGATGTTTGATATTTGTGCCTTGGAGATAAAGCATCAAACCTCATCTAGTTAACTAGTTAGATGGTAACTAAATACTCTAGAGTTCCTTTATCCTCTTTTCCAATACAACTCTTCTCTTCTTCTCATTTCTTATGATCATTCCTTGTATTCGAATCTCACCTCATCACTTCTTCTTCTTCTCTGTCTCCATCTTCGATGATCATTTTCCCTCAGCTAGTTTGTCAATGTCACCTCCTTGTTTCTCTGCTAAGGTCGTCACTAAGTACTAGTTAGATACTCCAAGCAGCGGTTGTTATTGCTTCGGCAGAGAGAAGCACTGACTCGGCTCATTCGGCGGGAGTATTGGAATATTAGGTTTCGGCAATCAGCGCTCTTCTACCAAAATATCCACACTTTACGATCGGTGATGGAACAGAAATTCCGAGAACTACAGAAGCTCATGTGGTGAGTCCTTGGGTCGCACGGACCGGCCATATAGCTACCATTTCACTCGCATAAGGAATAACCGAGCCCATGGCTCAATAAAAGGCACCCGCTCCTCATCGGAGAACATTTCTTTCCTCATTTAAACTTGTGGTGACTAGTGATTTCCACAATCGAAGACACTTCCAGCGCACATTTAGCGATGGCGCTGACTCCTGTGCCCCGGAAGTTGTGGCAGCACTCAGACCCAGCATCAACGTCGATGGGTCGTTTCCAGCGGGCGTTAGAGAAAAGGACAGGATGCAAGTTCGATGTGAGCAAGTCTTCTAGCTTTTCTTGTTTTACTGACCCCTGACGAGAACAAAATCTGTGCACATGCTTTAGTCATTCTATGATCTCTACCTCTATTCTGTGAACAACCGATCTGTCTTTTGGGATTCCTGCTGGAGATACTTGGAGATCATCCATGAAGGTTTCTACACGAAGGTGATAGATGAGCAGGCACGAATGGATAGTGTGCCAGAGTGGTTCTCTGGCGTGCGGCTCAATTTCGCAGAGAATATACTGTTCTCGCGCCTTGCAGGAGACAAAACGGGTAAAGAAGACTCTAAGATCGCCGTGACTGAGGTCCGAGAGGGCGCAGCGGATCGGCCGATCAACCTTTCGTGGGGAGAAATGAGACGAAGGGTTGGTGTGCTAGTCCAGGCTATGCGAGCTAATGGAGTCCGCCGCGGTGATCGTATCGCAGTGTGCGCAGCTAACAGCATCGAAACGCTACTCATCTTCCTTGCGTCGGCCGCACTCGGAGCCATCTTCACATCGATGTCAAGCGATCTAGGCTTGAAGGGAATTTTGGACCGGATACTCCAGACCAAGCCTCGCTGGCTCTTTATGGATGATTGGGCAGTCTATAACGGGAAGTCAATCGACCTACGCCCCAAAATGACTAGCATTGCCCAGAACATGCAGTTAATTCCTGAGTTTGAGGGGGTTGTATCACTGCCGCGGTTTACGCCACAGCCAGCGGATGTCAGCCAGGTTCCGAACGCTTGCCTACTATCTAGCTATCTCGAAAAAGCCAGACTGAGAAACGACGCCATTCAGTTTGAGCGGGTTGACTTCAGAGATCCTTGTGTCATAGTATACTCATCCGGTACGACGGGTCCGCCAAAATGCATCGTCCATTCCGTGGGCGGGGTGCTCTTGAATGGACGCAAAGAAGGCGAGTTACATATGGAATTAGGCCCAGAGAGTGTTGCACTGCAGTACACAACCACTGCCTGGATTATGTATCTACTTGGAGTCCAGGCGCTGATGTTCGGATCAAGAGTGATCCTCTACGATGGCAGCCCATTCTTACCGGATGCTACAGCTTTGGTCAGGCTAGCAGCGCAGGAGAGGTAAGTCTTTTACCACTTACCACCGGTTATTACCAGATAAGAGCTTTCTAATCACTAGACCAGGGTAACACACCTCGGAATATCGCCGCGGTGGCTCCATGAACTCCAGCGAGCAGATATCAAACCACGGGAGCTTGTAGACCTAAGCTCTCTGCAGGTAGTGTCGAGCACCGGCTCAGTATTACGGGACGAATTGTTTGAGTGGTTCTACGACGTCGCATTTCCACCATGTACCCGTCTCAACAACATTGCTGGAGGCACCGATATTGCGGGTTGTTTTGGGATAAGCAATCCGCTTGGCCCTGTGTATGTTGGAGGATGCGCTGGATACAGCCTAGGCGTCCCCGTGGATGTGTATGACTCCGCAGTCGAAGGGGCTGAGGGCATCCAGGGAGTCCCAGTGGAAGATGGTGCTCCAGGAGAATTGGTGGCCACTGCAGCCTTTCCTAACCTGCCAACCCATTTTTGGGGAGATGATAGCGGAAAGAAATACCACGACGCATATTTTGCGAGATTCGACAGTATGGCTCCCAGTGGCCCATTTCTCCGTTCTTTTCCAAGTCACAGGGTTAAACGCGTGAACGCTAACTTTTTGTAGATGTCTGGAACCATGGAGACTTCGTGTCAATCTGCCCCTCCACCAAACAACTTCTATTCCATGGCCGCGCTGACGGCGTGCTGAATCCTTCGGGTGTGCGCTTTGGATCATCTGAGATCTACCGGGTAATAGAAGCTGAGTTCACTGGCGAGATTGCCGACTCGCTCTGTGTCGGTCAGCGAAGACCAACCGATACCGATGAGCGAGTTATGTTATTTTTGCTCATGAAGGTTGGATCTCCTTTGACGCCGGTCCTGATCTCCCGCGTAAAGACCGCTATTCGAGAACATCTAAGTCCCCGCCATGTTCCAATGTTCATTTTTGAGACACCTGAAATCCCGGTATGTGAGCCGGTTCTTTCTCCACGCGATGCTGCGCGCATGAATTAATTATAAGTTATACCCACCAGACCACGGTCAATTTGAAAAAGGTTGAGCTGCCTGTGAAGCACATTGTTTCTGGCAAACGCGTTAAGCCATCGGGGACCCTGCTCAACCCGCGGAGTTTGGAATTTTACTATAGATTTGCAGAGGTCGAGAATCTATTCCGCGAGAGTAAGCTCTAAGTAAATAATCACTCATTGGGGATTTGTGATAGAATCTTCTGGGGCTCTGCTTGGATGAAAGACACCTGTAAGAATGAAATGATGTACTGTCCACGACAGATGAAAATCAAGGAGCCTCTTTGAGGTACAACGTACACTGTGTTGGTGTCTACCGGCATCCGAGTTGATTTCTCGCCCATTAAGATGAGTACAAAGCCCATATAAGCGTGATTCATTTTCTTAGCAACCACAATCAACTTAACTAAAGATAAAGGGCTTTATAACCTCATGAAGCTATATAGCTATTATAAGGAATGAGAAGCAAAGAGAGTTGCATTGAGAAAGGGGATGAAGAAACCTTATACTATATACTAACTAGCTAATGACTGATACATGATCTCTAAAGCAGAAACATCAAACACCCAGATATCCAACCGACACTAAGCAGCATTTATGCGGGCTAGAACTCGAGGAAGCTCCCTTCATCTGGATCTAGACCCCCCAGAATAAAAGGGTTGTACTCGGAAGCACTGCGGCTTGATTCAGAATTGTCATCTTGGTCGTTCTGGACATCAAGTCCTTCGTCATTTTCCTGAATCCATGACATTCCTAGCTTGCTCCGCAGAAAGCTACGCTCTTCAAGTGTAGTCCTCAAACCATTGAGCAAACCAAGGCCAGCATTGTCTGATGGGGATCGCTCGTCAATAGATGGCGTGTCTAGTAATATTTTGATCTTTTTCTCGGAGCTTTGTATTTCAGACGCTTTTGCGGCCTGGGACGTAGACCCATAGTGGACTTCAAGCTGCGCGGAAGGCAATATGGGATGATGAAATATGACACGCATCAGTCTTTCCGCGTCATGAGGCTGAGAATTTGCGGGTAATTTAAACCGAAAGTCGATGCTATTCAAAAGGACGGAGAGCTCTTGTTCGAAGATGGAAATGTTTATTTGATCCGACGGCGAGTTTGACGAGGTGTAGGGATTGAATATTGCAATGGTTTTAGACAAATTGATTTGAGCCATGGAATTGCCAATCTTGATTCGTTCTGCTGGGCGTGTGGGCTCAGCCATTTCGTCGTTTTGACCTGCCATATTGCGACGTGGAATGCTGTCTTATCCGCATACGATACTCATTTGGCTGCGAGGAGTAGTTTTAGCTTGTATTCCTTTATCTTATTTGGTATTCAACCATACATAGGACTGGAACAGGGTCTCAGATTGGCCGGTCTGTGAGCCTGCTTTGCTGCGGACTTGGGTAACTCAATTTCTGCCGGGCCCAAGACGATGAATAAGATAGATTCAGTGATTTCGAAGACAAGAAGCTCTAGGATACTGATATCTCGGTACGGATTGCTACTATATGAACAGGTGGTCGGCGTATTTTAAATTTCGGTACAGCTCGGCGAACTGAGCCGGAAAAAAAGAGATAGGAAAGCGTTCAACATAGGTCAAGGAACCAACTACTAGCCCAACAATCAGTTCACTAACCTAGGTTTTTTTGGCGTGGACCACTCGCTTGTGAGATATGTTGGTAGCTCTAGATAATATTGCTAATTAATACTTACCTTGCTTGATGTATTAGTAATAACTCGTTTTCGCGCGCTCGCACGAGCTGACTGAGATCGTTGTGTCGTTGGAAGGATCAACTTTCATTTTGCCCTAAACGCTCATTCAGACTAAGCTTTTGGCATGTATAACACGTCGATTATGTTGGATGGTAGGGTGTGGTATAAGGGGGATTTGACCGCGTGATGAACCAGACTCTACGAGTAACAAAGATACTGGAAAAACCTTGCTTTCGTCTAGAAGGAAGGAAAGGAAGAAGCTGAACTACTAGCCAGTGACATATATAGACAGAGGAAGCAAACGCTGTCAGTCATCTGACTTCAACACTGTGCCAATTACATTCCGCTGTGTCGGTGTTGTTTGTTTCTGATTTCTTTAGTATGGCAATAAAAAGCATTTTTTATGAGTGCAGCTGCATTTATTGTGCAATTTGCATGCAGAATCTGTACTTGATTGATCTATCTAGTTCTGAGGGACCTGACGCTTCTCGATGAAATTCTTCTCGCCAAAAGCCTGCTTGACCTCATTGACGGCAATGACGCGTTCGTACCAGGCGACGGTGACCGGGTACTTGGCGCGCATCTCCGCGTCGATGCCCATGGAGAAGCCCCAGGCCAGTGCTGAGGCGAGTGTGATATCGGCCATGTTGATCTTATCCGCACTGCACACCCAGGCGCGCTCCTTCAAGTGGACATCGAGGAAGGCAAGCGAGCGATCCAGCCGCTCCAGGGCGCCGTTCTCAGTAGCTTCATCGTAGGGCTTGGCTCCCCGACGCCACAAAGCCAACTGCACCACGTTATCCATGACCTCACCCTGGGAAAAGCAAATCCACTGCCGAATCGTGGCCCGCTCGACAGGCGTGCTGCCCATCAGCTGCCCGGCGGCCGGACCACTCAGAGCTATATACTCGGCAATGGCATCCGTCTCGATCAGGTTAGTGCCGTCGGCACCCTCGAAAGTGGGCACCTTGCCGAACGGGAACTTGGACAGGAATTCGGGGCTGCGGTTGGTCTCGCGCATGACGAAGTCCGGGATGGCTAGCTCTAAACCATTGAGGTTGGCAGCTGCCTGGATCTGTTGGAGGCCTGAATTAGCATCTACTTGGAAGAAGCGATTATGCAGGACGCACTCTCATGACCCGGGGGCTAGGGGTGTAGGACCAGATCTTGCCGAATGGTGCCATTGTGTGTAGAGTATATCGAGAGAAGTGTGGCTTGTGGAGAAGCGACAATACGATAAACGTTTATATATCTGTCTTTTCTCTTTTCCTTTGCATTTTTAATGGCTTGCGGGGACTGTATGTCGATTTGTAATTATCACGAAATTCAGGAACCGATCAGGACTTCTTGGCAAACGCAGCCAACCACGCGCTCTACAATCATACCCCGCCGCTATCCCATGCCGCATTGCTCGAAGCCGAATCAACCGAGTAGCGCCGGTACGGTCAAACACTTCTGAGTGTGAATCATCATGCTGGAGGCGACTCGCGGCGGGAGTGGGGAAACCACCGAGGCGAACCTCATGCCTGAGCGTTTTGCCGGCATAACTACCAAGAAGGAATTCCTATCCCCCAACGGAGGGTATGAATTTCTTCCCCTCTCCCGAGTCCTTGAGTCACCAGGCCCATTGGTGGGATCAATAACGACTGAGACCCACACCCGGTATTCCGTAATCGTCGACCAAATGTAGCAGCGTATCAGTCTTCCTCAAAAGCTCATTTTCAATGCGGAGGCTGGCCTTGAGTCTCGTTTGTCTTTGACCATTAGAACCGAAATTTTTTTTAGATCCACCGAAGCGGCTATCCATAGGTAGACCTCCGCAAGCCCAAAGCCCAACTCAACCCACTAATGGGCTGGGCTTTGGGCCCTATCTCCGGGCCCATAGCCCATAATAAGCACCAAACGATGCAAACATTTTTAAAAAATTAATTACCTTGTGTTTAAACCCCGTTCTTAGCCCTTAGATCAGGGTAATATTTCATTATTTTAATTGATACGTTACTAATAATCAGCTAAATTTATATATTACGTCTAAGCACGCGAAAAAACGCGTCATTTAGACAAGTCTTAAATAATAGAGGTTCACTCAAAAGTGGTGGTACCTACCGGTATAGGTGCCAACTGCCAAACCCCGATTTCCGGTAAATGTTGATGCCTTGGTGCCTAGTTCTGGCCTGAATTAAAGATGGGCAGAAGAATTAAAATAACCAACTAGTTACCTGAATTACCACGACACTTCCCTTAATAATCAAAGACCCTGATTTTGCTGGCGTTTACAACTCTCAAAAATGAAGCTTTTCATCCCATACAAATTGAGATATGTCGAATTTCTTGGACGATTTACAATTGTCAAAAATGAAGCTTAATGGGCCGTGGGTTGGGTTGGCCTTCGAAGGTTAGCCCCATTTATGGGCTTTGCGGAGCTCTACCCATAGGATACCGTTCTGATAGTCATCCTACCATAGGTCCGTAAGTCGTGCTGGGGGTTGCACGCTTGCTATTTTTCGACGATGCAGATGAATATAGCGTGACCATCAGGTTTATTTAGTGATTTGGTGGAGGCAGTGTGGTATTACGGCAGATTTCAGAATGATGCTAGTACCCTGGCCATCCTGCTTTTCATAGATTGACTATCAGAGACTTTTAGCTTCTTAAACACATCTCTCCCTCTGTAGCTGTGACAGAATTGGCTCAATTGACGGACCGAATTGGGATTCCCTCGTACAGATGAAAATTTAAACTAAGAGATATATTCCGACGAGCTACCAGGGCGGCGCTGTGGCCTCGAACACCAGGTCGGGTGTACTGGGATATTCTTATCTGGAAAGGAAGGGTATCTCGTTACATTCGTGCAGTAGATCTAGATATATGTGTATATAATGTGCACTGGTGTGGCTTTCTGGGTGGTATCCTTAATACATTTGCATAATTCAGGTTCGTCTATCCAGTTGCGCGCGGCTTCGAGGCGTCTAGTCAAACGCTCTCGACCGAATGTATGGTATCGGAGGTCCCCGTTTCGGCACCTGCACCGATATCGAGAACCAGAACCTATTCACAAAGCAGCAGAAGAAAAGCAGAATGACATCAGCACATTTAATGTTGAATACACGTCGCAAATACTCGAGTCGCTCTGTCCTAGCGTGCGTGGAAGCAGAGTGGGAGATGGGGCCTATCTCGTGTTAGCGACGTGGATTGCTGCATGACATGCCGCAAGTCAAATGGCATTTATTCACATTCCCACCGGGGTACTCACTCGTTGCTGTCTGGGAATTCCGAGTTCTTCTGCCGCGAGCTTTCGAGCGCCGGCGCGACGAAAGGCAGTACCACGCTGAAGATGAGGTAGGACGTGACAACCACGCGAGTCGTGCGACTATCAGGGCGCGGCCGATGGGTGGAGAAGTGCCGGATGGAAGAGGTGGCGAGCTGAGCACCGATGACTGTGGCCATGCTAGATGATGGTTGGTTGTAGAGTGAGGCGAATTTGAGGAGTTTGAAGTTTGACCAGGGGACTGGTGATGGTGACTTGAGGAGTATAATGTATGGACTATGGCAGCAACAGGAGACAGGGTGTGTGGTAGCTGGAGAGGTCAGTGTAGGTGTAGTTTTGTCGCGTGAAGGCTGACCAAAAAGCGTTCAGAGTTAAAGGTTAAATAGACTCGGTGTACTTTGAGGCGGCTAAGGATGAACGCCTCGGGGACCAAGGCTTTTTTATATATCCAGGCCGAGCAAATGGGACTATGCATGTGTACTATGTTAGGAGATTGCAAGAGTCAGATCCGCGAAGATCCCGCTAAAATTGTAAAGAGCCGCCATGGGCTGCTGCTCGCGACTGGAACAACACTGATCACTCATCTGGGGTAATCAGACACCAACTAGACAGAACGGAATCGGTGCCATGGCGGATGGGGCTGATCTTCTACAGTCACGAGATTGTAAATACATCAGTCATAGTCAACAGACAACCAGGGTGTGTCCTGTTCACGCCATCGCCGGCGTCGGCCGAGTGTGTGGGGCGAAGATTTCCCCTCCAAAGTGCTATCACCTGGGAAAGACGGTAGTAGATGATCTGTGGCATCATCGCGTTTGTAGGATTGGATACAATGGGGTCATAAAATGACGCAGGAGGTATGACATATGCGATCTCCCCTTTGTGATGGCTAGATGAAGGACTATTCAATACCGTATGGTTTAGGGGTAGAAGAATTAATGTCTCATGTTTCCATCCTTCAAACTCTCTTATCGGCACTCTTCGGCAAGGGACGACATCCTCATCATTGGCTGACAGTTGAAATGTGGGTGCAAATGATCGCAGCGGTTGATCAATCACCGAGCGTCTTGCTTCTGGTATCTTCGGATAGCTTCCACATAGTATGGCCAGGTGTGACGAGCGGAAATGGGAACCTTAACCTGCGATCTCGTATTTGATGGCTTGCTGACATGTGTCCCATAGAGATTCCTGTATGACGATCAGGACGAACGTAATATCACCAAGGTTAGGCAACAAAGGCTCTTGGGAGGACTAGTGACCATTTTGGGGCTGGTTTGGCGTTATGGAGGCTGTGTTCGTTTCGCACCGGCAAACATGCGAGCTTTGATGGGGACAGAGGATGCAAGTGGTGGTTGGGACAGGGACTAGAGTAAATCGAGTCGGCGCGCGCCTATAGGGCAACTAGATCGAAGGACGTTCATCACTAAGAGAAAACCGGGATTTGGAGGGTTTGTGAATTGCGTTAATCTCAGCCTACGCTTTCCATCCTTTGTTAATATCATTTTTACAGTGTTTTGTGTCACATTCTATGCGTTTTAACCATCAAAAGATTTACAGATTCTGTCCAATTTATACTAATATTGTGTTGAAGTATTCTCCTGTCTCATGCCTTTTCGCAAGATCGGACCTTAGGTCTTTCCAAATCCTTGAGACAAGGCGCAATAAATAAATCATTCCGCATGATGCCGCAGAAAGTGTGGTAACTAACCAGCAGCCAAAGAAGCACAACCGTGACTGACAATATCTGTAGATTGTCAGTATTCATCATTACTATTGTGAAAGAAAAAAGTACTTACTGTCCCAAGCACTGAAAAAAAGCGCGAAGGCAGCTCCTGGCCTATGGTGCAGGTGCAAGTGGTAAAAACCCCTAATGGGAAGGTCAAAGCCCACCATCCCAAGTTAAAAGGAAATTTTCTCGTCTTTATCATCGTCGCAACTGCGAAGCAGAGCCAAACGATACCAAAGGCCCACAGTAACATTCCGATCAAAAATCCGACACTGTAGAATATTTCACCAGTTGATTCACTCAGGGTGTGCGTCTTGGGGAAAATTGTCCGGGCACTTTTTCCGAGTTTTTGGATACTATGAACTGTCAGAAGATGAGCCGGATAAAACATATGCTTGGAGTGGAATTACCCAAAACCGCCCTGTCCAAGTGGACCCAGGGGAAGAAACACGCTTACGAGCACTCCCTTTGGTGGAAGCTTGTAGAGCACCAGGCGTTGCAAATATATACAGATAACCATCATCGCGAGAGGCACACCGATTCCCCACAGAATATAGCTTGCCAGGATGGTAGCAAGGGCAAGTTGTGCGTTCGGCAGAATATCTGCAACAATGGCCCCTGATGCCGCCGCGACAACACAAGAGACAATTGGCAGAAGCCAAGCCGCAGTCATGGAGGAAAGATCGAGGCCATTCTCCCTCGTTGATCTGCAAATTAGTGTTAACGGAGAATCAAGCCCAAAAAGGAGAGACCGCATACAGTAGAAATGGTATTCCAATGGCAACCAGAACCGATATCACTGCATCGAAAATCCACACTGCCCAAATAAAATAGGCTGCACCGTCCCCCCAAGGCGACACACAGACAAAGCAGAACATATTGATTATTGTGGCAAGCCCCATCGGGAAAGTACCCAGGAATAGTGACTGGACTGGATGAGTGACCATAACTCTGAAGATTTCCGGATACAAGATGTAGCGCAGGATAGTAATGGCCAGAAAGACTGTGAAATACACCACGTTCAACACGAAGATGATGACGGAGAGGTAGTAAAGCCATTTTGCATTGTAAGGAAGGGTGTTGAGCAGAATGGACACGATTCCTGTTCCCATATTGACAGAGAACCAGCTGGTGCTGCAGTTAGCATCTGATTCTCAATGATAGTCTATTTGGACTCACGCTGGAGTAAAATTCCGGACAACTTTTCGCCAACCGACATCGTGTTTTGACCTCTCGACAATCTCTGGGATTTCTGGTCCTAGCATCTCTTTCTTCTCAGCAACAAGTGGAGGATGCCAGACTATAGAGATGACTTGGTATTCTGGGAGGTTGGAATATATTGAGTACAATGGTAAGCAGCGATGAAGTTAAAAGGGGAAATGGGAGGTAACGGGTTAAATTCCGAGCAGAACCGAATCCAAACTCATGGTCATTTAAGCCGTGGACTGTTCGACAATGTCGGCCGAAAAGGACTCTATGACAAAGAGGATAGTCGCTTTAACTTCTCAGTAGTGCGAACGCAGAGTACGGTAACAGTGCAATGCCATGCCAGTATGTCTGGTTGCCGAAAACCTATCTAGGTACTCGTTTCAGAATGTGCCGAGCCAATGGCATTGCTCGACCAGATCCAATACTAGTAAGGCGCGCTACTACACGTAGTAAGCCCTGAAAATATTCTAGTTAAAAAAGGTCGTGGAAAGATTTACCAGTAGATACTGAAGAGGGGAACGCTCTCTGGCATACGGGTCGGTTTAGCAACTGCAATCCGACTACATATCAAGTAAGTGGAACAGAAAGAACCCAGGCGCATGCCTGCAAAACGTGATTTTTCGAGAGGTGTAGAAGTGTTTTTTTCCTATATCTGCAACTATCTGCTGCTTGTATCCTGTACAAATCAATGCGTACATACTAAAATTTCTTTGCGCAAAAGGAATGTACTGAAAAGGCAGACACGTAGTGAGGGTGCTTCAAGCTCCCCTGAACTACAATACCTAAGGCTCTAAGCCAGTGGATTATGGTCTGGCACAAATAGGTTACATAACGACCCAGCGACGAAATTTGGGCACAGACCCCCAACGGCGCACACGGCAGGGCTCGGCGACATCGACATAGCACTGGCATAGGAAAGACAACCAAGACCAACAAAACGTGGCTCGAAAAGTGGTCCTTTTCTCCAACAGCCAGGCGGCCATCCAGGCAGTTCACACAATGGTGCTTCTTGCTTCTTCGGACTTCGCTGGCAATGGAACCCTCCCATTTCTCTTAGAACACTATCAAATCATTGAAGGTGGTATTTTATTGATTTTATTTCCTTTGTAACATTAAACAAGATACCACCTGTGTAATATAATATCTTTCATGATAGGTTAGCACATAAAAAATACATATCAATCGCTTAATGCTGATCGGAATTGGTCATTCCATCAATCTTAGCTCGAGCGCTTCGGAGGAGCTCATTCCATTGCTCGTCTGTGCGGTCAAGGTGAGGCACGTCCGCGCCCTTCTGCACTGCAGCACGCTTGTCGATCTCATCTACCCAGTTCTTGAGAGCCGGGAACTCAGATAGATCGATCTCCAGCATTTGAGGACCACGGCGGACCCACGTGTAGTTGGTGATGTCGGCGATTGTGTACTTAGAGCCTGCCAGGTAGGTGCTCTCTTTCAGACGGTATTCAAGGACCGAGTAAAGGCGCTTGGTCTCGTCAATGTACCGCTTGATGGCGTAGTCGGAGCGCACACTGGCGACAAGTCGGAAGTGGTTTGCTTGGCCTAGAGACATAACAATCAGATAAAGCCCGAGAAATCCATCTCCTGTTTTCAACATACCCTGCATCGGACCAATTCCACCTGTTTGGAACATCAGCCAGGATACCTGCTCAATGTATTCAGGAGTGCCAGGCGCATAGCTAATCTTGCGGTCGGTGTCGTATTTGTTGACGAGGTAAAGCATAATGGAACCACTCTCAAAAACGCGCTGTGGGCCGTCGATGAGGGCAGGGATGCGGCCATTGGGGTTAATCTTTAAGAACCACCTAGGTTTTGATCGTTATTAGCAGGAGGACTTCTGTGCTAGGGATGCCAAGGATAATCGTACTCCTCCTTCTGAATGCTGCTTCCAATATCGATTAGCTCAGTCTTATAGGAGAGACCAAGCTCCTCCAAGGTGATAGAGGCCTTGATGCCGTTGGCAGTATTCCAGGTATAGAGTGTGATATCAGACGACATGGTGAGGGAGACGCGGACTGTGGATGAGAGAATAGAGAGTGGCGAAGCAGGTTTGAACGAGCTGGCGCTGAGTGAGGAAACAACTCCGGGGAGTGTACGGGGGACTCTTATGCCCCGCGACTCAGCGTTGAGCTGTATACACCCCGTGGTTTCCAGTCAATTTGTCAGCTACAATTCTCACCAATTATGTCATTTCCTGAGGGCGATGTCGAACCAATACCCTATTTGCGCGAAGTTTTGGCTGCCGAAAGAAGCCTCCGTTGTTTCCCAGGTTGGTCTTAATCTTTCGGTGGCCATTCGGGCCGAAACTTGGCCTTTCGGTTAAGCGCGGCGACGGTCGGATACGAAATCTGCGCCTCCAGGATGTAGCCGAGACTTCGAGGTGAATATTGATTCATGTCTTAGTAGCCTCGTAAACGAAGTGCAAGCTGACAGGGACTTTACCCCGTTTTCTCAAAATTAACCACCTTCTGGGGGTAGTCCACAACAGCACGGGTCACAGGCCTTTTACAGCAAGCGGAGTTTTGGGTCTCCGTATCTAGCGGACGCCCTACGCTACAGTGTGCTGGCTGTTCAAAGACCTAAACGAGATGAATCTGTACCTACTAGGGATAGAAAATAGGAGCTCGGCGTAGCAAGAATCAAGATGCACATGGGTTATGGAACGTGTTTGTTTCAGGACTGTAGTGTAGATACATCCGTCTCTTCATTCCCTTCTTCTCTTCCTCGGAGTTAGTCAGTCAGTTAGTCCATTACAATTCATATTAGCCTCAGATCCATAGGTTCCTCTCCCAGAGCAAGGTCTGTGGGGCATTCGACCTAAGGGGATCACGATGAATTCCCCGGGGATGAATAACATGACGAAACGCGCGCATTGAAATCGTAACTGACCGGGGGCTCTGGGTCAGTATACGCTACTTTGAACTTTGAATTATGGAAGTCAAGCAGGACGGTAATTGAATTCAAGGAGAAAATGCCGTGCTGGCATGCAGCAATATATAAACCAAAATAACCGTCGACATCCTCTTTTCCATTTATGGGAACAGAGAATCACAAGCAATGTTTGACGATCGCGTTGATAGAGCATCAATTGTGGTGACTGCTTTATTTGCCTTTCTCAAGTACTTCTCTCTCCAGCGCTTCCCGTCTTCCAGTGCTCTTCGGGTCGTAAAACGGCACTTCTCCAAGACTGACAGCGCGGTGGCCAGCCCGAGGACCAACATCTTCGTAGTCCCAAGTCGCAGCGTGATATGTGGACCGGTTATCCCAGACAGCTATCATAGGTGTCAGCTACAAGCAGTTTGCAAACATAAATACGAGACGACATACCGAGATCATTCGGGTTTTGCCAGCGGTGGCGCACTTGCAGATCATGATTCTCCATGATCAAGTTTACGAACCAGTCGGTGAGATGCTTGCTCTCTTCATCGCTCAGTCCGTTGATTTTCTCCACATGAGTGCCAATAGCGAAGATACTCTTCCATCCTGTGACAGGATTGGTGCGGATTACTGGGTGCTCAGCACGCAGATCTTCCCCGATATTCTCAGGGGCACCGCGAGGGCCCTTGAAAACCTCGAATCCGCTATCCTTCGCAAACTGATTGAATTGAGGCTGCGAAAAGGTTGCCTCCAACCCTTCCAAGAATTTCTGGTAAGGTGGTGAAAGGCGGTCATATAGCTCGTATCCCGAAGCCCACAGAGTATCTAGACTTGTGCATAAGCACTACAAGATCATAAGAGTAGGAGTATTAATGCTTACCTCCGCCAGTCCTTGGGAGAACGGTCAAACGCAAGATCGTATAGTCGCTCGGAATAGGTTCAAATGTAATGTCGCTATGCCACTCCTTTCTGGCAGTCTGGTGGCGGGTAACGCGGGATTTGTAGAGCTTTTTGCCCTCCTGTGAGTTGATCACGCTGATTTCGTCATCCTTGACACCTTGCTCTCGGCGTGAGTTAGCAATCGGGTGGACATGTAGTCCGGAAGTCTTCGGCTTTCCCGAGAGCTCTCCAAGTCGCTGAGCCAATTCCTTTTGCATGTCATCTGTCAGAGCATCCTGCTTGCGGAAGAAGACAACTCCTCGCTGGGAAACTAGAATAGGGTTATGAGTCTAGAATTGATATGAGAGATGAGGTTCGACTGACTGGTAATGGCAAGATCTCGAAGCAGATCATCGGAGTTCGGAGCACACAAGAAGTCCTTCAGGCTTGCATTGGGAAACTCGCGTCCAATGACTGGCGTGACATCAAAGGACTCAAAAGCATCCAAAGCACCACTAAGTTTCAAAGGCGCTCGTCCGGGGCCTGGTGCAATAGGGACTGCGGTCTCGGTGGTAAGAGAGGGAGCCATATTTGTAGAGAAAAATTTACTCGTTTTCCAGAGGATTTAGAATCTTGAAATTCAGTGGCGATCAAAACGGAGGGGAAGAAGGTTCGTTTTATATCCTATTTCATCAGATCTACCAGTATCTCTATCTCGATATGTAACATCAGCTACAGTGTTTTGCTCACGTTTAATCGCAACCCCGCTTTGGACGAATACTGACGAACATCCTCCTCTCTACCTCCGGAAAGTAGATCTTGGCAAATGGGTAGATGAAAATGATTGTGAACCCGAGTGCCACTAGAGGCCGATTACGCCGTCGGTAGTGTGGGGCATCATGTACGACGGGTTCCAAAAGCGGGGGAAGACTAACGAAGGGAGAACTTGCCAAGTTTAGAATATGGGAGGTGTTGTGATAGGCAGAGAAATGTTAGTGATGTAACAGCACGCCTTTGAGTGTTGCCGGCGAATAGAACACCAATCAGCACCGTACGATCAGACGCTGAGGAGCTCGGTACAATGGCAAAGCTAATGACATCCGAATAAACTCGCCTCTCCATATACTGATAACCGACATCTACCGAGAGAAATTATATTGAATAATCTAGAGTGATTTGCTGTTATGTGAGCATTCTACGTCGGGCCGTCATGTGCCGAAAGCTGATGCTCGCCGACACAGTAGTTCCGGCTTCCCTAGGGCCAAATGAAAAGAAAAAAAAAGGCCGAACATAGTCCCTCCTGTAGATCGAAAGACTCAGCTAATTTTTGAATTATTCCTCAAGGGAAATTTGCGATGATGTTTGAGGCTAATAAACATAGCTAGAACGCATTTTAAACATGTACGAAAAACAAGTACAATGGCATAGTGTAGAGAACTAGGCTGTGTAGTCATTTCATCGCCCTCGGATCTTCCCTAATACCGATATCAACCGCGCGAGCTGTTTAAAGTTCGGTATTTGGAGGCACACTTGCAATATGACAGAGTTTATTGTGAAACTACACTATAGATGACAAATTTAAAAAATGGTTTACTTAGGTATAAAAGAGAGCATATCAGGCCCTACTTTCTGTGATCAAAAAAATAAGGAACTGAAAGAAAATGTTCAAGGGATTGATCTTCATTACTGGGGCCTCTGGCTTTATTGGCAGTGCCACTGCCGTGGAAGCTCTAAAGGCCGGATATCAACTACGAGTTTGTCTTCGCAAGCCCTCGGACCACCTTCAGACCTTGTTATCACAGTACAGCAAGCAAATCGAATATGTCATCATTCCAGACCTCACCGATGAAACGGCATTCAGTGGCAAGCTGGACGGTGTGGATTTTGTGCTCCACCTTGCATCACCTCTTCCTCATGGCACCGACAAGGAAACGTACTTCACTCCAGCGGTTAAAGGAACCACTGCCTTGCTGAAAGCGGCAGCCAAGGTACCGAGCATCAAGAAGATCGTGATTACCTCCTCCTCGGCTGCATTAGTTCCATTGACTGGTCTTCCAGATGGTGGAGTTATTAAAGGTAAACCACATTCTTTCTTTGGCTCCATATCGGCATGGTACTGACACCTTTTTCAGAGGACAATGACTGGGATCTCTCAGTCGATGAAAGTGGAAGTTTCGAGGACCCCGCAAACCCAGCTGCGACACCCATGGTACTATATATGGCTTCTAAACTGCTTGCAAACAACGCCACCTGGGACTTCTGGAAAACAGCCAAACCACAGTACGCCTTGGTCTCGATGCACCCAGGATTTGTGTATGGTCCCAATCTCATGCAGACATCTGCGGCAGGAATTATGGGAGGGTCCAACTCGGCTCTATGGGGATTTATCATGGCAGGCACCCCGACTGGATTTTTGACAGCAGTGCATGTTCAGGATGTGGCTGAAGCGCATATCAGAGCGCTAGATCCGAAGGTCGTGGATGGCTCGAAGTATCTGCTAGTTGGAGAAAGTACTACAGTGCCAGATATTGCGCGGTTTGTGAAAAAGCATTACCCAGATGCGGGATCAGTCATCACCGAGGATGCGCAAGGTGTGTTGGATCGAACCAATACGACCAAGGCGGAGACGGAGCTTGGAATGAAATGGCGCCCATTCGAGGACATGGTGCAGGGGGTGATGGATCAGCAGCTTGATTTTATCAAGAATCCATCGGGCAAGATTTGAATGACAGGGCCCAACAAATCAATAGCAAGTCAACCATCGAATTCAAGTTAGATTTATGACAAGTATGGGGCGGTTATGTATGTGGGAATGAGACTGGAAGCAACGCTGCAGAGTTAGAATTGATTCCACAATTATCTATACAAGAATCAAGTTGGTTGTAAATTAACTTGACTGCTAAAGTACTTTTATTAGCCATTGGCTTGGCTGGGTTAAGCCAGGAAAAGCTAAGCCGCGAAATAATACAACAATGTAGAGAATTAGGGTTCCGTTGCTTGATTAGGTTTTCTTCGGCCTAAAATTGAAGCACAAAAGTCCGAATTTCGTAGTGCAGGTGTATATGTCCCGATACACAGCGAGTGATTCTTTGATACTGTAACTGCTTTCCTTCACACAGTATGAGACGGTTGGAAAGGTACCCCGGCGAAGAATTAGGCGATAATTGATCAAGGAGAAATTAAATCTCGGTAATCGGCAAGTTCACAGAAAGCCTATGAACTGCTAGAGATTTCTCAATCCACTACGGAGTACGGAGTATTCAGTACATATATAGCCTTAGACCATTCCAACAGACCCACTACACACATATTTCAGGCGCTTCCCTAGATTATCTACAAACATCAAACATAAAACATCCAGATATCCAAACAAAATCGACAGTGGTAACAGAACATCAAAAAAGAGCTTGTGGTACACCGGGAAATGCCAATCGAGAAAGATCCGAGAACTCTTCTAAGATCCGATCAAGGTCGTCGGGGGCGCCCGTGGGAGATTCCACCTCTTGGAATATATCCCCAGCATAAAGTTCCAACAGCGAAAGCCTTGGTGACAGTGAATTTGGAAATGGAAACAAGTCTCGGAAACTTAACATGTCATGCCCTTGGCTGGAAAAAACATTTTCTCGCGGTTCAAAGGTTGTCGTATTTTGGACTCGACCGCTGTTGCGTGAAGTTCGGAGTTTGTTGATTGCGTTCAATACCACCGTTGCCCCGGGAAGTCTTGCTTGAAGCTGCTCCAAGGACGAGACAAGAATGTCAAGCTCTTCTGAACAGTAGCTATCTGACTCTAGTGAAGACTCAGTGGCGTTGTATTGAAGTTGCGGTATTGAGGCCACCATTAATAGCCAATTGTGTGCACCAAGAAGATAACTGAGGTCGTCCCTACAATCAATCTCCTGGTATAGGCGGGCCATGCATGAAGAGGCGACCAACGATACAATGTTCGGAGCAGATGTGATGTCGTGGTCGTTGAATAGGTGAAAATATGATATAATAGTGGCAAAATACGTAAGGTGTAATTCAAAGACATCTTGTCGGTATGTTCGAAGACCATTCGCGTCAAAAATGTGCATAGTTGTTGGAAGATTGCGGACCCAATCTTTTAAGGAATGGAAGATATCTATATGCTGTTATGTCGGTAGAAGTAAGTATGAAAGACTTTTCAAAGTAATAATCTTGTGCTAAATGACTAGAGGCGCGCATACCTGTGTTTGCACATGTTTAGTACTCCGCCCCCGGAGGTCTAATATACTACCCAGGATGGTAATTATCTTGGCTAGCTCAATGAAAAGCAAGGATTGAATATCAAAAGTCTCGAAATCTTCTTCGGTCAGGGGTCGAACGTCAAATTCATTCTTTTTGATACATGTGGGCCATCCAAATGCAGCCGATACAAGTATATCTTGAACCTTGATGCCATTAGTAAAAGTAAAAGTGGATTTGGGAGACACGCACGAAAAGGGACCACGCAATCCTGCGTGCAATCTTTGGATTGACAAAAGTAGCACATATTCCCTCGCGGTGCAGGCCCATTTGCTGTAACAGTCTTATTGCTATAACCAACCACTGCCACGGGGAATCAATGGTCAATAATACAGGACCAGCGATGTTGCGTGTTGAAAAAAGACACATGACCTTTAGAACTGTAATGGGGTCCTGTTCGTGATTGGTGTGGATAAGAGTCTTCACATTGTAATAATATTTCTCATTCTCAGCCAGGATATCTGGTCCTTTAGGATGCCGTAGAATCGTTCCCACCATGCAAATCGCTTGTTGAAGAGCTACCGAAGGTCTGCTAGAAGAGAAATCCGCACGATCAACAACAGGCAATCGATGGAAAACATGTTGGAAATAGGCGTCGACATATGCATTTAGTAACATTGCCGGTGGTGGTGAGGTGGGATCTATTATCGTCAAGATCTCCTGGTTTCTGGTTGTTGAGGTGGCTGTGATCCGACGATAGTTTGGGGGAATACCAGGGGCATTATGCAGCATGTAAGTCATTCCGCTAAGGTACTGTCTATGTACTGGCTCAGGTGGTGGAACAGTAGGCCCTTGGTCTTGTTGCTCGCGAATGATTGACGGTTCTGGAGTCACTGGCTTCTCTTGACCAGCTGCTCCGTTAGATCTTGGAGATCTCGCCATTCGCCTGGTGTACCTCTCTTTAACCGTCATTCTCCGGTTGGGACGAGGTCTGAGAAATGGTCAGCAATGCCATAGGTTATCTTACCTGATGATTTCTTACTGGCAGGCCAATCCATGTTTATCACAATTCGAACAAGTGCCTTCTGATTGAGTCTGTAGATCACATTTGACTTTGCGTGCGTGACACTGACAACATACGATCCTTGCCCGATCACGAACTTGAAGAGATTGACCGGAAACCATTGTATGATCTTATGCAAATGTAAAAAGGGCATTTGGAATAGCCAAATATGAAAAAATCAATAATGTAACACTAGAGCAGTACCTTGGAAAATGCGGGGGTGGCTGCGTCTAGCGTTAACCCAGGAAGTTGCTATGACACAGCAGATGTTTTAGCTCCCCACTTTCTACCCCGTATATCCAGTCTTATAGCGCTCAGGGGAAAACCCACTTTGGGGGATGATGCCTAAATGCCTTCTAGCACCGCCTTCTACACCGCTCTATAGTTACAGGATATTGTAAATTATTGAACAAATGTTTGATTATTAAGATGTGTAATAGTAATTCAGATATTTTGACTTTTCTGCTGTTTTAAAACAAGGCATTAAGGACTACCCGGGGTTTAATCCCTGATAGCTATACCGCTTCGTACCCCGTATAACATACACCGCCCCCCCTCTAGAAATGTGCCGGGGGTAGCTTAATACATGCGGGCTCAATGGTTACGCGTTTCGATCCTTCTAAACCTCCTATTTTCTGACCTATACGATGGCACCCCAGAATTAACTGATTGACAGGTTTCCAGCCTGAACCTTAGTTTCTCTCTTATGCTTCGTATGATATTTGTTGAATATATGGCCGTTAGCTAGCGATCAAATCAGTGTATCAGCATAGATATATAGCCAAAATTTTCAGAATAGAACATGTCAAAGTGCAGGGTAAAATTATTACGGTTCCGATGAATCAGTGCTGGGGGTTGCCAGGGACGGCCCGGTCCTCATTAGTCTTGGCGTATCCGTTTACTCCGTAAAGCGCAGGCTATTGTGAGCTAGTAAAGTAGCACATTGTATTATATGTTGTAAGAATCTATCCAACCCTTGATCGGAAGACTCGGCTATAAAATACAGGGAGGGCAATATTAAGCGTTAATGGCGTTTTGATCGACAGGCCTGGCCAACCCAGTGATAATTTCATTGGTGCATTCGGACTAATTTCCCCTCTTAGCTCTCGTTTCGGCTGTCTCGGCACTATTCGGCTGTCATCGGCTGTCTCCCGCGTCTGAGGGCGAAGCTGTGCCAAGAGAGATGAAGTAGCATTCACATGTCTATTTGCGTAGACTACTACCCCAGTTTTCCACACCCGAGAACTATTGAGGTAGACAAAGCCTCTCGCGCTAGGTGTCTCTCAGTTTGCTCAATAAGCATACATTGTACCAGTCAACTAGGACGGCACCACTTTGACTAGCCATCACATCCTTAAGTCTCGCATCTATGCCCACTAAATCCTCTTCGATATTAATATAATCCTTTAATCTTAAGATAGATAAAAGGAGTAGGATAAATAACGGAGATAGCTAAAAGGCCTTAGTTACTAGCAAACTCGGCAATGTACACCGTGTATGTCGAGCCCTATGCCCATTTGATATTTCTTTATAGAAGCGGACGTAGTTAGCGCTCTTTCGACCGGAGTTATTGGCCGTTCTAATGTACCTAAATCGATTGGTTTTCTCTAGCTAGCGTTGTATGTTTTGATAAGATCGATATATGAACGATAAAGAGGAAGATCACATACCAGTATACTACACCCTGCCAACCCATGTCATAAAGGCCATAGGATAATCAGAGCTCCCATCGAAGGACCCTTCATCAGTCGTACAGTCCTCCTTGGTCCACCAACCCTTATCAATGGTAGTATCACGCATCAAAGCATAGTCGTACTGGACTCGGCGACGAACATCATGGAGCCGTTCGAAAACTTCCAAAAACCAATCCTCATCAGCCTCCCGGTACACCATGGGCCAGTCCAGACGGATTGCGTAATGGACAGAATCGAAGCCAGGACCAGAACGTGGTCCTTCTTCTTCTTCTGCTGCTGCTGCTGCTGCGAAGGAGTCTTGTCCTTTTCATCAGGAGAATCAGCAGCCGGGCGCTACCACAAGCCTTTGACAGGGACTACAGGGACACTACCAGCCTTGCATACTGTCCTGCTGGAAACAGCACACAGAGTCAAATACCCAATTAGGAGTGTGCGAAGCATCATCAGGAGCACCTACATACGTCAGCAAGAACAAACAAACGTATGGACCCCAACCAGCACTCACGGAGGGAACACTTATTCGCGGCACCCGAATACCGGCAGCAATCACACTTCGACGACACTGAAAACCCGGTCCAGCAAGAACGAGCGAGGAACACGAGGGATCTTGCTGACACGCCAGTCAACTCCATCTCGCTGTAAATTCACACCGGACCACGACTGGTCCGTGGCACTGCCGGAGAGGCGAGAACGAAGAGGAAATCCATTGGCATCAAGTCCATTTCCTGAAAAACAGGACGGTCAGCTCCCGTGAGGATACAAACGAGGCAAGACAATACATATCAGTGTCAACTTGGGCCTGGGAACAAGCAAACGCACCTGCAGCAGGCAAACGGGCGTGGATCACTCACCAGCGCCACCATGTTGAGCAACGGTCGGAGCCACAGAGACCACCCGCAGCAGGGGTCACAGAGTCGACCGGAGTCGTAGCCACTCCCACACCCTCGCCGCTGTCACCACTACCACTGCCACCATCCGCATCATCAGTGTCAACACCGCGCCTGCACCATCGTCGCCAGCAAGGCCACCGAGGCGTTCGGTATCCGGAGCAGGAGGAAAAGAAGCAAGAACACTGAGAGACTCCTTGGCCGCCCGCCAGCCCGCGCGCAGGAATCTTTCACCCGGCATGACTTGCATCAGGAGATGCACAAGGCGCAAACCCACCTTGGCAACGTCAACCTCCGAACTGTCAACCTCCACAGATTACTCCAACTGCGAGCGCACCTCTAGGGCCCAGCGTTTGATTTGCTATACAACCGCTCGTCCCTCGCCCCACGAACCGGATATCGCATCGAAGAATGACTGGGGGGCCTGGGTGACACGGTGGCATCTTTTCTCTGCTGATGAACGGACATCAACACGGAAGGACGCGCGAAAGGTGCGAGCGGATCTAGGATCCTCTTTTTAGTGCTCAGGATGCTGCGTACAAGCCATTATTGATAAAAGATCGGTCTGATCAGGATGAAATTGATGCGATTGGAGATCAAGAAGTGGTGGCGAAGAATTAAAGCAGAGGTGAAGCAAACACCTTTCAAAATAGGAAGATACCGGCCTCAGCCTTTTGATTGAAGACCCTCACAACCACCTGAAGACAACAGTTGTCGATTTCCTACCTTAAAGAACCTCTCGTGGACGGTACGTCGTCGTCACCTCTCATTTACCCTTTCTTCCCTATTATATGACTCTTTTTATTATCTCGCCACCTGTTTCTGACGTTTGACAGCTGAAAAAAGACCTAGCGAGATGAAAGAACCTCAATAAGCCTTTCTGGGACTAATTTGAAGGAACTTTGTTCGGATATGTAGAGTTGGGTGTTTGATATTTGTGCCTTAGAGATCGGACATCAGCACTCAGCTAACTAACTAGTTGGTATAGTCTGGGGTCTCTTCATCCTGTTTCCTAGTACAACTCTCTCTCCTTCACATTCCTGATCATTCCTTGCATTGGCTGTACAGCTTCATCAATATGTATACTTGAACCCAATCTGTCCCTCAATCGGCTTTCCTCCAGCATCGACTCGCTTGTTTGCCCGATTGAACTTGAGTGTGAGTAGGCACGCAAATACGACAATCAAACCATTGGCCAATATAGCGGCGATTAGACCTGGTATGTAATCAGGAGCATCTTGAGCGCGGAACACTGTTGTCGCAATGATGCCTCCAATACTGCCTCCACCGATCGATGTCGCAGACGTAAAGGCTCGTTTCCATTGGCCACGGATGTTGTTGCTAGAGGCAATTAGACGCTAAGATAAAACCACATTCTGGAAACAACACTATTACCTTTGCCAAGATACCAGCGCAGGGCAATTTGCAGTTGCTAGAACAGACATTAGTATAGTCATAGCCACGAGAAAAGAGCGTTCACTCACCAGCAGCAGTAGCTAAGAAGACTCCAAAATACCGGGGGCCGGATCCTTAAGAAAACCTAGCAGTGCTAGGCCAAGAATCGCCACCAGCGCGTTTCCAATAATAATGGGTCCCCGCAGACGCCATTTATCCGAGTATACTGCCTGCGTGTACATCACCACACCCGCAAAAGCATAGGGTGGTGCAACAAGACATTGCGCCTTCACCACGGGGAAGTGCATGCTATCTTGCAGAATTATCGGAAGAAAGTATGCAATCGCGTAGCTAGGCATAGTAGCTAACATATACAAGATCGCATATGCCCAGACCTTACTGTCTTTGCCATTTGCTAGATATTTCCGAATAGAGAAAGGCTCCACGGTGGTATCTGCTCTATCACGTTCGATTGTGGTAATAATAAATGAGGCTTCGGTTTGGTTGAGGAATTTCCAGGACTTCGGTGCTTTTTCCGGGAAGTCGACCAGCAAAATGTAGGAGCCAAGGCCTAGGACACACGTAAGAAGGCCTTCTATCTGTTCTCCATATATCATCAGTATAGCTTCTCCCGCGATAATCAGAGAGCATAGAGCATATAGAGTCTTACAATGAAAATCCACCGCCAACCGGAGATCCCGCCTAGCCCATCCATCTGCGATAACCCGTAGGCTAATATACCGCCAAAACCGGAGGCCACGCTTCCAATAAGGAAGAACGCAGCGTTGCGCTTTTGTAGCTCGTAGCGGGGGTACCAAGTACTAAGGAGATAGACGCTGCCGGGGAACAGTCCAGCCTCTAGGCCACCGAGGATTGCTCGTAAGCCAGCCATGGATTCCCAGTTCTTGACAAAGCCGAAGCCCTAGGATCATTAACAAAACGCTTTAGTTTTGAGTTTTTAATACTTACAATCATGACGGCTCCCCAGAGAGTAACAATGCCCGCGAGGAAGATTCGGGGCCCAAGTTTGCGAATAATGACTGTGGCAGGGATCTGGAAGACGGTGTATGTGACGAAGAATACCAATGAAGTGATACTGTAGCCATTGTTGGATGCGTTCATATCCAGCTCTTTCTGCATTCTGGGTTTGGTTAGCTGAGTACGTATGTATAGACCGTATAGACAATTGCGATACATTGCACTTACCCTGCAACCGAAGCAGCTCCGAGATTTGTTCGATCCAAAAGACTGACAATGAATAAACATCCCACAGTAACAACCAAGCGAATATCGACTCGTCGGATGATTTCCTTCTGCTCATCCGGATTGAAAGAGTTTAGGATTTCCTCATGGAATGCACTCTTTTCGGTGTCTTCGATGTCTTCGACTTGATCCTCATGATGTGAGTCCTTCATAGTAACGTTTTTTTTGTCTCTGTTCTCAACTTCGCGCTCAATTGGTGAATCTTATGTTTACTTCCCGGTGGATGGAAACCATTTGCGGGGTAACCCTAAGTCCTGAGACAAACGGAGAGAGCCCACATATTCCCCGCAAACATAGGTTATACGGTGTTTTGTGGGGTACCATGATCTCGGGTTGAATAGTCTAAGACTCTATGTGTACTAAACAGTGGAGTAAAGGCTGCCGAGAACCAATTTGCCCTACTTATCTGCGCCAAATAACTAGCCTACTTCGCTGTGCCATGCCGTTCCACTTGTGCTTCGTACATCTTATTTACAGTGCCTTCTACTTATGCTTATGCATTTCAAATACCGTTCTAAATCTCCCTCGACAAATTAGTTCACAATGCAGTGAGGCTTTTCGATCTACAGAAAGACTGGTGGCGAGGGAATTGTCCGAGCTTTGTTCATTTGCCCCTAAAAAAATCCGGGACTGCTGTTTCGGTGGGCTTCGGCTTACGGCATGGCGTCGGTAAAGTGCTGAAATAACGGCCGATCACTCTCGATCTTTGACTTTCTCGGTAGGTGTCGGTTGTCTGGATATGGACAGGCACATATATTCGGGTCTCATCCACTTGGCCTCTATACCGAGCCCCTTGGTGTTTGAATGACAGATTTTCGATTTCTAAAGTCAATGTCGAGTTCGCCCACAATACATCCCGGTTCGTGCAGTCGACTGGAGGGCCTCAAACTCAATGGGCGAAAGGCCTCTTTTGCTGAACCCAAGGCAACTGTTTTCTTCTCCAGCCTCCTCCACCTGTTCTAACCCGGTGTAGATGACGATCCCCTATTGACGAGGTAATCGGGCTCTGGTGGTATTTGGGCTCGCAACCATTTTAATTACCTCCTTACCTATTGAGGAGTGCTACTAATTTAGTTGAAAATCATGGTCAATCAGTATGGACATCATCTTACTGTTCGGCGTATTCCATTCCAGACTTCTAACACTATCCCCCTTGCTCTGTATAGCACGCTTAGAGCATTAGTACAAACGTAACTGGTCCCCTTCAGTTAATGAATGACATCAGCAAGGAAATAGAAGGAGGTAATATGCAAAACTCGTATATTCGTCTAAAGCGAGGTTGCGGTCAAACGTGGCTAGGACTACCGGCGGGTACAGCGACCATTTGCGGTGTCTCGTTATAGCGAGGGTGTGTCCCTATACTAGTTCCCTAAACATAATTCATCGATAATAAATGTAACTATGGTGTCTAAAGTACCGTTTACGATGTGTATAGATATTATTAAATGGCATTTTGATCTACTATACACAATGCCAACTGCGCCTGATACGAGCTGGGCGTGTTAAAACAGTCTACAGCGTATATATAGCTGCTATAAGCTTTTTCCAACACCAGACAGCAGGCCAGCTGACCCCTAGGATTTCTGACTAAGCAACCATGCTCAGATGTTGATTTGTACGATGCATATTCGTACTTGAATTGTGTCAAGAGTCCGAACGAATTAAAAATGTAAAAAATGTAAAAACATACAACAGTGAGGATTCGCTGGTGGTCACCCACCCAACTACTAACTCACCGGCGTGTGGCTTAAGTACGGCTGAGCGGACGGGAAGCCCTGTTTTCCACACCCTATGGTCGTATGTACTTGTTTAAGTGTGAGAATGGAATATAACATAGATGGTAGTGAGAAGGGTGAGAATCACCCCAGGTCGTGCGACGACTGCACCTCCCTCAAGTGACGAGGATCGGTATTATTGAGTTACAGGTTGGCTCTGGAACACTCGGTCCCTTGGCATCTGCACACAGCCCAAATTGAAGAGAAAGGTTGCGAAGAATTTCACAACCTGTGGCCTTCTCCCCGGATAGTCAGATGGTAGCCTCAAGTTCTGACGACGGGATTATTATGCTTTGAATAACAAATCTGGGATACGGACCCTTAAACCCGCGAACATGTCTATGGTTTCTTCACTGGTCTTTTCTTCTAACGACCAAGCTGTGGCATCATATCATTCTAACGGAAGTGTCATATTCTGGTCTTTTTTCTTTGCCAACTACCGGCTCGTCCATGGAAGCGCCTAGGAGCTTGAAAGTCCTCGTTGTTTTAACCTAATACCTCCGTTAACCAATGATTTTGACATTGCCAATTAAACACAATAATAGGAAGATGCATCATCTAGAGTCGAGGTTGGCCTGCACGGGTTGAATGCAAAAACTAGTCGAATGCAGAATGTACAATTTCCATGGGAGCCACATACAAAAGGTACTTCGGAATAACTCTATATATCTCGGCCAACTCACTATTATTTTTTTATTTTTTTTCAAATAGACATAAGGTTAAGTTAATACAGCCTACATACTATAGTACTATAGAAATGAAGTCGAAATACCAGTGTGGTCTAGAAGAAAAACTTTTAGATGAATTTTGCACGATACAATCCTGATAGGGGTCCCAAGGTTATTTAATTTTCCTGCTTTACAAAAATGGTTAAAAATAAAAGCTGCTCTTTTAAAGCTACATCATAAGACTAGATTTATGATATTAAATCATTATCCTGTAATTGAATGAGGCGGTCGAGATATATACATTTATTTCTAAGTACTTTTTGTATGTGGCTCCCATAGAAAAGGTACATTTTGCATTCAACCCGTGCGGCTCAACTCCCTGTGGGCCGTGCGTTAGTCCGAGTATATGAATAAATATGAATAAGTCTTGTTTATATTCATGTTATGCAGTACTGACGAAAAGAATATGTCATCAACAATTTCGTAGGAAATTTTGGCAAATGATAACATCTATCTCAACGTCTGATGTCTGATTTCAATGTGTTAGCTTCTATAACCGTAAAACAATCACGAATGGCCATATGATCGGAGGGAAATGCCATGAGAATATAACTTTGGTCACGAGATCCCCTTTTAGCTCCCCGTCTAGTGATATGCCGCGGCTGTATCCGAGACATTTAGACGAGCTATCGTCAATCAGGCAGGTTTTCTATCCATTATAATATCAGCTGCTCCCAACAAGGTCATACATAACTGTAAAAGGGCGGAAATTGAAGCGATTCTCCTCTCTCGCAATTATGCCTGGCTTTGTTGGCAGATTAAGCGAAATTACACCTACAATCATCTTGTTTGGTATCATTCTCCTTAACGGCTACCATCATCTCGATCATCTGCTCGTTACCAATTTCGTTGGGGGCATCTATCTCGCCTTTATCAATCGAGGGTCAGCCCGTAGCGGTTGTGTTCCTGGTGGCAACAACGACCTCTAGACTGGTGAGTTTCAAGTCCGATATTTATTTTCCAGGTCGTCTATATTTGGTGGTACATAGTGCTGATCTTTGGGTTTTCTTGTAGCTGTGCGGTGATCTTTGAAGGTTTGTGTAAAGGGTTCAATTTCTGGAGTGGAAAGGAGGTTGATCTGTTATTTGCTTTTGCCTGTCTGTTCTGTTTGGGCCGTGGTTCTGTATAGTAATATAATTGCCGTGAGTCAAACATAATGTAGTACAAGTGAAATAGGACGACGGAAACTTGTATTAACATAGTATGTGTTGGCTATGTATACTCTTACTGTTAGGTGACTTCGCCCAGCGTGTAAAATCTTGTATCAAATTGTAGACAATTTTTTGCTCTATCTTTCTTCTAGAAGTACATATCTAGGTAAAATAAATATCCCGGGCGGGTAGGATGGAGAAACAAGTATAATTAAGTACGGCAGCATATGTAAAAGGCCAAGAGAACATTAATGAAGCCAAGACAACCGAATAAAAGCTTGGAGTAGAGATCAGGTAATCCGCGCTCAGGCCATGAATGGGGTGCCTAAGCCTCCGTCCACAACACGAAGCATAATCCTATTACGGTACAATTTCTCATCGCAGGCTAGCTCGTTACACGTTTTTGCCTCAGGAAAATGCCCGTGCACTCAAGCGGGGGTCTTTCGATGCGACAAGAATCGGGATTTAGCTGCACTCCATCAAATATATATCACTACTTTCAACAATCTATATCTACCCAAACAATGCAACAAATATGCATAAAATTCCCATCAGTATACAGCTAACTGGGCAAGAAATCCAAGTAAATTGATATTGAGTATAATACCCGCTACCTTGCTCAGTGCAAGCAGTCTGTTAGACAAAGAGCGTATCAAATTGTCAATTGTACCTTGATCAAGCGGTATCCCAAGTAGAGCAGATACAACGCTTAAAATGCTTCCAAACTTGCTTCTGTCAACTCCTAGCTGTTTCCGACCGGTGGATTTTCGCATTGTTTTTCTAGAAGACAGTTTCGGGAACGTATATTGGGAGAAGAGCCTCTTCATATGGAGAATTAGCCTGGTTTTACTATTGGCTTACGGCTATAGTTTTCTCCAGAGATATATCCTGTACATACGACCATAGGGTGTGGAAAACAGGGCTTCCCGTCCGCTCAGCCGTACTTAAGCCACACGCCGGTGAGTTAGTAGTTGGGTGGGTGACCACCAGCGAATCCTCACTGTTGTATGTTTTTTACCTTTTGTTTTTATTCGTTCGGATACTCCCTCTTGCTGCCCTGCTCTTTTCAGTCCCTTCATTCAGCCCGTTCACCTAAATATCCTACACACCCCTAAACCGCTGACGTGTTCTTCCCTTCCCGCACACCCAGGGTATGTGTGGAATAATAGAGAGGGTGTGACGATGGTGCGCCGGTGTGCGGGAGGGGGCGAAAATCCTCCGGGAGAGCGCATTGACCGCGTAGGCCGCTCTGCTAGTGCTATGGTGATATGTCGTTGGGTATGACTACAGGCTCCGAAACTGTTATCTCTTCGCATCTGTGCACAGCCACGCCAGGGCTTTGTTAATTGGAAAATTCATTGCTCGAGCGCTAAGCGATATGTAGGCTACTACAACTATCTGACATGTAGGGCGTACCACTGCCTGACAACGAATTTAGAGCCTCGTTAAGGCCTGTCCTAGCCAATTGTTATTCTTGCTATTAGGCTGTCCTCATGACGCGCGACTTTAGAACCATTAAGACGCCTCCGCAAAGTCTAGTTCGGCTTCAACTATGGTACCAGTAAGATGGCGTGGGCGATTCGTAATCTTGACTTGTTACTCAGATTTCGGATTGCTTGTAGTCCCGACATGCTGTCGCATAGGATCGCGACTGGTGCTGTGCTGGTGGATCGGATTACTATGGCCTAGAGTATGAGATCATGCACACGATCTGATGAGGCTGGTAGAGTATCATGATGATTCATTGATGAAAGAGCCGAAGGAAACATCACTATCATTAGAGATAGATAATGTGAATTGCCTTTTCAAGTTAGTTTTGTATTTATAGATTTAGCGCCTCAATATTCACGTAACCTCCCTTCAATACTCCCAACATAGAAGACCCGTCTTCGCTACTATTCGTCCCATTCTCTTGCCTTTCTATTATTCTGCCTCTATATTTTGCACTCATCACTGTGCACCTGCAACTACGCCTGCACAATCGGACACATCTGGTTTGTCCCACCCGTGAAGGCATGATCTCGTCCTTATCAGTAAGTTACAGCCCCTCAACCAAGTGCGGTGTTATAGAGGCTGTTTTGCGCAGTCGCTCTAATAATAGGTGTGGTCACCCTTCTCTATAATTAAGAGCCTCGTCGCCAATCACTTACAGAATGGGTTAGTTGATCGGGTGCTCAGCCACGATGAAATGCAGGGATCGCGAGTCTTTGCCAAGAGAGTTAAAAACAACTAGAAAAGCCCCCATCCCCCACCTTCATCTCTCAGCATAATTTTACCTTCCAGTGTTTTGCAATGAAAATCCCCATTTCCTTGCCGGGGAAGCGCGAAGTACGCAACATATTGGCCTGGGCTCGTTCTCTAGCCCCTTCTCAGCACTACGATGAGGCAGCAGACAGCGATCTACACGATACCGAGCTCCTCGCACTTCCCAGCCAACAGTCGCTATCTTCCGTCTCAAAAATCACGGCAAAAGAGTGAACCACCCATGATCAGACTCTTGTCACTCCTATATTAGGCGAAGCAACAGCTAATACCGACGAACACAGAGGCATTCTAGCACATGCTTTGGAAAATAACAGTCTTAACAAATCAAGATCCTAGATTAAAGGTGTATACCTCTATGGATATGCGACTACCGGCCTCCTACTATCCAATCTCATACTTGTTTCCGTGGCTGGCGGATTATCGTCTAAATTCCTAGGGAGAGGGGGATCCTCGAATTCAAAAGTGATATATCACGGTTCATGTGATATGGTAGGTCGGTGGAACACAGGTATCCATGTCATAATCAACATTATCAGCACCTGTACTCTCGCAACGAGCAATTATTGCATGCAGACCCTTGTCGCCCCAACTAGAGACGAGATTGACATTGCCCACGCAAAACGCCGCTGGCTTGACGTTGGATGTTCTAGTTTCAGAAATCTCTTCGCGATATCGTACGCCCGACTCGGTCTGTGGATAGTCTTGCTACTTACTGCCACGCCGCTTCACCTATTGTACGGAGGTATGCCTATTGTTCTTTTTACAGAATGTCGCCTTAGTTATAACTCACTCATATTTGAGAGCCTGAACTACAACGAGTACTAGGCCTTCGCCGCCCCGCATGATTTCACGCCTGAGGACGTGCGAAATCTCACGACTCCCGCCTTAGATAATTGTTTTACGATACACACGATCTCCGCACATCCGAAATATATGCCTTCAAATGAAGTATTAGATTGGAACCAACTAATTCTTCAAGTTGAAGGATCAAAGAGCAAGAGCATCTCCGCCGAGGAATGTTACGAAAAGATATATATGACCATTGGCCAACCCGTCTATAAGGGGATCATTCTCCTAACAAGCAACCGAAGTATAAATGATGGCGGAACTAAGTCCGTCCTTGAAATCATGAACTGGAACAACTCCGGAGAAGTTTCGGTAATTCCGTCTGTGACAGAAAACATACAGGATCATAAATGCCCACCCGTGTCTGACCCTTACTTCTACCTTAACACAATTCATGCCGACACAATTCATGTCACGGAGTGCCTGGCATTCGAGGGAAAATGCAATTGCCAACTGTTTTATAACCCTATCATCGCTGTGACGGTTATTATTGCCACCTTCGTCAAAGTTATTGCAATCTTCTTAGCGGCCCAAATTCATAAGTCTCGATCAACTCCTCTCCTTACGTCAGGTGATACGATAGCTTCGTTCCTAGAGGACCCAGATAAGACTACGAAAGGCATATATTGGGCATCGCTGAATAGCATGAAGAAGGACTGGACAATATGTCCGGAAGGACAGGAACCACAACGACAGGCAGTGAGATATCAACGTCTCACCAGGCCTCAGCAATGGAGAAGAGCATCTGGTCCAATCCATTGGTTTGTGACTGTGTTGATGTGAGCCTCCTAGGCCCGATATATAACCTAAATGCCGAGATACTAACAAAATTAAGCGCCATTACCTGCATTATAACTACTTTATTTATATACCCACTCTTTGCTGCGGACACACATGCCGAAGCTGGGCGTTTTACATGGCAAGAAATCTGGGACTTGGAAACTACATGGTCTCTTGGCAACAACTTTGACTATATACTCTAGACGTAAGGGTGGATGACTAAATTACTACTGGCAATATTAACCAATAATACTTAAGTCACGGGTGGCACACTTAGTCGCCCGTACACTGGTTGACCTATTTACCCTGAATCCTTCCCATAAATAGTGAACGCATCACGTTCTTTTCACATCAAGAGCATCCACTGAGTAGCATTATCTAGAAAATCTCATAGATGATACCCTCAATTATGACCAGTGTACCCCCTTTTCCTAAATCATCAGGAACGAGCAGACTTGATAGGCAGATATCTAGGTACATGGTGGAATGTAACATGGTATGTATCCTATTGTTGCATGGCTGGCCATGGATTTAAGCAGCCCACACCTATACTATATAGGAGGTTGTTTTTTAACATCCGCCACTCTACCCGCTCCATGTAAAGCAGTGCCATCTAATTAGGGTGTTATATCAGTTAAGGCACTCCACCTTCAAGCCATTCGGCTTTAATACTTCTTCCCCCGAGCACTTTTCCTCTCTCCCTCTGTAGCCCAACAAAAAGATTCCCTAGGCATGCTTCGATCATTATCGATGTCCCAAAAGAAGTCCCGGCCTTCTTCGGCATTCAAAAAAAGAAATCTCAGGTTTGGTTTTTAGGAATAGCCGAACGCGGGGGTCGAACCCGCAGCCTTAAGATTAAGAGTCTTACGCTCTACCGATTGAGCTAGCCCGGCTGGGCTGTTGGTGGCTGTCCTACAGGTCTGAGCTAAGATCAACTCGGCTAGCTTCTGCGAGCAATACCTTGAGTGTCCCTTGTCCCTTGTCCCTTGCTCAAAGCGATTAAGTAGATAATATACGTAGTCACATATATTACTTTCGATATACATCTACAAGAAGCTCTATATATGAGATGCGTAAAGAGAAAATAGCCAAAGGATATATTAAAGCTGAAGTCTGTCAATGCCTGTTCTCGTAGAAATGCTCTCGAAGACGTGCGAGGCAACTGACTTTACCCGACGAGGCAACCCCCTACTTTGATTTAACAAAATCCTATCCTTAGATAAGAACCCGAAATAAATTATTAATCACTCGATGCCTATGATATCAATCAAACTACTTGGGTTGAGCGAGCTGAAAATTTTCCAACCTTCAATCTTAAAAACTCGGTTTTCCATCGAGCTGATATGAAGCCTCCCCAGGCGGGTAGTACCTCTACTCCTCCAGGACTGATATCTCTCTCGCCACAGCCACCCCAAATTGTGTTTTTTTTTTTTTTTTTTTTAAATTTGTTCCTTAAAAAGCTTCTATTATCATAGACGCTATCGTCGTTTTTTTATTATCTTGTTTTTAAATCATTGGCTACTCGAAACCAAAGCTAGAACGAGACCTCAGTCATTCTATATCTATATCATCCTCAAAGATCTTCCGTCTTGTTTCTAGGATACGGGAGGAGTGGTGCCGCGGAGTTAAAAACTCAACCTAGCGAATTATCCGATATAACTACTTAACTAACGTATTTATTTCACATGCGAGCTGCGCACACAAGCGAGCTCCGCAGCCGGAACACCATAGTAAATGCGATATTCTCTCCATTGATATCTCAACAACTACGTTTTCATCTTATCTCCATATTTGTCGATAGTCATTGATAAGCCTTATTAGCACTACATATCAATATTATAAGAAGTAGAAGGGTATATTATCATCATTTCAAAAATTACTAAAAATTACGTTGCTAAAAACTAGAAATATATATAGTACAATCATCAAGTCACACACTTTCTTTAAAATCCCCGAAGAAGCTAGGTATCACCTAGAAAGTAAGAAGGTATAAGGATAAATCTCTATAGACCTCCGTTGTTAAGATATCAAGTAGTAATTTATCGCATTTACTATGGTGTTCCGGCTGCGCAGCTCGCTTGTGTGCGCAGCTCACATGTGAAATACGTTAATCAAAGTAGCCTGATTTTGCTGGCGTTTAAAACTCTCAAAAATGAAGCTTTTCATCAGCATACAAATGGAGAGATCTCGATTTTCTTAGACGGTTTGCAAGTGTGACGATTCAGACTTCTATGGATGTTTGCAGTGTTTGCACTAAGCGGGGAGCGGGGCCCACAAATACTTTCAGTTCTCACCTTTCCTTTCCTTTCCTCATGCTTAGAATTCTAGTTGAATACACTCTTTCTTTTTGAACAGACCTGGCAGGTAACAGCAAGTGTCAAAAATGAAGCTTTTTATCATCTCTCGTACCGGTGATACTTACTTTTCTAATATTCTAAATTTCTGGTTCTCTTACCATCTGAAGTCATCTCGTATACAACTAACCACCGCAACACCTTCATTCTATCTATGATATGCTACTAGTAGGCCAGTTACTAGCTACGATATAGTAAATTCTAGCCTACAGTCTAATACATACGACCATAGGGTGTGGAAAACAGGGCTTCCCGTCCGCTCAGCCGTACTTAAGCCACACGCCGGTGAGTTAGTAGTTGGGTGGGTGACCACCAGCGAATCCTCACTGTTGTATGTTTTTATTTTTTATTTTCCCTTTACTTGGGAAATGATCCTTGATTTTAGTCTACGTCCATTCACCTCAGGAGACTTCACCTCAGGATCGACAGTACCATAGCAATCCACTTTCATCCTTTGATGTCGCGCAGGGGAAGCTCAAACTTGTTGGCCGGAACTCTGCTAGCTGTGCCATCAACGCTGTTATTTTTCTCGACATCGCTCGAGAATATGACTGTGGTTCCCCATTGATGGTGATTGCGACGGAAATCAAGGGCCGATTGAAAGAAAAAGGGTTGAATGAAAAATTAGCTTTTGGGTGAGATTTTGAAACAACATAAATGAAAAGCACACACAAACAATTTGCTTTTCCTGTAGGGAATTTTACCAATCGTCGGCGTAATGCATCGATATAACCGACCCAAACGGCGTGCCAACCATCCAAGCCAGCGACTGTTGAGTCTACTCATCTTTTTTTTTTTTGACGCCCACGGTGCAGATTATCCAAGTTCAGCCAGTTAGGGAACTTGATCAAGGCCCGATCAGGGTGTAGATAGGGGACCGATCTCACGGGTAGATCTAAGGTTGCGGGTGTGGGGAAATATTTGAGCCGCCTTCGGAACCCGAAGCCATTGGGGGGGGGATCTTAATGCCCGAATCGGGAGAACTCAATCCCCTTAAGATATACTTCTTTAACAAGTTGGTTTGTTCACTTTTATTACTCAGCCCTTTTCTATCTTGGTCTATCTTACGACTTTCTCATCAAGCTCCCAAAGATGGCGCGCAGACCTGATCGATGCTACCGGTATTGCAAGAACAAGGTTAGTAGTGATCACCCTGGCTCTGTCACAACGATAAATCCCATCTAAGATAGAATTTTTCAGCCTTACCCCAACTCACGCTTTAACCGTGGTGTCCCAGAGGGTAAGATCCGTATTTTTGATCTGGGACGGAAGAAGGCTTCTGTGGACGACTTCCCGTGCGCTGTGCACTTGGTGTCCAACGAATACGAACAACTGGGTTCAGAGGCTCTAGAAGCTGCACGTATCTGTGTCAACAAGTAAGTCAACTTGAGATACAATTTTATCTTGATAATCTGACTGATCTCCATTTTTCTTAAAAGATATCTCGTCAAAGTTGTGGGCAAAGAGACATTCCACATCCGCATCCGAGTTCACCCTTACCATGTAATCCGAATCAACAAGATGCTGAGTGTCGCTGGTGCGGATCGTTTGCAAACCGGGATGCGAGGCGCATTTGGTAAACCAGCTGGCAAGGTGGCTCGAGTAAACGTGGGCCAGATCTTGCTTTCCGTGCGAACTGTTGATCGTCATCGTGCGACCGCAGTGGAGGCGCTACGTCGCTCGATGTATAAGTTTCCTGGTCGGCAAAAGGTTATTATTAGCAAAATGTGGGGCTTCACTCATTTAATACGTGCTGAATATTTGCGGTTAAAGGAAGAAGGCATATTGCGGAATGATGGTGCATATGTCCAATTCTGTCGGCGGAAGGGAGAGGTGACAGAGAACATGAAGAACTTCCCACGGGCATATAGTTCCGCTGTCAAGGTGCGGGTATGAAAGGAGGTGCTTTATTCAATTCATATTGTATCAATACGGCTTTGTTCGTGGATGATTGAATGTGGCATAGAATCGTTGATGTAGACTGGATTATGCCAATAGGCTGTTGACATAGTAACAAATAGAAATCCGAATGTATAATTGCGTCCGACTATAGCTCGATCAAAAGCATTAGACCAAAGTATTAGGCAGCTGACTGTGATGAGCTGGACGTGGAAATTTCTTCAGTACATTTTGTCTCGGACCGGTTCCTACATGAGAAATAGTAGTCCATTTCCCAAATCTCCCCAGCTAATTGTGAAGGCCAAATCAGCTCCCTTGCTGCAACAAGGCAGGCTATGCTGGCATAATAACTGACGGCGATCGTAATATCGCTAGATTAGGTAGTCTTGTTGAAGCAAGGAAGCTGACTTCAACTCCGCCGGTCGAGTGGAGTGCTTTGGGATCAAAACATGAGACAGATGGGCGTAGGTATCAGTCCTTCGTGATATAATTAGCGTTCCACGCCACATCAAACCGGGCAAGGAAGGAGGACTGAAGCCATGCCATTGAATAGAAAGGTTGGAAACCCGAAAGACGAATTGCGAAAGTATGGAATCCAGAATTTCGGGCAGTTTTATCGCCTGACACGTGGTGATAGAACCAGGAAGGATGCTGCCGTTGGGACCCCAAATTGTTACCAGCCATTACTCATATCTACAACATTGGCCTTCAATCAGCCGGCCGGCTTTCTTGATTCAACATTCCAGTCTCACTCCGGAATTCTTTACGCCTGGTTTTATTTAGATGTTTGGGCCTCGGCCAAAGTGGTATTTGATGCTACCTTTGCACTTCATGCGAGTCAGATTTGGTACTTTTTTATCTAATTCTAGAGAAGGTGGGGATTCATTGGTACTGAGTTCGAACCTTGAATCCACGAAGAATGCCTCAAAAGATTGTTAGTATTGTTGGGCGCACAAGCGGAGGAATGTTGAAGGCAACACAAACCTGAGTGGGAAACCTCTGATTTATAGTGCAAATAATGCAAATAAATTCTCCGGGTGTATGAGGTACAACGGAAATCTCCAGCACTCCAAGATATATATATATATGGCTACAATGATACAATCACAGAAATATGCCGGAGCAATGTATTCAACATCACGACAATACAGCTTTTTCATTTTATTGAAATTGGTACATGGCACTCAAACCTCTTATCAACAGTTATAAATCTACAATGAATTCAAAGAACGACGTGGTTTTTGAGGTATCAAGTTGCGATTTATAATTGGTTTTTTTAGGTGATCCACCTGCTTGTGGAACATGTTGACCGGGATTCGCAGCGCCTGTGACCCAACAATATATATATAACCTACTAGGTTATAGAGGTACCGGTGCTCTACAGTGAGGCTAGACACCAAAAGCGTCAGGCTGGAAGAACGATTGAGTGAAGAGGAACGATGTTGACGTAGTATGTGTTGCGTTACAATATTTCTCTAGTTGAGACTGTGGTTGGGTGGCAAGGTCCAGGATGTATCTACAGAATTGATGTCTTTCCTTCCTCGTATCACAGAAAGTTCATTCTATTAAAGATATACTAAGTAAACTCCCTCAGAGATTCAGGGGGCGATCAATGAGGTCACAGATAGAGAACAAATGAGCTTTCCGAGTCTAAAGAGGTCCGACAGAAGACATTTCCCAATAGTGAAATTATGCGTTGATGGCAGTGCACTATGCATGATGAACGAAATGATTAGCTGGGTTGATAACTTGAAGTGTGGGGGGTTCTCTTACGTCCTTGCCAGCGGGGCAGCAGGCAATGGTATTGGAGCAGGTGGTTCCTTCCTGGCCCTCGTTGGTGAAGCCTGATTTTTATTAATATATTGCTTTAGAAAAGGGTTGATTGGAAAACGCACCGAGAATGTTGAGGTTCTTAATCAGGCTAACGGAGGTGCAGGCGGAGTCGCCAGTGCCGATCAGGTTGTTCAAGAGACCCTCAGCGAGGAGGTTTCCGAGGACGCCTTGGCCGCTGATTTCCTTCTTGGGGTTGCAGCAAGAGACGGTTCCAGCTTGGCAGAGTCCCTGAGCCTGGGCAACGGTAACGCCCTTGGGGCTTCCGTTGGCGGAGGGCATAGCGACAGCCGAAACGGCGAGAGTGAGAAGAGTGGCGAAGGTGAACTGCATTATGAAGGTTGGGTTGGGAGTGGTGAGAAGAGTGTTGGTAGGAAGTGAAGGCTGATTGGATGAGGATGTGAAGTGTTGTAGAATTGGAATGAGGTGGTATGGGCACCTTTATATATGTCAATGTGGCTGGACAACCCTACCTCCTTCTTTGGGAAACAAGTCTGGACTCGGTATGCGACGTAATTCTAGTTCTCCAATCTAAGACAGGCATACCAAGGCAGATAGAGATCATCAGAGATCATCATTACCCCTGGACTTTGCCTCCTACATTCATCGATTTCGATCTGTGCAACCCCAGGGATCTCTGAGTGGATCTTTAAATTCCTGCTTGATATTTCCGAGAAGTTCCTTCCTGTTAATGCAACTCTACCTAATAAACCAGGACCCGGGTAGCCCGGTCCTCCGCTTCCGGGGCGCGGATCCACGCGCGATAGAATCACCACGTACATGGCTGAAATATTGTCAAGTTATAGAAAAATCAAGTTATTCTTTTGGGCCTTTCCAGACCACCATGACCCACCCCACATTTGGCGATCTATGGCGCCAAGATGGGAACAAAGTCATGCCCGAAGTGCCAAGGCCCTTTGTTACCCCATTCGGTAAACAAAATTAGTTCTATAGATTTAGACTTATTTTTCAATGGGAGACCACGCAGCTGGCAACCTTGGATGGCCCCGTTATTCCTATCAAGCCACCTACATAATGGACAGGCCTACCGAGGAGGTCGATCAAATGCTTAATTCTAGCGGTAATATGATCCGCCTACAGTGAGACTAAGGGGACCTAATGTCCCTGGCAAGGTCTAATGATGTACTAGTTACAAGCGCCTCAGGGCCTCGAGGGGGTTACCTAGGTACTATGTGTGTAGTAGATGTTAAAGTGTTACGGCATAGCATAGGCGTTCTGGGTTGACCTTATTTACCATACAAAACGATATTTATATAGTGGGTAGACGCGGAAACAGCCCTTGGTGGTAAATACCGTACAATACCATTCAGATCGGCACTAATCTTGGAAATCTTTAATTTCATCGTGATGGACGATGTGATCGGGAGGCGCTAGGGGGCGGCTAGGGACGCCTGATTTTGAAACATCAACCACGAAGGAGGTAGGACTTGATTCACTTAATTTGAAGCATGTTAGTTGACAATCAGAGTTGAGACAATCCAGCTAATGATGACAAGAAAATAGAGAAATAAGTTAATTAGCGACTTTCTGTGCAGACTATCCCAGTTGCTAAAACCAAGCCATCGGCCAAAAGATCGCTGAAAGTAAGCCTCGAAATTGGGTAACATGTATTTCACAAGCGAAGCGTCTCCAAATATTATATTTTCTGCTTGATCGAAGCCGTTATGAAATTTCTGCCTTTCTATTGCTTGGGCCAGTTTCGAAGGTGCTCTTTGCCCTGCTTGCAAGGTTTGTAGGGAGACCCACAAATCCTAATCGCACTCCCCTTCTTTCTCTGTCCCCCTTCTGTAGGTGATTTGAATGAAATGCAATTTCCTGGAGACCTGTCGATCTACCTGATATCAGTAATCGCAGTGACCCTTCGGAACTTAAGTGGAACCCCCTAGATCTAAAGCACAGGAATGTAGGTAAAATCCAGTTGAAACAATGATCGATCGGCGTAGGTATTTTGATTTTGATTGCAAAGCTAGAGGTACGTGGCATTCCAAGCCTAGGGTTGTTTTCCTGCTAGGAGGCTTAGTGTGTTCAATCACACTTACGCTCGATGAATTGGAGATATAAAAGGGTACTCTCCGAACGTGAATTTTAGCTACCATCCTCTTCTCATTCATCACATTTACCAACACTTTCCTTACCTTTTCAACCACCTTCTTTTTTCAATCACTTTACCTTCAAAATGAAGTTCACTATCGCTACCCTGGTCACCCTCGCCGTCTCTGTTGCCGCGATGCCCCCTGTCCACGGAAAACCCTCCAAGCAGGTCTCCCTCTCCCAGGCCGAAGGCCTCTGCCAATCTGGCAAGGTCGCCTGCTGCAATCCTAAGAAGGATATCAGCGGCGATGGAATCATCGGCAACCTTCTTGCCGAGGGCCTGCTCAACAACTTGCTCGGCGTTGGCGACTCCGCCTGTGCTTCCCAGAGTCTGATCAAGAACTTGAACATTCTCGGTGCGTTACTTTCTCCCACAGCTCTGAGATCAAAACCATACTAATATATTTCTTAGGCTTCACCGAGGAGGGTCCTGAGGGAACCACCTGCAAGAACACCATTGCTTGCTGCCCTACTGGCAAGGGCGTAAGAACCACTCTCCGCAAACTTTTGGTCATAACAGCAGCTAATCTTGCTTTCATCACATACAGTGCAGTGCCATCGAGGCCTAAATTCACAGCTTCTTTCTTCGGTGATAGTGTCATTGCTCTCATTCGGGTGATACATCGGTCATCGGGATGACAAGCACGTTGGAGGCGAAATGGTGCTCTGTACGCATATCTTTGCATAGTTTCTCATGCCATCTTCCTCTTCATGGTTGAGCAGCGAATAGTCTAGATCATTTTCAGCTTAATCAAGTCAAATTTTTACGCATTTATCAGATCTCCAGGACCTCGAGCATAGAAGTACCGACACCTCTGTGATATTGTCAAGTATCTGCCCATCTACTCTGTTCCAAAATATCGCCATAGCTATATAAATTTCCCGTGATTGTCGAATAGAGGCTTCGGTCCAGCTTATGGATGTGAATCCTAATGGGCTACCAAGCCAACGCTTCGGCGTGGTCCCTGTATGAAACGCCCGGTCCCCAGGTAGCCTCCTATAATTGGAGAAGAACGCTTCTAGTGACGGGTCAATATTCATACTATCGTCCAAGTTGTTTATTGCTTACTGCTTACAAAATACTGTAATAATTTTGAGGGTACAAAATTCCGAACATATCCAAAGTAATGTCCAGGTAAAGTAGATTCGGTGTTTGAAAAACGTCAGGCCCAGGCTTTGAGTTAGTATGGAGATAACCCAGTCAAGTAAATCATTGTTCATCATGATATATAAGTTACTTACTGCTGGTGGGTGTTCTCAAATTTGGAATGAAGCTTTACAAAGAGCGAGTCACTCAACTCAAAATATATATTTCGTGCAACCAAACCAAGTTTGCTACAGCTACTCTTTGTACCTCGGGATAGCGCATATACATCCTCTGGAGCAAGGTTTCACTTGAAATATCCATTGCAGAATTCCTCACGCAGAGAAAGACATCTTTATATAAAGCCTCAAAGCCTGGACAGGTCCTATAGATGGAAGACAGCAAGCTATGTTTCTTCAGAGTACTAACAGCATCCCCTTTTGGTGATAAGCAAGTGTATTCCTTGTATCTAGGAGTCGACTATATTTATCACCACCAACGATGGCGTGTAAGCCTTCAGAGATGACTACTTCCGCTTGCAGATAGGTCCGTCAGCCGTCACCACTAAGCTACTAGGTGTGATCTTCGACTAGCAGTTAGGTTGGAAAAAACACATTCAATAAGCCATCAACCGTGTAAACAAAGTCACTACCGCACTATTTCGTCATAGGTGACCGATAAACAAAGACAGACTTCGCCAATCGTGATCGCACCCTAGATTCCTAAATTAAAGAAATCCAAACCCCCCGAGACGCTGTCGACCGACCGTTCCGAGCTAGCGCTAGGGAGAACAAATGCTCACGCTAGAGCAAGAAAGTAAGGGGCGTACATAAATGCAGGGACACCCACCAGGCTCACAACATGCTAGTTATGATTACAGGCGAGGCAACTACAGGGAATTCTGACCTCGGAAAGCTTGGAATTCCTCACAACCTGATAAACAAGGGGCTTACAACAACACCACACATTCTTCGTAGTTGGTCCTAATGTCTTTTTTTGGGGGGTCCTCAAAGAGATATCCACGAGAAAAACATAGTAGTGTGTGGTTGAATGGCAGATGTCAAAAGAAATAATGATAGTAATAATTTCTTTCTAGTAAAACAATAACTTATTAGTAATAACATGTTAAAGTGACGAGGTGAGCTGCGATTTCTACCAGTTCTGTGTATAATGCAAAGGTTTGATTTGCAGGTCATCAATGCCATCTGCGACCGAGTCATTTTCTATTAGCTTCACATAACACATATCAGTAACTAAAAAGCGATATTTAGATGTTCCGAATACCTACTGTTTCCAGTTGTTTTGGGCATATTTTGCAGATGTTTTTGTCTTGTCTTCTGGTTCAAAGGTATTTTGGAGCGCTTCTATGATGTCCTCGGGACCTATAAAGTCCATTGCTATGCACGACAGCACGGGAGCCCCAGAAGTTGTGATCCGCGCGGAGTATATGTGGCGCTTATTATGGGCCTATAACGGGACAAAGTGGATCGGACTTTCGTTTATTAGTGTGATATAGCTACATTAGTGCTTACAGAATGCTTGTCGGCCATGAGATAGGCGCTAATAGCTTTGGACCTATATTTTAGGTACAATATATAAAACCTCTAGCCCAGCCTCAGAAGCGCCAGTCATACAAACATCAAAGTTTGCAAGAAAATATGATCATGAAATATCTGATCTGGCCTGTTAGCGTATTTTATTAGTCGACTATGTTATCTCGTACAAAATTCAAACACCGAGTAAGTGAAAATTTGCCATCTTAAAAGTCCCAAGATTATCTTATGTCTTGTGGGTGTAATTTGTAGTATACACTAAGCATAAATGGAGGTCACCTCATCATGGTTGTTGAATAGCTAGCAATGGACGTAGACTAAAATCAAGGATCATTTCCCAAGTAAAGGGAAAATAAAAAATAAAAACATACAACAGTGAGGATTCGCTGGTGGTCACCCACCCAACTACTAACTCACCGGCGTGTGGCTTAAGTACGGCTGAGCGGACGGGAAGCCCTGTTTTCCACACCCTATGGTCGTATGTACAGGATAACGCACTAGAAAGCATTATAACTAGATAATTTATGCTCGATTATGTGGTTTTATCTGTAGGTGCCCAGGAGGTATTACTAGAGACTAAGGTTGAATTTGAGGCAAGAGCGACTTTCCCTACCGCCCTTACTTGCAAGCGATACCTTATACAGGATTCCTACTCTGAATTTATTTCCATTAAGAGCACAAGAATTCTTGTTCCAACGGTATATTTATTTCTGGCGAGCAGCAACTGTCAAGACATCGGTTTCAGATAAGGTTACATATTCAGCTCTTATTATCCCAACCCACAAGAAATCCTGGGTGGCGGAGGTTGGTTCATCTTCTTCTTTTTGAAGAAGTGCGAGATACCCAAGAAGACCGAGGAAACCCCGTAAGTTAAAGTCCATGGTCCCCGTATAAACTCTTCTGGAGGGTCTTTTGGAGGGTCTTTATGCACATTTGCTGACATCTCATGGCATAGCACCGATGACTTGACTGCGGCGGCCACAACCCCCAAGTGGCCCTCACCACCGGGTGGCTGCGGGAAAGGCGGGCAGGTAAGTTACGCCTTACGGCTCAAGAGCCTCCTCGTCGACCCTATGCCCTAGTAGTAAACCCTGACGATAATGGATCATGTTGAAGGCAATCCCAGCCGCTCTCTCCCCATCTTGATAGAGACCCCTGGCGCTGGAGCCAGCATCGCCTAGCCCACCGGCGACAGCCTGACTGCCGACAATGATGTCAAGTTTGTCCCGATCCCTGTGGGATACGTGACCCTCCCTACCCGCTCCGCCTTCACCCACTGCTCAGCCAGTTCCCGCGTCTCCCTACCCCTGCCGGCAGCCCCCAACCAAAAAGTGGCTAGACCCCGCTGCGGCCTCCGGTATCAGCACCACCATGCGGCATGCCATGCATGGTGGCAAGGAGCTTGTCGCCCTTGTGAGTCCCCCGGCGGTTCCCGCAGCGCTCTGAAGGGGTGCTGAGTCGACGGCGTTCCTCTGGTGTTTTTACCGTTTTCTTCACTCCGAGAACCTTAGCGAGGTGAGATTAATGAAAACGGAAGTATCACACATATAAAGGACGACGGGGAGGAGATTTTTTGTTGTGTTCCTCTGGGCTTTTTGACCGTTTTTGCTTCTCTCCGAGGACCTCAGTGAGGCGAGATGAAGGAATAGAACTGGCTTGAGATGTGAGATGGAGGTGGGAAGGGAGAGTGGGTTCTGTTTTTACTTTCATTCTTACTTTTATTTTTGTTTTCTCTTTTGGTCGACTGGCCCTCTTCGGAGGTGACCGTGTCTGAATATATACTGTCGGCGCCTTGGGGCACCTTGATTTTTATCCTGGATATGCATTTCGCAGTTCACCGTAGAATCTTTGTCTAACAGAGTTACATCTCGCAGTGAATCCTCATTGGTCTACCATCATGATAGATTTAAAAAAACATCCGAAGAAGTATTGAGTATTGCACTTTTCGACTGTGATATGGAATCTTCTATCTCACTGGACAAGGGAAGTATTTAAAAAGGGATGGCATTAGAATCTCAAATCAAGGACACAGTACAAGTGCGTCATATAATTATCTATAGGCCAAATAATCTAAATCTAAATCCCATCAGTCACTGCTGTGCAGAGCCTTGAAATAGCTCCTCCATGGTTTCAGTTAATATCCAATAAGAATTCTTGTGCGCATCATGATCCACATTAGCGGCTTAAAAGCCGCCAAACCCACAGGTTCATAACCAGCTTTGATCGGCCATTCTTCTTGTGGTTTATTTATCCTCCATTTCCATGTCTCGTGAAATTGCCTGAGGCGTCCTCCAATTTTTACCCACAAGCAGAGCTGGATGTAGACCAGTCAAGCAAATGCACGCAATTGAAACCATAGCGCCTTCGAGGATCATCAAGGCTACCTCGTCGTTGGCCAATTTACTCTCAAATCCACCCTGGAGCTCGGCCACTCGGAATGAAGATCGAATCAATATAGTTAGAATGGCAGATGTCAAACCTGATAATCAAACTCGAGTCAGTGGAATGCCCATATAAAAGATCGAGGTGATATACATACCAAGTAAAAACGATCTCCTCATCCAGCTTGCCGGCCGTTCCTGAGTAGGGGAATGCAGGCGTCTTCCTCGTAAAACCCGGACTCCATACTCAATCGCTAGAATAGAGAACACTACCAGCGATGCAACTTGAAAGACCAGTCCAGCGATCATGATGTTGACACCAGTATCGTGAAGTGACTGTTCCTCGGCAATTGAAGTGATGGCTCCACCGGCCGCTTGCAAGATCAGGGAAATCAAATCGCAAGTCACGAACAAGTAGGTGTAGGTTCTTGGTTTCAAGCGTGAGAACTCTTCGCCATAAGCTGTAATAATACGACCGAGGCATAGATAGATTCCAGCTGTGAAGAATGCCGGGGCAATGGTGAGACATATCAAGTACCTAATGTATCACGCCTCGGTCAGTATATTCAATCATGTGGTAGGCTGGGTAACTTACATCAAGAAAGCATCGAAGCTGAATGGGTTATCATGTAAGAGAATTCGGCCCAAATATCCTATGATCTCCAATATAAGGCCCGCGACCATTGGCACCATGAAACTCCAAGATCGAAATACGATACCCGTACCGATCTGTCCAATGAGTAAGATGGCGAAAAGAGCGAGATAAAAGATGTTTCCAGCCATGTTAGGCTGATACTGGATGTAACCATCACTTAACGGACATGTTTGCAAAGTGCAATCATCTGTATTGGACATGATCACGTATAGTAAAGAACCTTGGAAGATTAAGTAGGCTAGAGTGAAGTTTGCAGACAATGAGTGCTGCGATTGAATTGATATTAGTAAATCCATGATAGATTCGTCACTATTTATGTGTAGACGCAAAGAAGTTTGACGCTGCCTATCCACAATCAATAATCATTATGAGGCTGTGTGTGTATTTTTAACTTGAGATAATCTCACTCCCAAATCCTTCGAATTTGTAGTCAAACCAATAATCAACGCTGCCATGAAGATTGATACGATATAGTGGATCTCAAGTTAAGCTGTTGCCTGGCGGGTCACCGATGCCAAGACTTTTGCACTTCGACCATGTCCTTGTCCGTGTCCGTGTCCTTGTCCTTGTCCTTGTCCTTATCCTCTTCAACTCGCCCATTTCCTTGTCCTGATGTACCTTTCACCAGAATAGATTGACTATACTCAATTTGGAACATGGCATCTACGTCGGGACATATCAAAACGTGTCAAAACTGTGCTCGTGGCAAAATCCGATGTATCCGAACTTCGGATTCCTCTATCTGTGATCGGTAAGTAGTGAAACTCGATCATCATTTTTATACTCAACTATAACCATATTCTAATATAAGGTATTAGATGTCGCCGTCTTGATAAAGAGTGCTATTTTCGGGTCGCTCGACCTCGTTACAACCCCGCTAAGAAGGGGACGTAAGGCTCCCAAATTCCATCTGATTCGTGACAGTGAATATAAGCTGACGGAAGCTTAAAAAACCAGACGAGTCGAGGCTCTCGAAGCCAAAGCGGATCAGCTCTTAGCGCGAGTCGTTAATAGCCAGCCTACTAAACACCAGCCTGATGTTCCTTTAGCCCCGTCTGACCCGGAACTTCATTCCATCCCAGATAAACCCCGAGATGTTATTGATCGCGGGATTGTGAGATTTGATGATGCCGTCACTCTTCTTGACTCTTTTCGGGAAACCTTGATGCCATGTTTTCCATTTATCTTTATCGCACCGGAAGTGACGCTTGCTCAGCTGCGAGCGGAGAAACCGCTTCTCATGCTGGCTATCCTCAAGGTCTCATCATACAAAAATGCAGCCGCTCAGCAGATATTGGAAGAAACATTCCAAACAGCAGTTGCTGATCAGATGATCTTCGCCCATAATCCATCCATGGACGTATTGCTGGGACTCCTTGTGGCTTTGGCATGGTGAGTCTAATTTAAAGTGGTTTTATTGAAGACGGCACTACTGACTCAAAGCCTCAATATCCCAGGTTGCAGCATCAGTCTCAGCATGGAAGATTTTCCAGCTACCTTCATCTTGCTTGGAGTATAATCAGTGATTTGCAGCTTGACCGGTTGTCGGAAACCCAATCATTCTATTCACGGATGGCTATGAGCAAGGTCTCTTCAGATGAAAGCAGTAGTAGACATTCGGTGAACGAGAGAAGACGAGCTCTGATTGGATTTTACGTGCTATCCTCATGGTCAGTAACAATGCCCATCTCTCCCTAATATTACTGACTGAGTATGGGTGTGTGCAGTCGCTCGACAATATTGCAAATGGATCGCATGATGACTCGGGTGTCATATGTTGAAAAGCATGCACTTGAATTACTATCAAATGCTGAGATTGCCAGTGATCGCTGCTTAATACAATTAGTAAAATTACAACAAATCTTTGAACGGATCGATGATGCTGTGGGCACTACTGCGAATCCAGTACGAGAGGTTGATATGCATGCATTCCAAACCGAAATCAATGAGTACAGAAAGACCTTGCCAGCAACGTTTTCGGACAATTGTAAGTGACCCGCTTGTGAGTTTGATTGAATAGACTGGAACTAATACTAACTCAACGTCTACAACATAGCCCTACTACAATTTCAACTGCACACTCTACAATTGTTTCTATGCCAGGCTTGCTTATTTGATAAACATGAAGCAGCCAACTATTCGGCTTCGTCCGCGCCTCGCTCCCATGCAGACTCAGGGCTCCCACCACATCTCCAAAGTGGCCACCAACCGTTAGATTTATCATCCTTCCAGGTTGAATTTCTCGATCGCGGCATGACTGAAGCAAAGAAATTCTTTGATTACGTTTTCACATTTGCTCCGGATACTTATCGACTGATCAGCCATACGCAATGGCAGCAAACAGGCTTTAACTTGGTTCTAGGCTGCAAACTGGCCGTCACGGGGGCAAAATACGCCCCACGCAGTCCACGTGTTCGTGCCCTATGCTCGGCTTTGAATATGCCACAAATTCTGCGGACCGCGTTACAACAGATCCAATGGCTCAGCAAGGACAGAGTGACTGTAGATGGGAAACAGCACTCCAAATACTTCTACGAGGCATGGCTGTGGCATATTCTTGAATGGTTCGAGCAAAAGTATCACCTGGTGCCCTCTGAAGATACGGCCCAAATACCTACAGGATTACCCGATGGCGGCCTCGGACCGTCTACTTTGGCCAACAGCGCAACCTCGCAGGATGTCCCCCCGATGGGTGAAAATTTTGGCGCCACACAAGTAGCACAGGTAGATGATACTGCCTTATGGCCGGACTTCCTCTGGAACATAAGCACGGATGAGATACTCAATGGGTATATGGGGTTTCCGGATATGCCGTATCCCACATTACAGCCTGGATATGACGTGCCACTGCCATGAGAACAAAAGACATTGACACTATGCGAATGCATAACACCAAAAGAGACCAAATAAAGAAACCAAGAGCTTGTTCCCGCGGTGGCATCGCTTCAACTCAAATTTGTTGCCGTTTACACCAATAATCCAAGCTCAACAGGAGCTGATTTGATTTGGTCCTCTTGGACCTCGCGAATCAACGAAATGATGGAGAAATGGAACAAAACAATTCAAGCAAAGGAAGCTCAGCTAGTGCCATATACCTGATCGTAACATGGAGTGCAAAACGGACGAAAAGATGTACCCGGCCCTACGCATTGCCCAATCCCCCTGGAAATTGGGCACGGGTTCAATGCAAATTTCTTGATATTGTTACCTTCGATATGGGACCGCCGTACAAAAGGTGCTTAGGGTCAAAAACTCATATTCCTCAACCATAAGACTGAATAAATTGGAGAGATATTGATATTAAGAAACAGGAGTAGCTTATGATTCGATATAAGTCAAGCTATTTTCATATAAAGTACATAGTTTTCTGTCAAATGTAGAGGATTTTAAGAGCCCTCCTTAACTATCCCACAGACTATAGATTTTCTCAAAAGATCCCCTAAATAATGAAATTCTAATATCACCTATTCTAACCGTTTATTTCATATATGATATTGTGGTAAAGAAAAATGATTTTAAAGTCGGATTCTAAGTACCTTGGGTATGGCCCCATATTGAAGGTATATCAAGAAATTTGCATTAGACCCGTACGGCCCAATTTCCCAAGGGGGGAGTAGGGCCGGGTAGAGATGCAGATTCGGGAGGTGGAGCCCAATGTGTGGGCTTGGCACAATGATATTTTTTGGTCAAGGTAGATGGTATCACATGAAAGTTATAAATAATAACCAGAATACTTGGCCGTTTGTGCAGCCTCATGATGTTTTTTCAGTCGTCTTTTTAGTGGACTTTTCAGATATTGTGTTTAGATGTCTTTGAGACATTTTCTCCCCCTTCTCATATAACCTGGGATATATTCGTTAGGTAATGGACTTTAATATGGTTCCAAGGGTTTTAAGGTGGCATTCATAATGATTATAAAACCTTGAACCCCATTGTTACTTCGGACACGAGGACAAAGCATGACCTTGAGTCGGTAAGTGGACACTATAGAAGCCGAGTCATACATACCTTGTCATGCCAGAGCGGCCGAGAACTGGTATAAAGCATGCACTACGAATGCACTCCACTTTGCTTTTTTTTGCCAGTAATACCAATACCAATACTTAACATTAGTTGATATAGTATGCACCTCTCACCTTTTTCTGTATTTTATTGACTGTATGCACTTGAAATAATACTGTGTTCTGAATTGGTGGCGGACACGCATGTGCATTGTCCAAGTTCTCTGCCGAGCTCGCATGACACGGTATGAATCATATGGACTATACCACCAGGTTCAATGCCGGCCATAATCATTTAGGACTGCTCTGATTCCATCGCAGGATCAGAGATCTTGTACTATCCTTTCTGGTTCTTCCCCTTTCCATCTGCCACACTGCTCAAAACTGGAAAAAAACGCGAGATGGCTCGTGATCGAGTCAAAGCTGCTCCTGGTGTAATAAAAGAATTTGATTACAATCCCGCAAAAAGTCAGTTTGTGGATATGCCACCAGTAACATTGTCACAAAGGACTAAACTTTACCAAGTACCCGAAGTATTGCCGGGACATATATTAAAAAGCATCATATTTGCGCACGGGGAGAAGTTTCCCCAGAAACAGGAATGTGTGGGGTCTCCACCCCCACGAACCTAAAATGTCACCTTAATCCCGGTAAAACCCCGGGTAACTAACGTTACACTCACCGGCAAAACTTCGGACTTGCCCTTCCCCATATCCCGGTAAACCTCTTCGGTTCCGATGCCGATGGCGGGTTCCGAGATGCGGGGGACTATAAGAAGGGGACACTGGGTGATCCCAAAACACCGACAGAGACCAGCTTCTTTTCTCTAACAAAGTTGCAAAAGATGGCTCCCGTCACTCAGTTTGTGGTTTCAGGCCTTTTGGCCGCCACACTGGCCAACGGTCAATCGTTTGATGGAACTGCCCGAAGCAAAGACGCCTTCACCTATGTACAGTCCAAGAACACAACCATTCTGGGCCCGTATGGACACTCGCCTGCTGTACTTCCCTCACGTATGCTCTCAGTCAATTTCTCTGAACTTGAATCTCCTGCTGATCCCTACCACAGCAAATGCCACCGGATCAGGCGATTGGGAGAAAGCCTACGCTAAAGCCCAAAAGTTTGTGGCCAAGCTAACGGTCGATGAAAAGGCCGACATGGTTACCGGCCAGCCGGGTCCCTGTGTAGGAAATATCGTC